ATGTCTTAGTTTTAAAAATGTGTATGGGCGTAAACACTGCTAGCATGAGGAATATGGCCATGCTGATGTACTTGGGTTGCACATAATTCTGTGATATATGCAGGGCAGGATGTATTTAAACACACCAGGTTAAAATGAACCTGTCAGGTCTTGCATGAGCGTCGCAATGTTCAGAGTGATCCAAACTCAGGCAAGGGTGAATCATGTTAGTTTAATTCCATGACTTCCTCAGGAGTGCTCAATTTAAAATATGCCTGTTATTTTGAAAAGAGCAATTCTTTAGATACAAACCAGAGTTAAAATAGTTCTCAAAAATCAGCCAAAGTTTGGACATCTAGCCCAGATAATAATGCATTCAGCAGCACACCACAGAGGATACATGCAGACATGGTAGTTGATAATTGGCAGACCTACAGTCATGTGAAAAAGAAAGTACACCCTCTTTGTCCTGATATGTAAAATCTATGGTTTCACATATCAGGACGTAATAAAAAATCATCTGGTCCTTAGCAGGCCTGAAAATTGGGTAAATATAACCTCAGATGAACAACACATGACATATTGCACCCATGATTTATTTTACAAAAATAAAACCAAAAGGAAGAAGCCATGTCAGTTACTGGTCAGATATTGTCATTAATTTCATGGGAAGCTTAGATCACGGGCACAGCAGTTCCTGCATGCATTGGGCACAGTGTCCATATTGGTAGGCAGTTTCCCATTTTTAGGCTCCAAAACAATGGTCCGGCCTCAGCTTCAATGTTCAGGGGCTTCAAGACGTGAAAATATGTACCTTTTTGCGTCTAGCCAATGTGCACATAGAATACAGTGGTTCTCATTCTGTTTCCTTCAAAACGTATTGACTTGGTTCTGTGTCAGAGGTAATGTAACATATTATTTGGGGTGGCTTGCAGTTTTTTGTGCTCTGATATGTGTGGGCCAAAGGCTGGGTAGGTTACTGCTGGGGACTGAACACATGCCAGGTTTGTCATTATGAGTCAAGAGTTTAGAAATACATTCTTAGTATTTGCAGACTTCCCAGGAAGCACATGTGAGCAACTGTAATCTGATCTACTTCCCCTCTCACTCAAGTGTAGTATTTAAGGCTCAGTTCCATGGGAGATCCTGTAGCTGAAACAAATATGTTAATATCAGAGTTTGGTGGCATAACATACGCTTGTTAACCTTCAGATCTAACCCATTTGATGGGATGTGCTTTCTTAATCTTGTCATTGTTGTAGGCATTATATAAATCTTTGAGACACCTTTATAGAGTTATTCTAACATAGTTAGCCATGTTGGTTCATGAGAACAGAGAAAAACCAAAATTCATAGGCAGGCAATATCTTTATTTGAACAAGATAAGATTGTTCGAAGTGTGTAATTCCACAAATCTCCAGACCATCTGATCAAGCTATGTGACAGAGTGGGAAAATAAGCAAAAAATCCCAAAATCTGGTCAGATGTTATGCTGGGCATGAGGTCTGATGGGTAAGAGGTTTATATCTGAATTAGGGCTAACCCTGTATTCTCAGAAATAGAGACCCATTATTTCTTTCCCATTCCAGTGTGCTTGAAGTAATCTGATACCTGCACACCTACCAGTAACTCATTCAGTCTGGGAATTGCCATCCTGGGACTACTTTTTATACCCGACATCATGAGCACAAAAGAAATTTGAGCAAAATTTGAGACTCCCTTGCCCCTCCCAATTTTTATATCATCTACCTTGATGAAAAGGACTTAGATAGTTGCATAGTTTTATGGACTTTTAATTGGTTCTAATAAAAGTGACATCCATCTGTGGATTTCAGTTTTGTAATGTACTCTATAGATTATGTTACAGACTTTTTTTACCATTTGTTGCGCAAAATTCACTGTCTTGGGTAATCTACAAATTCTGCACTAGAACCTATGGTTCCTATGCTTCCAGATCTGAGCCATGTTTTATATGACTCCATAATGCAAATGGGTACATTAATATAACTAATTCTATTCTTTTTATGATTGTCAGCTGCCTTAAGTCCCCTTGACAGGAGAAAGACAGCCTATAAAACAAAAGAACAAATAAATAAGAAAAATTGGGAACCAGACGGAAATGAATACAGTATGCAGTAAAGTCTCCCAGAGGAAACTAATGTGCCCAAACCAGTTTTCCTCACACTGAATGGGCATGGACACTAATGATTAACACTAGCTTTGTGTCCAGAAATATGCATGCATATTTGTAAGGTGATGTTGAATGAAAGGGATACATCTTGACAGAGATGTTCTTCATACCTGGTCTCCTTACACACATTCACGAATATTTTCTGTGTTAATTCTACAACTCAGCTGAGCCATCTGGGGGAAGTGTTATATGCTCTCAGAATTATTTTCAGAGTTCAGGAAAGTTCATTTTATAGACACCTAGAACACCCCAGCACTGGCTGTGCTGATGGGGGATTCTGGGACCTGTAGTCTGGGACAAGGAACCTCTGCACTCTTGAGTATTGGAGTCTTTAGAGTGTGCAGAAAATACAGTAGCCTCATAGGAGACATAGAACCTTGATACATGAGCAACATATTAATAAACACAGATTAATCATCAAAGTGATCTATTATGCAGAATGGCCCCACCCTTATCAGTGCTTCAGAAATTACCAATAGGACTATGAATCTCTGTGTTGACACAGTTCCATGTTGCCCATTATCTGCCTGTTTTTCTTCTGACATTAACTAGTACCAGATTTCCTGACAAACATGTAGAGGGAACAGAGTAATTAGAAAGCCATTCATCCCCTGTCATTCACTTCCAGCAGTCTGAGGTTTAGATCACCTGTTTTTTATAAACCCAGAGGAGATCTTTAAAACCTGCCACCCAGGAGTCAGATCTATGAATGACTTTATGCTGAGCATCATGGCACTCTCCCAGCTCTTTATCAAAAGAGCTGACACTTTCAACTGGCAGCTTTGGGAAACCAGCCCTGCTGCAAGCCATTGAACTCCATAGGAAGACTTGCTGGCTGGGGGAGTTCAAAAGCCTAGATCTGTAGAGCACTTTTTAAAAAAGTAGATGGAAACAAAGAAACTCTTAGAAAGATGGTTGTCCTGCATTTGTAGTTAGGCCCCAAATGGAAATTCCAAGCGCTACCCCAAACAGTACCGTGGTGCTGTGGGTTTGGGATGCACTTAAGTGGTGGTTGGGTGCTCTCAAGCCTGTTCCTTAGAGGTATGGAGGAGAGTCTGCCTGAATGTCTTCAAACTGGGCCAGAGGTAAACAGTGAAATAATTTATTTGTATATTCATTTATTATTTCAGTTGGTGTGCTACTAATTGCACACACACTATGGGCATTTGACAACCCGTTTTTCTTTTTTAAGATCTGGGTGTTTTATAATGCATTAAAAACAAAGAAGTGCTAGGCTTTGTAACCCAAACTTTCACAATGTTCATCCCGCCTGCTATGAACATGGGCCAACCAATGTCCCTGTTTTTGCTTTTGCGGACAAGCAGCAAGCAGAAGAGGTTTATAGAGGGGTGAGAAAACCAGTCCCTGTGCAGTTCAGCACAAAATGTTTTGCATCGTGTTTCGATTGAAATAGGCAGAACATACATTTTCCAGACCTGAATGTAGTCTCAAAACCAGAACACAGATGTTGAGATCATGCTTTTCTGAAGGCTTCAATGAAATTTAGGATACATGACATTACAGTACATAACATTTTAAACAACACAGACAAAAGGTTTCTACATACTAACAATTGTGATAAAAGCACTTTATCTATTGAAAGATGCACTTGCAAAAATATGCATGTTTTTGAAAGTGCACACTAAAACCCATACGTTTGAAGAATGCATACATACATAGAAAATTTTACATCAAAATGCATCCAAATGTGTAAAATTTTAAAGCCTTTAGCTGGAAATTGTCTATATTTGTTAAAGGCATTCTGACTTGCCCATTATGTCTAGACAGACCTAAGGAATAGATCTGGCTTTTGCAATCTGGTTAATCACTACCTTGGAATTTTATTTCATATTAATGAAAGGTTGTCTTATTTTGTCTAGTTCATCCGGATAATGGAGATTGACAATTGTAGGGATTAACTGTATAGAATGGACCTCTTTATATGGTGAGTGTGGCATCTACTAGCAGGGATGCATCATTTACTTGAAGAGCTCAGTTGTAAGGGCTACACTGGGGACAGAATGTTGGAAGGACTTCATGATAAAAGGTGGTGCCTTAAAATAATCTTGTAAAGCAAAGGAGGGAATTGATTCTAGTGGGAACAAACACATGTGGCCATTTACAGGTAATAGTTCACTGCTCTAATAATTTGGAAGGAGGGAATACTTTTGCCATGGCTGTTCCTCCAACTGCTGTAGCTCTTTTGTGAAAATTTAAAGACACAAGTGTACTATCTTATAAAAAACACATCTATCTCTTCCTTGCAGTTACCTATTCTGATTTTGTTTGTTTGTTTGTTTAAGATCACAGTGGTATTCTACCAACAGGACACTATGAAACAAAACAAAGATACAAAAATCTCTCAGATTTCTCTGGAGTAATGTTGAGAATTTAATTTTTAAAAAAAGCTTTTGAATGCATATGAACTGAAGAACAATGGCAGACAAAAATTACTCTGATAGAGCTTTTATAAAGCAGTGCAAACATGAACATTATACACGGGAGAATTCAGGTTATTGTTTGGAGGCTCTGACTCTCAGGTTTGCTGGTATGGATTCACAGAGGCTTTGATGTGCCATTCAGAGTTCTGGCAGACAGAGGTAATCTCAGATACCTATACAGTCATTGTTCTGCATTTCAGTTTTAAAGTTCACCTTCATTATGGAAAAAGTTTTCATTGGTTAGTTATTTTCTTTCCTCATTCTCAGGGCTCTGTTGCACTTCCCTGCCGCATGTAGATGTTTCTATAGTTTTTTTTGCCAGCAGTGATGTAAAGGGGGAAGCCTTGGACAGCACTGAATAAATCCTTCTGCATATTTTCACCTTGCAGGGGCCTTGTGGGTGTGTGTCGTGCTGAATCCACACTGTACTCTAGAGGAGAAGGCATGCTGGCTGCGACAGCTCCAGAAATGGGGGGATATGGATGTTTGCCCATTGGAGGATGGGAATTATGGCAACGAACTTCCCAACATCACTAGCGCTCTTACTCAGAGCTCCAGTCACCGGCAAAGTAAGTTACAATGAGAGTGTTTTGTCCTCTGTCATGCCGCGTTTTCCCTATTGGATGTACAGCAAGAGGTTGAAAAACATCTTAACGAGATCCCAGTTGTGCAAGAATAAAAACTTCTTGAGAAAAGAGATTACCTCTCTTCTTGCCTCTGCATGGTAGGCTCTCATTATGGAGGTGTTTGGATGATATTTACAGTGAGGAAATAGATAGCTGTAGCAGTAGGAGCTTGTTGCCTTCTTTCATGCTGTGTGCAAGGCATGGTTTGAATAAGTGCAGAAGGTATGTCTGGTCTGAATCCCTAGCACTCTTTGGATTTGTTTTTGGTTTTTGCTTATCCATTCCTGGGTAGCTCTGGATGTTTCTCCTTCCTCTCTCTCTCTCTCTCTGTGTTTTTTTCTCTTTGCTTTTTGCTGAGCTTGAGTCACTGGAGGCGATATATTCAGGGCTGATTGGACCTGGTTGTGTGTTCGTGTTTTAATATTAATCAAACTATCCAGTAAAATTTTCCCAGTTATGCTTTCTCTTTGCTTTTGCTGAGCTTGAGTCACTGGAGGTGATATATTCAGGGCTGATTGGACTTGGTTGTGTGTTCGTCTTTTAATATTAATAAAACTATCCAGTAAAATTTTCCCAGTTATGCAATTTACCCGAATGCCAGATATGAGGTTTTTGACTGAGAAATACCCATACCTGTGCTCACTGGCAAATATAGGTGGGCTGGATAGTGCTTTTGCTGAGCTTGAGTCACTGGAGGTGATATATTCAGGGCTGATTGGACTTGGTTGTGTGTTCGTCTTTTAATATTAATAAAACTATCCAGTAAAATTTTCCCAGTTATGCAATTTACCCGAATGCCAGATATGAGGTTTTTGACTGAGAAATACCCATACCTGTGCTCACTGGCAAATATAGGTGGGCTGGATAGAAAAGAAAGAGTTCTGCTGCATTTGCATTGCTACTGTGCTTGCTTCAGAAGTATTTCTTGGTGTTCAGTTTGTCATCCTCAAACCTTTGGTCGGCATAAACACAGTTTCCTTAGGCCAGTTGTGATGCACACCAAGACTTTAGTGGTGAGACCGTTCTGAGAAACATTGTAATTTAGTCAGGTCAATGTGGATGGTCATGGGAGGGTACATGTGGGTTTCTTGGTGTTCTGTCTTCAGTTTGTCATCCTCAAACCTTTGGTCGGCATAAACACAGTTTCCTTAGGCCAGTTGTGATGCACACCAATACCTTAGTGGTGAGACCATTCTGAGAAACATTGTGATTTAGTCAGGCCAGTGTGGTTGGTCATGGGAGGGTGCATGTGGACACTCAAGTGTTCTTTCCTTTACAGGCTCTTTAGTGAGGCCAAGACGTACAGTGTTCACTCGTGCCATTGAAGGCTGTGACCTGCATTGGCAGGATAGCCACCTCCAGCGGATAATCAGCAGCGACTTCTATATCTCTCCATCTTACCAAAGGGAAGGTGAGGGCCTTCTCTTCAACTCACAAGGACAGCCATTGTGGCTGGGTAAGCAGTTTCTCCTCCTGTTGCTCTTGCTCTGTGCATTTGCCTTAAAAAAAACTTGTGAGTACCACATTTGGAGTTTCTATGTGTTAAAAGAAGAATAATTCACATTTGAATGTATAGCCACTTCTTTGGAAAGAGTATCTTCATTTGCTCATCTTCCAAAACCTGAGAGTTCATGAGATCTAGTAATTTCCTGTACAGAGACTGTGGATGCTTCAAGACAATTTTTTTGTTGGGCAACAACCTTATCTCAACCATTGGAGTTTAGATTATGTCATTTTTAGTGTATAACCCTACCGGTTATTTCTTGGTTTTTCTCTCTCTCTCCAAATAAAATCTGTTAAGGGGAAAAGAAATACCACCAAATAGTTCTCATGTTCTTTTAAATCATACGGGACAGGAACCCTCTGTTTGAGAATAGAAAAGTTTGTAGCTACTCTCAAAAACATTTTCCTTTTTTCAGAGGGTTTGTCTTTTTCTTTGGCATGTCTAGGCTCTCAAACATTTCCCCATTTCAATAAGGAAAGCAGCATGCTGTGCAAGTAATTCCAGGCAATAGTATCTTGGGGCAGTAGGCCATGGACCCCAGTAACCACAAGCAGAATTACTGTACTATTCACTGAAATGAGATAAGAAGAATGTCAGGCGCAAGATTTGCTGCCGCAATAAAGGAAGTTACAATAAAGGGAGAAGGAATACAATGCACCTTGTCTATATTATCAGCAGAGTGCCTCTAGTTAAATTGGGCTCCAGATGGGGGACCTTTGGGCTCCCACACTCACAATCTCTACCGTTAGTGGAGGCTTCTGCAAACAGGCACCCCAAACATCTTGAAGGCAGAACGTTCTCCACTCAGTCATCCAAAATAGGGACGGACTCTTTCAGATTACAGAGTTTAGTTGGTCATTGCCAGAGTGTTATGCCCGTGCCTTGCTACAAGAAGACAATTTTGTAATTGCTTCCTACACACCTCTTTTGACAAGCAGTAAACAGTCAGAATACCCAATCCATACATTCTACAGCACCATCACAGGCATTGGACAGGCATTGCTGTGCAGTTCAGAATAGGAAGGTTCAGCTACTTGGTAGTGTTCTGTCTCAGAGCTGACCCCACTGGATGAGCTGCTGAGTATAGCAGTATTTTTAGGGAAGTGGGTGATGGGTGCACTTATCTCATTCCTTGCATCAGATGTGGTTGCACACAGTTCATGTACTGTAATCCAGCATCTATGGCAAAATGCCTAGGATCCTGGGTGGCATGCTTTGAATCCTGTGGCACAGCTGTTTGGCAGCCACAGAAGATATTGGCCATTTCCTGCATCCGGCTCCTCCACCTTCAGTGATTTACATCAGATTCTCTCTGACTTGTTAAACTTAGGCTTGCCAAAGGCATGAACCCTGCACACGATCATTCTGACATGTGGCTTCCTTCTCTCTTTTTCTTGGGGCTCCTCCTGGAGGGAAGTGACAGCAAGTGTGGAATTGCCTTTGTTTGGCCAGCCACAATTTCATTTGAGAGAGAGGCAGGAGAGAGGAGTCTTCCTTCACATGGGGAGCAAACACTAGAGATTCCATTTGTGTGTGAGAGACATTTGTGCACAGGCTGCCTTTAGGATCTCATATATGGCCTTTGGCAGATCAGCTGGCATTCTGAAGGAGGACAAGGAAGAGAAGTGAAGCTGGTTTTAAAAGCCTTCAGGCACCTTGTGGAAAATGTTTCCTGTGCAGACAGTCATGCTGCAGTGACTTTGTCTCTTACCTTTCCTCGTGCCAGGGACATTTGCAGAGGAGATGGCTCATTGCTGCTTTCCATTCAGTGTGTGTCAGCTGTTCCTCCTGATGACTTCTCCACCAGAGTTATAATCCTCTCCACAGTAACTGTGGCTTCAGGTGGGGAACAACTAGCAGGAACAGATTAATTTCTGCACCAAACAATAGTATTGCACACGAGACAAGCTGTTTTCTGGTAATAAAATCTTCAGGAAGAGCCAAAACATAACACTTGGTGCAAAAGCCCTTTCAACGAGGCATTCAAGAAGCCGAGCCAAAGTCCATAAAACTTCCAGGGCAGGATGTAGATCTTCCCCTGGCAAGTAGATTGGAATGAAGGGATTCAGCTGTAACTTTGGCCCTTTATATGTGAATGCCCAAAGGGACCTGGATCAGGGGGGCATCTTTGCCAATCTCCAGCAGCAGATGTGCAAAACAAACACAAATATTCCCTTTCCCTTGGAAAACCTGCAGGTCTGGAAGAAGAATGCAGGCCTATCTCCTTTGCATAGGACTTTTCTCTAAGAAGGGGAGGCCTTTGCTAGAGAAACTATGTAAACCTGTTTGTAATCTCTCACCTGAGTGGTACTTTCAATCAAGAACCTGTGCTCAGAGCTTCAGAAAAGTTATTTTTTTCAGATAGTGAACTCCAAAAATCCACAAGCAACATGGTCACTGGGGAAGTCTGGGATTTACAGTATAGTGCAAAAAGTAAATTTACCCACTTCTTCCTGTGCACTTAAATCAGCTCTCAGGTAGGAGGAGCTTTGAAATATTTGAGACTTATGCTAAGGTGAGTTGGATCAGTGCATTTTAATGGAGCCACAAGAGTCTAAAGTGAGAGGTCCTTTGCTGTTTTCACCAGAGCAATAGCGGGCCGAATGATGTGACTGAGAGTTGAAGCCGATGAGCAGAGTAATGTAATTCAGCCTAACAGCACCTTTGTCACTTCACGCTGCAGGTGGGAGGGTCTAGATTTGTGTGTTCGTTTCTGTGGAAAACAATAACAGTAAGCAAGCCCCTCAGTCATGCTTTTGGAAAAGTAATCCTTTACGGAAGATTGTAAGAGGGCTGTGGGGCACTAAATTTAAGGTTCATGTATTAAAACAGAATCAGGCAAGGAGGCAAAGAATTCAGAAAAATAAGTTGAACCCTAAGCTTCTAGTATTTGTGGGGCTGATTCTTGTATATAGACAATGCTATCCCTTCTGTCTGTATTTGGGGCTTAAGTGTCTGTTGTGTTTGCATTGGGCCACAGAACATGTCCCTACAGCTTGTGCCCGTGTTGATGCCCTTCGTTCCCATGGATACCCCAAGGAAGCACTTCGTCTAACTGTGGCTATAATCAATACCTTAAGACTGCAGCAGCAGAGACAGCTGGAGATATACAAACATCAGAAGAAAGGTATGTGCAAGACTCTGTGAGTTTGGCTTGACAGTTTGTTTGCTGCGTGCAAGACTCTGATTGTGAGTTTGGCTTGACAGTTTGTTTGCTGTTCACCAGTAGGTATCCAGATCTTTTCCAGGTCCTGTCATCATCACTGCCATTATCATCACCATTTAGTTTTCTGACAGCTGTGTGAGGGCCACTATGACATAGTGAACTGAATGATGGATTAGGACTCATGAGAGATGGGCTCAATCCCAGCTTGGCCATGGAAACTCAATGGTAAAACCTCTGCTTAAATGTCCCACAGACTTTGAAAACTTTCTTAGGGTGTCATAGGTCTGATGCAACTTGATGGCACTCAGCATACATATTTCAGCTTTATGATGAATGTCTGCTTTTGCAACCATCCTGACTTTTGTCTGATTACATTCGCCATATTTTGCAGGTGAGGATGGGGAGAAGTCTTGCAAAACAAGACAAAACATTGGGGTTATTGTGTCCTAAAAATCTGGCCTGAAATTACCCAGCTCACCATGCCTAGCGGTACAGCTAGTCTTATTATGATGGAGGAAGAGGGTACACATCCAACAGCTCAAAGGCAGACCCATTTCTTGAGGTGTTGCAATTTTCAGTTTTGCAGTTTTCTGCCAGTTTTGTGCAACACTGAAGCCAAAGAGGATGCACCTTATGGCAGAAAAATCAGATAAAATACAGAATATTTTAAAATAAGGAAGTAATCATTCTGGGATTGTTCTTGTTCTGTTTGCCCAACTCCAGAACTGCTGCAGAGAGGAGCCACTACGATCACGAATCTGGAAAGCTGGGTGGGGCATCCTCTCAACCCCATTGGCTGCTTATTTCTCACTTTGACAGAAGCATGTCGAGTAGAGGATGAAAACTGCCTTGAAATTTCAGGTAGGAGAATATGAGAATCCCAGATTGCCAGTCCCCAAACATAAAGCACAGTTTTTACTCTTCCCCCTTTGCATCTGTTTTGGGGCCATCCCCAGGTTACTGCTGAGGTTCCTCCTCTTGTTTTTAACACTTAGAAAATGCCTAAAGTTTCCTAAATGCTGTACAGACTTTTAGAGATCAAACTTGCCCTGTTTGCCAGCTTACTGTCTAATAGACATGGCACAAAGGGAGGAAGGATGGAGCAGAAAGAGAGCAAGTATTGCAGCAATCTTCTTTGGCTAAAAGGTGGGACCAGGTTGGACTCCTTCTTACCGTGATGGCCATATTGGAAGGCGAGGGTGAAGACACCTGTCTCTTGGCTGATTCTAGAGGCCAGAAGAGGCACCCTTTCAGCTCCAGCTGGCACTGGCCAAGCACTTTGGAGTATACTCATGCTTTGTGGAATTGTGTGTTCTACCTTGGCTGGCTTCCTCTTCTTTTTGTGAAAGGGGCACAAACCCACATTTAATCATGGAAACACAGCCCCTTGCTGTTAAGCTGTCTGTAGTCTAAAAGACTCAGAGCTCTATATGGTCTCTCTACACTACCCTTCTTCCTGGTAGAAATCACTGGGAGGGAGCTGACTAATCTCTCTGTGCAGTTTTCTTGTGAGCTGCCAGGCTGGATGAAGAGCAATACAGTTTGGAAAAATTTCTTTTTGGTACAATCTCTCTCAGAATGCCCCATCCAGCATCATCAGTGAAAGCTGTAGTCCCCAAACGGAACTTTTCCAACCTCTGGAGGGCAGTCATGGAGAACCTTGGCAGGAGGGCGCGAGAGAGGTATGCTTGTCTACTGATGACAACTCTTTTCCATCAGATGCTGGTGACTCCAAACCACCCGTGTACCAGCATGTGCCCGTGGCCAACAGTTGCCATGAGAGTGGGGAGTCCTACTTGTCCTTGGCATTGGAGGTGGCCCTGATGGGGATGGGGCAGCAACGGGTGATGCCGGAGGGCCTTTATGCACAAGACAAAGTGTGGCGGAATGAAGAGCAGATCATTGCCCACCTGCAGGAGCTGGAGCTGGATGCTGTGCTGGTGCAGACCCTACGCAAGCAGTGCATCCTGCTGCTCGAAGGTGAGGACACAGAGGTGCCTCTGTCTGGCACTTGTGATGAACTGAAGCTCAGCCCATTCACTATCTTGAGACAGACAGCCTGGACTTCTTTCATTCAGCTCTGTGTTCTGAAACTGGAGCCCCACCACCTTCCCCATTCCCTTTGGTCACAGTAATTACCCCAGTCAGCGTGGATGGTGAAAGTACTGTTGAATAGAGTAAGAGGGGCTGCTACATATGATCAGTCCCATTATATATTATTTGTGTGTAAAGATGGGGCATGAAGTTGGGTGGCAGTGCCAGGATGAAGTTGTACAGAATGCACGATGTTAAACAATGGTGGAGGTTCTGTCCCAGCACATCAAAAGTTATGCACAAAAGATTCTTTATACTTTAATAAAAGGCAGGAGGCTGGGGTTGTGGGGAGAATGGCCTCCAGGTGTTGTTAAGCTCAATTTTCCATTTGTCTCAGTTGGCATGGCCAGTGAAGATGGGAACAGTAATCCAGAAACACATGAAGGGTCATCAGTTCCCCATCCCTACTGTAATAGATGCTGTGTGGATTCATTTCCCCTCCAGTTCCCTCCCCAGGAACATTGCTAAGGATCTTAACAGCTTGGAAGTATTTTTTGGCCTACAGCTTTCCTCTTTGCCATAAGAGGACAATCTAAGAGTTTGAGTCCAGAACACTTTTCTATACTTTTTTCTGTCTATTAGAAGGGTACCTTGCAACAATGATTATCCTACTCTATCTGAAAGCCTTCCTCCTGTAGCAGCATGGAGAAAAGGATCCTAGCCAGTCCCTCCTCTCTTTGTGCTGCTTTTACCCTCCCCTCTGCTTGTGTCTAGAGGCTTTGTACTGTACTCACACTTCTGCAGTTTTTCCTGAAAGTTAAAGCCAGAAGTGGATGGCCACAGGAGTAGCATCCATGTAGGGTGGGGGATAGATGTTATCCTTTCTGATTTCTACTAGACATGGAGTTTCATTTGGAAGTCTGGGGGGGGGGAAGGCAGAGATGGCAGATCTTCAGCGGGAGGGTGGAAGAGATATGCTTCTAAGTTCCCTGCATTAGCAACATTAGGGCCCCTGGACAGAGCAGAACCAAGATTGTTCCACCAAGGATCTCCATTCTACTCTCTTGTATGTCACAGAGAACCAACATCCTCTTGCTTGCATGGTTCATGAGCTTGCCAAACTCTCTGGCTGAAATCCTAAGGGTCTGGTTGCAGGATTGACACTGACGTTGTTCTGCTCTTGCTTAGGTGGCCCGTTCAGTGGCCTTGGCGAGGTGATCCACCGGGAAAGTGTGCCCATGCACACCTTTGCCAAGTATCTGTTTTCTGCCTTGCTGCCCCATGATGCTGACCTGGCCTACAAGCTGGCACTGCGCTCAATGAGGTTGGTACCACTTTCCCCATTTTCTTCACTGGGGAAATTCAGCTTCCAGTGCACAGAAAAACTATAGAACATATTTCAGTAGCTGGTTACTTGTTTTGATCTTCTTCCATTTGTTTAAAAGTTTCTCCAGTATGCAAATTGTTGCAATGCTTTTCTGGCAGATTTTAAACAGAAATACTTTGCATATATTTTACTTTATAAGGGAATTTGGAAACAAAATTACTGGTTAGCAGGTGCAGTTGGTCTCTTTCATCCCTATGTTGTCATTCTCTATTTACTTCACTTTTGAAAGCAGTCTTATTTTACTCCACAGGTGGATTGAAGTTCATGACATTTGAATGACTGTAGTCATACTAGTATCTCTACCCTGCAGTTCTGGTAGAGGGCATGTTGAATACTGGTAATTCAGAATAAAGAACTGGAGAATTGTACATTATACTCCTAGATTTTTTTTCTGATGGGGACATTCGTATTATGCCTTAGTGCTTGATGCAGACAATACTTACTTGTTGCTCAGCTGTTATTGCTTGAGCCCCATAGGCAGAGAGTAGGCAACGTTATGGGTAAACTAGGAACAGAAGAAGCTGCTTAATACTGACTCAGACAATTAGACTGTCTAGCCAAGTATGGTTGACAGTAACTGGCAGTGTCGCTCTGAGGTTCCCAACCTTGGGTCCCAGATGTTTTAGGACTGCAGCTTCCAGAAATTCTGGTCAGCACAACTAGTAGTGAAGGCTTCTGGGCAACATTCCCTCTAAGTCTGTCTCCGGCTGTGTGGGAGCCTCATTCCGTGAGTACAGAGGTGGGCGGGGGTTAATTTGAAATGGGAAGCAAACCAATCGGCTGCTGGCTGCCTGTGCTTAACCCCAATGGAGCTGTGGGCAAGCACAAGTGCATAGCTTAGAGGGAATATTGCTTCTGGGAGTTTTAGTCCAAGAACATCTGGGGACCTAAGGTTAGAAAGCACTGCCCTATAGTTTCCGGCGGGATTCTTCCCTAGCTTGATATGGAAACAACTGAGTATTGGGCCTATGACTGCTTGCATGTGACGTATGTATGCTAACAGTGAGTGAGTTAAATGATTCCAGGAGAGGAGTGGTTCACTCCATGGCAGCAAAGACTACCAAGAGTCTTGTGGCACCTTAAAGACTCATTGATTTTAGCAGACTGCTAAGTAAAATGTGTTGCTTATTAAGTTGCTACAAGGTTTTTTTGTCCATTTCTAATTTAATTTTGGATTGATAAACCTGTAATCCTTCTGTTGCAATCAAAGCTGGGCAAAATCTCTCTTTTTGATTGCAGTTCTTAGGCACTCGCCATGCTAAATGGTGGGTTCTGGGTTCTGCAGCCCAAAACAGTACTTTTTTAAAGTTTCTTTGCCATACTCCTATAACAAAACAAAACAAAATCATCCAGTGTTATAGCAGTGGTCTGTCCTAGCAGGCAGGTTTTTGTGTAGGGGGGAAGTCCTGGCTTCCTGTTTCCTTGGATTCTCAAGCCTTTAAAAATACCCAAACTGAAGCCATGTGAGCAGGTAGCTCCGAACTCCAGCAGATGCCTTGGTGTTAGAGCCCACCCTCTTCCCCCGCAGCTCCACTAAGCAAAACCAGATGACTGCTGTGCAAATCATGCTTGGCTCTGACTTAAAAGCACAAGAAGGGGATATTTCCATACTTATATTTTTCTTTACAAGTTTATAAATCACTTCTCAGTTCTCTAGTGGCCTTTCAAGTTTACTTAAGGCTGGTCTTGCAACCATATGTTTTAAAAGCCCTTGAAAGGCTTTCCACATGGTTTTACACCAGCATGCCATGGGCAAACAAGACAGATTAAAAGCTACTGCTGGCAGGTGCCCATTCAGTGACTCGATGTGGCTTGCTGTTTTTTCCTAGGCTGCCTGTTCTGGAGACGACTCCCTCTGGTGATGTTACGCACCCTCACCATATTGTTTCAGTGGTGCCTAGCAGGTACCCACGCTGGTTTACACTGGGACACTTGGAATCACAACAGTGCGAACTTGCTTCCACTATGCTGACAGCAGCCAAAGGTGGGTAATGGGCTCCTTGCAGAACTGGAGGTGAGCACCAGAAACCTTAGGTTAGGGGTCAACGCCTGCAAGTTAAAAGACCACAGTTGCCTCTTCCCCCTCCCCATCACTCCCCAAGGACCTACTACTGGCCTCTTGACAAAACCAGAAATGACTGGAGATTCACGGTCTTTTCACAAAGACAAGGTATGTGGGACAATGTATTGCCTTTATTTTGAAAGAAAATAGCACCACCTGGATCGTTAGGAATGGAGTTTTCCACTTTGCACATTACAATGATTGGGGAGTGTCCTCTGAGGGCTTCAGAAGCCATCATATTGAATGGGGTGCATGGGGCTGATAGGGGAAAGTCTGTCTTCCCCTTTAAATATCCCATTTTCCTCACTTGCATTGGGACAAGGGCAATGTTATACTGACAGTCATGCTGTTTGCCTTAGCCTTTTTAGCAGTAAGTTAGGAAATGGTTTCCTTAACTGTAAGAGCTTAAAAGTCAGATAGCCTTTGTATCTAATTTTCCTAGCTGATTGGTCACAGTACCTTAGCTCTGCCTCTGGACTGGCCATATTGTGGCTTCCTTCTTATTGGGACTGTCAAGATGGTAAAAAAAAAAGTACATCTTTGGAAAGAAATAATCAGGGTCAGTAGCTGCCAGGTTTTGCTGATCTATGCCATGAGCCTGGTATGATGATGCCCCTGCTCCCAGGAAGCCTGCCTAACTTTCCTTGAACCAACATGGAGGTTGGCACTGAATGTGTCCAATTCTTAACACAAGGCGCTTGGCAGTATTTTTTCTCTGTCAGCTGTTTGGATGGCAGGGATTGTTTGTATCCATGTGGCCACACCAGCTAGACCAGATGGATACTGGCTACTAGAGGAAACTGAAAGGCCAGGAAAACAAAGCCAACTCTTTATATTTTAGAGATCAAGAGTCACACTGTTCCTGTGATGTTTGCTTTGAAACCTGGTTGAAAATATTATATCTCTGTAGCTAGATTTTTATTCTGCTGTTGGGATTGAAAATAAATATTAACAATAATTATATGTTTTGTTCACTTAAGATGTTCTTGGTGGCTTGGCTTTTATATTGTAACATTCTGTGAGCTGGTGAGGTCAGCTGTTATGTACCAGGATAAGATTTCCAGACCTGCAGTGAAATTGCTGGGGATTAGTGTTTTGTTTGCATTCCATGGAAAGCCACCCACTGATTTATCTAAAAAGAAAAAAGAATAACAGACTCCATTAGGAAAATCCATGGCAAATATCATTATGTTCCCTTGACCAGGATATCCAGGGTGATGTTAAAGCCCCCACTCAGCCATAAAAACCCACTGGGATATGTTTAATTGGTATAGCCATTTATTAAATGTCTCACCAGTTGATCCCTAAATCAACATTAATTATGGAAGGATGAAGATGCAGGTCCAAACTTCACTGCCTTTTAAATAAAATGTTTTCATTGATTACAGATATTATTATTAATCATAGGTAACTTCTATTATCATCAGTCTCAACCTTCTATTTGTCATTACAGGTCTTACTCACTTTTCACTCTAATCACACCTCAGATCTCCCAAATACCACACTCTATCTCCTTCTCCACTTTCTCACTCTTACTCTTGACTCCGCCTCTTTATTACATTTCTCTCGGCTCCGCCTCCTAGCAACATTAGTCTGATCCATGAATATTCATAACTACTTAACATAATAAGGATGAATGCCACAGGGTCACTATAAGTTGGTTCTGTCGTGACAGCGCATAACAGCACCCTTCACCACTTGAATGTGCTCTTGCCATTTTATCGCTTGTTTTATTTTGAAACTCCACTTATTCTAAGCTGAAAAGCTCTCTCTCCACATGGGATTCTTCAACTCCTCGATTACCCTATTTTACAAATGCCCCTCCATTAAATGCTCATTCTACTAGTTCAGTTTTTCATTTCTTGGTTTGTTTGTGTTCAGAGTTGCTGGTAACAAAGGAAATGCCTTTGATCCTTCTATGGGCGTTATTTTGCAGCAGCATCTTCCATGTTTGATATGCAAGCCCTCTCTTAGTCAGTTTTTGCATCAGCCCATAAATAACTGTGATCATTGCTACATTTCTAGCTTATATTTGCCTTCAAAGATTTACCTTAATCACTTTATTCTAAGATGTTACTACATTTAGCAATCCATTTTTTAATTTAAAGTGTGTCAGAAGAACTTAAAAATCTAAAGTGAGCTGAACTGGATCAGAGCAAAGACCCATTTATTCCAGTGTCCTCTTAACAACACTGGCTAGCCAGATACAAGAACATCTCCACCTGCACCCTGACCAGAGGCTACTACTTCAGGATTTCCAATTCCTTATGAATCCAGACAGCCATAAATATATTCCATTTTTTAAGTTCCATGTCATGTTCGACTGAATGGACTGTAATTTGAGGGTCGGGTATGTATAACCTGCCCATATGGGCCATACAACACATGACAGCAAAACCACATCATCTGCCAGCAGTTCATATTCGTACTGTATTCATGTCATATTTTAATTTCCTTTGGTCTCACCTAGCTGCTCTGTAACTCCCGCCATCTCCCCATCCTGGTCAGGTGAAGTAGGCAAGAATCCAAACCGAGACTCGTTCTGGAACTCCATGGACATTGCCAATGTGAAACCCTTGGTTTAGAAATTAATGGTGACTAATTTCTTTGTACTTCACCCAGAGCTTGTACAAGTTATTTCCACTAAAGGGGCACTATATCAAATCAATCAATCAATTCTTGAGTGCAGATCTTGGAACACCCCCCCCCACACACACACATAAACAGTGGGTCCTATTGCCATATGGTCTGGGTGGATATGGGCATTTTAGTGTATCAAGGTAATTTCCACACTCTGCTTCATTCGATTGGTTTCTCTTCCAACATGCTTTAGAAGTGGAGACTCCTACATAGTACAGTGCTATCCAGTTTAGATGACACACTGGTGACATCTCAGAGGAGAGAACTGGCATCCTAGCAGGCCAATGGATGAGCATTCTTTCTGTTCCCATGCAGGTGACATGCTGCGCTTACGGACTGTCCTTGAAGCCATTCAGAAGAACATACACTCTTCTTCCTTGATCTTCAAACTGGCCCAGGATGCCTTTAAGATTGCAACACCTGCTGATAACAGCTCTGATACAACCCTGTTGAATGTGGCACTAGAGCTGGGACTGCAGGTAAGGTAGATCAGTGGTCAGAAGAGAAATTTGAGAGTACTTTCAATCTTTGTTCTAACTTGGAGGCCTGGCTGAAAGGTGAAGGATATGTCTTGGAGCCAATAGAAGCATCTGCGTTCAGGAAGTCACTAAATGTAGGTCAGGTTCTGGTCACTTTTTTCACTTCCTGATGTATTCTTGCATTCAGTTTTGCCCGTTATGTTGAACCTACACCACCCCTTCTCAGATGATCTCCTATCCAAGAAGATAAACAAGACCTGCTTATCTTTTAAGCCTGCAGCAGTGCATCCCATGACTTCAGGCCAATCTATAGCTGTTGGGAAATGCTGATCTAGGTCAATGCAAGCCCTGGGCTTAGGGAGCATCTGTGAGAAATAATCCCTCTCACTGTCCTAGGTGATGCGCATGACCTTGTCGACCTTGAATTGGAGACGGAGGGAGATGGTGCGATGGCTGGTGACCTGTGCAACCGAAGTGGGTGGGTATCTCTCTCATGAATCCTGAAAGTGAAGCCCGAAGCCCTGTCTGCTCCAATGAACAAGCAGAAGGCCCTGATAATTTTAAGGATGGTGTGACACCCACTGAGCAACAGAGCCACAAGGAGATGATAATGTTTCAATACTACTTTTGAATATTCAGAGCACTTCCCATACAATTCTGTGTTGAAATGGTTTTTGTAGTCCTATAAGAGGGGGCCAGTACGTATTATGCCACATGCTACAGATGTGGGGAATGAAGCAGAGACAGTAGGGTTGTACACATGAAGTATATCTGTAGAATTCCTGTCAGATGAGACCTGAATCAGAGACATTTTGATTCATAACTCATTCTTCTATCCACTATATTGCATCAGCATCCAAATTTCCACAAGGAGGATAATCATTACAGAAGATCCTTCTGTAATCATTACAGAAGGTCCCTGCACTAGCCATGAAAAATAGGAGGGCTGGTGATAACAAAGACAATCTATTACTAAGATGCAACTATAGGTAACTTTAGAAAAAAATAAACTTGTTTTCTTGTTATGAAATGGAGAGGAGTGAGTTTGTGTGGCTCATTTTTTTTTTCAGTTTTCCACATCTGTGTTGTTCTATCACAGTTCTATATCTGTTTGTTTCCCCTCCTAGGCATGACAACCCACATATTTTTTTACACAAGTCACAAATATATCAAGTTTTGTACACTTTTCTAACTGTATTCATTTTGTACATATTTTGCAAGCAATTTCCCCCACTGAATACATCATTTTGGGCATGTTTTCCAGATACTGTACATTTTTTAAAAAAGTTTGAAGTCTACATATTTTGGGGGTGCTTTATTTTTTCAAATATTTCTGTATGGATTTTAAGGACTTGCTGATGCTAGGTTATGTTCAGGTTCAGAAAGTATGAATTTGGTAAGTTCAAACTGAAATGCAAACCAGATGAATTTTTCACCCAGCTGAGTCATAAATGCAGAGCCTTTAGACCAACTAAAGCAAAGCTAGATCGTAGCTGTCCAGTTATCGTAGAAGTCTTGGCTGATAGCATAATCCTCCACTACAAAACCAGTGAATACTGCCAACTTGAACAGTGCGATCCTGCTTCTGAGACAGGTTAGATTATGACCAACATAGCCTAAAGCACTGAAACACCATATCTCTAAAAGAATTAATTAACATGATCCCCGTCACACTGATCTAATTGAAAGAGGAAAAGAATGATTGTTGAGCTCTTTACCTCCATTTGTCAAGCATTGCAGTCACATTCTGCCCCTTTCCCCCGTGGCCTAAGACACTTCTGCTTCCTTCCTTGCAGGTGTCCGAGCTTTAGTCAGCATCTTGCAGAGTTGGTACACACTCTTCACTCCAACTGAAGCTACTAGCATAGTAGCAGCAACAGTGATGTCCCACAACACTATCTTGCGCCTCAGTCTGGACTATCCACAGCGAGAAGAGCTGGCCAGTTGTGCCCGCACATTGGCCCTGCAGTGTGCTATGAAGGATCCTCAGAACTGTGCCCTCTCAGCCTTGACCTTGTGTGAAAAGGACCACATTGCCTTTGAGACTGCTTACCAAATTGTGATTGATGCTGCTTCCACAGGCATGACTTATTCACAACTCTTTACCATTGCACGGTACATGGAGCACCGTGGGTATCCCCTCCGAGCCTTCAAGCTAGCATCGCTTGCCATGACACACCTCAACCTCGCCTATAGTCAGGACACCCACCCTGCTATCAACGATGTGCTTTGGGCATGTGCACTCAGTCACTCTCTGGGCAAGAATGAGCTCGCGGCCATTATTCCGCTGGTAGTGAAGAGCGTCCATTGTGCCACAGTGCTGTCTGACATCCTGCGACGCTGTACCATGACTGCACCAGGCCTTGCTGGTATTCCTGGCCGCAGGAACTCTGGGAAACTGATGTCAACAGACAAAGCACCTTTGCGCCAGCTCTTAGATGCTACAATAAGCGCTTATATCAATACCACACACTCCCGGCTCACCCACATCAGCCCTCGGCATTACGGGGAATTTATAGAATTTCTCAGCAAAGCTCGGGAGACTTTCCTGCTGGCTCAGGACGGCCACATACAATTTGCTCAGTTCATAGACAACCTCAAGCAGATCTACAAGGGCAAGAAGAAACTCATGTTGCTAGTGAGAGAGCGATTTGGATGAACTTCTGCACTAGAAAGAGGAAAGAAACCCTGATCATTGTTGGTGGGGTCATGCTAGTTAGGCAAGACCTAACTGTATTTCCCATTTGGAGAGATTTCCCAGATTCTTCAAGGAACAAAAAAAACAACAACAGCACAACAGGAAGGGTTTTGTTTCCCACCCACAACTCACTCGCAAACACTTTGGCAATACCAAAAGCTAACCAGGAAGTTGAATACCTCTTTTCCAAAGGGCATGGTGGATGGAGGCTGAAAAGCAAAGTGGCACAAAGGAGGCATAGAAGTGTGTCCGTCAGCCTCTGGAATTGCCACTTGTGTTGCCAGCTGGTGGCCTTGAGAGATGTGCATCCTGCCAAGACTGGCAAAAATGTCACCATGTTTTCGTGCACGTGGAGATCCTTAATTAAGAACCTAAAGTTAACTGTTCTCAGGGATTGCTTTACTAAAAGTAACAGAAGCATTTATGAAACTGTAAATACAATAGTATACATGTCAATTATTAAATTGTAAAGTTCTAATTATTTATAATTATTCTTATTTTGTTTGGGGGATACTTGAAATTGTGTTGTGGGCTTTCTTTCATGCATTCTTGTTAAAACATTTCTGAACATGAGAAACATGAACATTTCTCAGGTTTTCCCCAGCACTGTTGGTAAAGGTGGACTGGGTTATCTGACAAGCAGAGAAGAATTCAGAGTTTATGCAGAATTGCCATACTGCGATGGCCTTGGAAAAGAAGAGACTAAGGTGACAACGGGAAAGCCAGACATACCTCAACGTTTCAAGGTCATCTGGGTGAGGATTTGGCCCTCTGGGCCTCGACCCTAACACTCTCCCTGTGTCAGCTGGCTTTTGTACTGTGGTTCCCAGTATGGAATACAAAGGCCCAGGAAGCCAGGTAACCTGGCTGTAAAACAGTTGGGTCCATAGCTTAAATAATCTATTTTTGACGCTTTTCCATGGATGGGTGCTTGCAAGTACTGCATACCTCTGAATATGTATGTGGGGAAGGTTTTCTCTGTTTTCTTTCAGCTGGTGGGGAGTAGGAATCCCATGTTTTTCTTCTTTGCCTATGTGTGTCTTTGTTTTCATTGCCATTTATAAATGGTTGCAGCAAAGGCTGGTGCCCTCTTGAGGACAGTTTCCCATCACACGTCTTCCTGCTCCAACTCTTACCACTGTTTAGCATTCTTCTTAATTTTTATCTTGTTCCAGTGAATCACAGGGGAGCAAGACAGGGCTTCCTTATTCCAGTTGTCTTTGTGTTCCCCTGTTCCAGTGTGTCCTAGTTTTAAAAGGGGCAGGGAGGGACTGGGGGTCTGGGGTGGGATGAAATGTAGCTTAGGAAATGTGGATTAAAGTTACTACTGTCTGACTCCAGTTTTGTTTCCAAAAAAAACTCTTAAGCAGCTGGTCCCAAGACCAGACAACTCCAGTTGACTCAGTATTTGTTGCCATAGAAGTATCATTCTTCACATCTGACTCTTTATTTTGTGTGTACAACTTCTTGACATGGTATTTAATAAAAAAGAAAAAAAAAGGAAGGATAATGTTCATGCCATTTCTGTATCACTCCAGCCGTTTTGCTTATCAGTCAGATACCTATGTAATTTAGAAACAGGGCTGGTAGAATGAGGGGAACACCTCAGGCAGCAGGTTTGAAGTGTCATGAGTGGGCAAGCAAAGGTTATTTTTTACTACAAAGACCGGAATATGGGTTTTAGCCCTCTTGGGCGAAAATAACATGGCTAGCTTTAGGTAGCATTGTACCTTAACGTGTGGGGCATTATTTGTTGTTCTACATGAGACACCAAAACTTTTTGACAGGCCTTTGTGTGTTTGTGTTTTTTAAAGCACTAGTGAAAGGACAACTGGTACATTATAAGGGGTGCTGCTGCAATGGGCAGGATCAAAAGGGACCGTTTGTAACCATCCAAACCCTCATCCTTGCAGATTTATTTTGATTAGCAGTGCTGACCTTTTGGATGGGAAGGAGAGTTCTGCCTCCTCTTGACCTAGGGCCCATTGACTGTATCCACAGAGAAGCTGGTGTAAGCTACAAGGAGCACATTAACTTCTCACCCAGACAAGAGTATGTTCATCTTGCAGATTTACTGCATGGGTGTGCGTGCAGAGGAAATATGGATCAGAGAAGGCTAGGGCATAGTGGGCATGACATGCACAATTATGTCTCTCCTTTCAGTCCTCCTCTTGCTTCAGACATCTTGACCTTGTACCGATTTTCCACCGCAAGATAGCATCACTCGTCACTCACAGATACTAAAAGCCAAAAATCCTGTCCTAAATCCAGTTGTAATTCACAATCACAGTAGACCCACTGAGTCAATGAGGCACTGAATTACCATTAGGCAACTAATTCATTAGGGACCAGCATATGGGTTTGAGGCAGAGATTGCTGTATTCGATGATGGGAATAAGGTGGTATGAATGTTAGGGACTGCATGTATATGCTGCACGAGTGGATGGTACCAGTAAAAAGTAGTCACTTCTCATTAATATCCTGTAGGAAAACACTGGGTCATACATTCCATGCTGAAGGCAGTGCAGACTTCACATTCCTCAAAATCTTCCTTTACCATCTGCCCACCAAAGCACGGGGCCAATATGAGTGGGCAGCCAGACTTTAATTGTGGGCCATTGAAAACTTACACAGTCCTCCTTTTTCCATTTCCCAGAGGCCTGGCTTCACAACCATTGCAAAAATAGGCTTTCCCTGTGAAGTCCTTTGGTACAGCTTGTTCAGTGCATTGTGCACCATCCAACCTGGGGCCCAATCCCCCAAACTTTAGCAAGATTTGCTGAGGTGGCGAGAGTGCTTATGCACCGCATCCACAAAGGCACCCACATGTTCTGGGTTCATGTCAGGGTAAAGGCCATGGCCCAGGTTGGCAATATAGCACTGGGAGCCAAAGCCTTCCAACATCTTCTTCACCAGGTCCCCAATCTTTTCCTAACAAAAGCAAAAAAATAATTACCATGCATGGCAGCTGAAGGTTAGATTCCACCTCACCCCCACCCCGCAACTGCCATCTTCAGAAAGGTTTCTATTGGGGAAGTGTTGGGGCTTGACAGAGAGGCTTAACCCAAATGGTACAACTGCAGTCCTCAAAATAATGTGTTGACAACTAGAAGCATACCCACAAACATTTGTTCTGCTCACCAAACTGTTCCCTGTCTGTCTTGGATAATTTTTTTATTTTATTTATTTATTTGATTTTTACCCCGCCCCTCTAGACCATGTCTACTCTTAAATAAAGAGTTGAAGCCAACTATGTTTCACCGTCCACCTGCAAATATGTGCATCTATCCACTGGAGGCAGTTTGTGTTACTGTTGAGTGTTGACCCCAGTTTGCCCCATCTGAACAGCCCACTGTCCTGATTCAACAAGCCACGGAAAGGGGGTGATGGGGGGTAGGGCATGGGCAAGCCCACAGAGGCTCTCAGCTGTAAAACTAAGACTAGCATATCATGTGACCAACGGAAAGAACCATTAATAACATCATCCCCTTTACCTTCACCAATCAGTTCAGCCAGGTTTCACTTGCAACTAAAGGAGGTATTTAGACATACAATGAGCAGCAAGAGACTTAAGCCAAGCCTTAAGTGGCTTGCCAGCTTTCTTAACGTCCTGCAGCTGGCAGAAACTCAGGTGGCTGTCTTATGCTCTTCACCATGCTGAAGCGAAAAGAAAACAACACAGTTTGCTGAAGGGCGCAGAGTCCTTCAGGCCTCTGGCACCAGCATCTTTACCTTTGGTGCATAGAGAGCACATGGATCCAAATTCCCTTGTAAGGTAATGCCTTTTCCTGTCCGCTGGCTGAAACAAAACACATTCTTTCAGCAGGAGGTGGAGGAAGAGCACTTATGAAAGGCATAGCTGCTTTGTAGAAATCAATGTACCATGTGTGGCAAAAAACAACAACAACTATGAATAAATCCCTCTGCATTAAAGTAATGTGAGTCAGCAAGAACTACCTATAACATATGGGTTGCCATGTAGGTCTAGGTGAGTGTAAATGGCAACCCACATGAGAATTCAAAGTGTCTGTTATTCAGGCACAGAACAAAATCATTATTCCACTCCCATCTGCTTCTAAATCATTAGACAAAGCTGGTTCCCTAAAGCCAGGGCAAAAGGATGCTTTTGCCTTATTTGCTATATAATCTCATTCTAACTCAATTCTCTTGGGAGAGTGATGTCTTTTCAAAGGAGGCATCTCAGTCATTTATCTTTGACACTGAACTTCCCCAAGCTCTAGCTCCTTGATAATAATAACTATGGCTTTATTCTTCTGCATTCACTTTTCAGCAGGATTTAGCTCTTCCTAGAGGAGGGCTGGGGAACTTTTGCCCTCCAGATGTTGATGAACTGCTATTCCCCACCACAGTACACCACTGATTTGCTGGTTGGGATTAGTGGGAACTAGAGCTCAGCAACATCTGGAGGGCCACAGGTCTAACACAGTGGTTCTTAACCTTGGGTTACTCAGGTGTTTTTGGACTGCAACTCCCAGAAGCCTTCAGCACCAGCTGTGCTGGCTGGGATTTCTGGGAGTTGCAGTTCAAAAACATCTGAGTAAGCCGAGGTTAAGAACCACTGGTCTAACAAATGCTGTCCTACAAATCACCCAGTGGAGGTGCAATCTACATAGACACACATATATAGCTGCTTGGTAAAATGAATGGATTGGAAATGGTGCTGGTTGCTTCGACATTCCCATATCTGGTTGTCTGGACTGATTATTCCCTTGGCATCCGTGAACTGTATTAATTGGGCCAAGAACAAAACTGGGCAAGTGAGAAAAGGATCTAGGAAACCCACAATAACCCTTCTGTAATCCCCAAGCTCAAGATGATTTCTCACCGAGCATCCTCAGGTCGGATGGTCCAGTCCAGGCCTACCACTTCATATCCAGATTGTGCCAAGTCCTCCAGGGCATAATGTGCATCTTTGGCAAAAATAATCTGGGAGGGAAGAGAAAGAAAAACAAAACCAAGCAGGACAACATTGAGCACAGGTGGGCTGCTTGCATTTGGAGCTACTGAACTCCAGTTCATCGTTTAAAACAAAACAAAACTCTAGCCTGATAAAATTCAAAAACAGTGGTTCAAATGCATAACATTAGCACTAACAGACCACTAAAAAAATTACAAATAAAAATGATCTCTCAATCTATACAGATCTTCATCAGGCTGGGCAGATGGTATTAAAAAAACACACAACAACGTCAGAGCTTTTGGGGGAAAGGCGTCTCAAAATGGGGGCTGTAGCTCAGTCCAGAAGTGCTAGGTCTCAGATTTCAACTCTGCTGATGTGGATTGGAATCTGCCTACCAACTTGTTAGTCAAAGAGCTGCCAGTCATGCAGAAGCCCCATGCCAGTGACTGAAGGAACTCAGGTAAGGGAAGGCTACATATTTTAGCATGTAAGACCAGCAGCCCACTTCCTCTGTTCATCATCGGTTATAAGGCAGAGACCTCTAACTTCTCAGTTCTCACAGCAGGGGTGTGGCAAAGGGAAGAGCACCTTCATCATCATTTCTACTGCTGAAAGTGATATGAGCATTAAAGAAGATACCCATACATATATTCTCCTGCACACCTGGAGGAGAAGGCTATATAGCTAATAGTCACGATGATGACTCTATATTAATTCAATTACAGTGGTTCCTCGCATAGCGATGTTAATTCGTTCCAAAAAAAACATCGCTATGTGAAACCATCGCTATGCGAAACACCATTTCCCATAGAAATGCATTGGAAACCGGTTAATCCGTTCCAATTGGAACGGATTGCCGTCGTTAAGCGAAAAAACCCATAGGAAACATCGTTATACGGGGCATATTATTTTCTAAAAAAACACATCGTTATGCGAATTCATCGCTAAACGAGGCAATCGTTAAGCGAGGCACCACTGTATCAGAAGCAAGATATACTTCTGAATACTCATTGTTTGGGCAACTGTAGGAACAGAAAGCAGGACCAAAAAGGTCTTTAGTCTGCTTCAGCACAGTTCTTCTTGTGTTCACACCTAACCATCACCCTCCCTACCCTATATGTGTTTCTTCTGGAAGGTATCATTCAATGGCCCTGTATCCCAATACTCAATATGGAAAGATAGACTGGGTTTCAGTGGTTGCTCATGTAAGATCCCCTCTTTTTATATTTTAATTTAGGATGAACAGAACATGGTTCTTCCAGACAGGATGGGCTCAGAAATCCAGCTGATGCCAAGAAAATTCCACAAGAAAGGCAAAGAGATCTTACCATGGGCACCACAGGCAGGGCATCCTCCTGTAGCTTACTCTTCACTCGTTTTGCAATGGACTGGATGAATGGAAGGGAGAAATCTGCAAACAGCTCCGGTCCTAGGTGTCCTGCGTGGGACTCAAAAAGCTGAAGAGCCTGCCAAAAGACAGAGACATACAAGGATCTGGTATTGCTTCCTACCTTCCATTCTCCTCCAAGATGTATCTTCCACAACCCTTGCCTAAAGGAGCAATGCATTTTCCCCCAGCCCCATATTTCCTGCTGCAGGATCACAGAAGCATAGAATAACTAAGTTGGAAGGGCCCTATAAAGGCCATCGAGTCCAACCCCCTGCTCAATGCAGGAATCCAAGTCAAAGCAGATCTGACAGATGGCTGTCCAATTTTCTCTTAAGTGCCTCCAGCATTGGAACAACCTCACCACCTCCCAAATAATTGGTTCCATCGCCATACTGCTCTAACAATTATGAGGTTTTTCCTGATATTCAGTCTAAATATGGCTTCCTTTAGTTTGAGCCCAGTGTTACATGTCCTGCACTCTGGGATGACTGAGAACAGATCCTGCCCCTCCTCTGTATGACAGCTTTTCAGGTATTTGAAAAGTGCTATCAAATCCCTCCTCAGTCAGATTTTTCTCATCACTTTTTCTTCATAGGGTTTGTCTTCCAGTCCCATGATCATCCTTATTGCCCTTTTTTCTCATCACTTTTTTTTCATAGGGTTTGTCTTCCAGTCCTGTGATCATCCTTATTGCCATCCTCTGAACTTGCTCCAGTTTGCTGGCATCCTTTTTAAAGTGTGGTGTCCAGAATTGGGCACAGTACTCTAGATCAGAGGTTGTCAACCCCCGGTCCACGGCCCTGTACCAGTCCATGGCCTGAGCCGGACCAGGTCGTGAAGACAGACCACCCGCCCCCCAAAGGAATTCCCTTCCCCATACCTGCTTTGCGTGCGCGCACACGGGCATGCCAGCACCAGCGTGAGCACTCCTCCATCCCTTCACGCATACATCTGAGTGCAGGGGTGGGCAGGCACACAGGCACTCCTGCGCATGTACGAAGAGGTGGGGGAGCGCTCATGCCAGCGCTGGCATGCATGTTCCCCCACCACTTTGCGCATGCCCCACCTTCCTCAGAGGCTCAGCCGGATGCGGGGGGTGCCTCACCTTCCTCAGATGCTCAGCTGGTCTGCGGTCCCAAAACGATTGGGGACCTCTGCTCTAGATCAGGGGTCCCCAACCCCCGGTCCGTGGCCATGGCAAGACTGGGCAGTGGAGATAGATCTCCGTCCCCCGCACGCACTCTGCCCTGCACGCACGGCCCGCCACCTGCATGCACAGTATGGCAAGACTGGGCAGTGGAGATAGAGCTCCGCCCCCTGTACGCGCTCCGCCCCGCACGCACGGCCCGCCACCTGCATGCACAGGTGCCGCTCCCCTCTGTGAGCACACCCCACCTCTTTCCACATGTGTGAGCGTGCTCCGCCCCTCCGTGAGCACGCTCCGCCCCTTAGCGCATGTGCATGAGCACGCTCTGCTCCTTCACACATGCGCATGAGCACACGCCACCCCTCCACGAACAGACCCCCCAACAACTCAGAAAAGGTTGGGGACCACTGTTCTAGATGACGCTTAACTAGAATAGATAAGCAAAGGATAAGAAACACCTGTAAAATTCTAGATGACGCTTAACTAGAATGGATAAGCAAAGGATAAGAAACACCTGTAAATAATCAAGAGTTCTTAAAATGGGAGAACATTTAAATTGTTCTCGGCTGCTATGCTCAACACACCTACCTGGAAGTCAACCCTATCAAAAGAGGTTTGTTTCTGAATGTCAGCTTGAAGTTCTTATTTTATTATTATTATCATCATTTTACATTGTTTTATATAAATGGCAAGTATATAAATTAGTAAAATAAAATAAAACTGAAAGTTTTCTTGTAAGACACACCTGTGTCAAGCTAAGGAAACTAGCTGAGCCCTCTTCTCACAATGCAAACCACAATTCAGCCGAAATGGGTAAACAGGGCAAGGATCACATTTGTCTTACTCTCATCTCCGACGCATTCGATAAAAAGCAAGAACAGGGATCTAATCTGCACACAGGATATACTCATGACCTTACAGTGTGAAGGTTTTGTTGTGTGCACTGACAATTTTTACTTCATTGCTAAATGAAAGGAAACCAGGGTGGGGGCAGAACTAGCAGAGCTTAGGAAAGTTAGCTTTTTGGAACTAGAACTTCCAGGATCACACGGCTAGAGGCTTTGTGCAGGGCAATTCTGGGGATTCAATCCGGAAAATATTTATGTATGTATGTATGTATGTATGTATGTATGTATGTATGTATGTATGTATGTATGTATGTATGTATGTATGTATGTATGTATGTATGTATGTATGTATGTATGTATGTATGTATGTATGTATGTGTGTGTGTGTGTGTGTGTGTGTGTGTGTATGTATGTATATATGTGTGTGTATGTGTGTATGTATGTGTGTATGTATGTGTATGTGTGTGTATGTATGTGTGTATGTGTGTGTATGTATGTATGTGTGTATGTGTATGTATGTCTGTATGTGTGTGTATGTGTGTATGTATGTGTGTGTGTATGTGTGTATGTATGTATGTATGTATGTACCTGATTCTGTATTAAAGGCTATAGTCCATGACTGGCAGCACAATCCTATACCTGCCCACTTGGCACCATCCTTTACCATCCCCAAGAAATACCTCCAAGCGAGAAAGGAAGGGCAAACCTATTCAATCTATACAAAAGCCTACAAGCTTGGAGGGAAAGGAGACACATGGTACCTTCCAAGTTGAATGATTGCAGCTTCTTCTCCTACTCACCTGAGCACCTGCAGCCACCTGACCCACCAGGTAATCCACAATTACATCAGTCAGTAATGTGAGCAGACGATGGCTTGCCTCAGGATGCCGGTAGAGCCAGGCCTTGGCTTTGGCCATTGTGTTGGAGCCACCACCTTCGATCATGTAGGACATTAGTGTCCACTAGAGGGCAGATAAGAAGCAGCAAAGGAAGGCAGACATGAATACAAAGTTCCAATGCCCATCATGCCCATATCGGCTTTATGAGCAAATGGAATCAAAATGAGAAAAAAATATTTTGAGGGATTATAATTCCCCAAATTCTGCCAGTTAGCCTGGCTAACTTCTTGCCTGAAAAAAGTTACATTTTGGACCACAATTCCCAATCCTAGTCAGTTTGTCTAAACTCCGAACTGACCTTGTAGAAAGAAAGATGCAGCTCTGCTCCAAAAAAGTTACATAATCAGGTTGAAATCAAGCCACTCAACCCCACTGCATTGCTGAAAACCAGGGTCTTGATTTCTTTCTCTCTTTACAAAGCTGCCCAGTTGTGTATCCCATTCACCAAAAAATCAGCAAGAACCACCAACATATGCGCTTACTGCTCATTAGTTCCCCTTTGAACAACTTAACCTGCCAAACATATATGTTCAGAATTGTGATTCAAATTTTGATATGTGACATTTTAAAAAATATATACGTGAAAGACGGTGACTATTTGGCTTCTATGTTTAGCGCAGACTATAAAAATGCCTCTGTCAAAGCTGTACCTCAGTAACAAGCCACCCACAGGTCCCACAAAGATCAACTTATGAAGGTGATGGATGAGCAGGTATGAGGGCCTGGAGTCTGGGGTATGACAGCTTTACAGGAGACTTGGTGATGCAGTGTTTAAACCACATTGCTGCAGTCAAGATTACTCATGACCTGGGTCCGATCCTGATGGGCTCAGGTAGCTGGCTCAAAGTTGAATCAGCCTTGATCCTTCTGAGGTCAGTAAATTGAGTGACCAGCTCACAACAAGGGGTAATGTGTGGCCTGTATAATTAAATGCAAACCACCCAGAGAATGATTTAAGTGCTATGGGATAGCATATAAGAAGCATGCTTTACTTTGCTTTATTAAAGAAGTCCACAGAAGATACCAGTCTGTAAGTTATGTGCCCCCACAGAGAGTCTGTCAAATGCTGCAGCTTTAAGTCCATCAAATACAAAACCCAGCTTGGATCACGCAGCAAAACAGGTGGACAATATGCCCCATTTGCCTTTGGTCTCATCACCCGGTAGCCATGCACTGGAAGATTCAGAGAGAAGACTGTGCGACATATATTTCCAAAGAATTGGTACTCACCGGGGCGCCAGAGAAGCCAATTAGAGGCACCTTCCCCTCCAATTTGTGCCGTGTCAGAGTGATGGCCTGGAAGACATAGCCCAGTTCTGTGGCTACATCCACCTTCTGTCGAAGTTTGAGCAGGTCCTCCACCTCCTTTAGTGGGTCTGGGAAGGTAGGTCCTTTGCCAGGCACCATCACCACCTCCATGCCCAGGGCCTGGAAAGGATGCAGTGTGGGAGATCCACCGTAGTTAAAGAGTGGGCCTCCAAAAGGAGTCAACAGGCTAAGGGTCTCTACATGATAACCTCCCTCACCCTGGCATCTCCTACCTGGGGCACCACCAAGATGTCCGAGAAGATGATGGCAGCATCAAAAGGAAAACGTCTTAAAGGCTGGAAGGGGAAGGAAAAAAAGAACAATGGACTATACACAATATTTGCTAGTACCGCATTCTAGTTACAAAAATCCGGCAACTAATGCTTATAACTGGATCCTAGAAATGCAACTTATTTAAATTGTAATTCCTAGGAATTCCCCCACCTTACCCCAAACCTGGTGCTGATCAGTGGAGTCTAGATTTTGAAGGGAGAAGAAAGCAATTTTTCTAGGCTCTGCTCTTCATGATGAAGACAAGTATTTAAAAAAGATGGCATATGACTGAAGACTCCAAATTCAAAGAGGGCAATTGTGAATAGGATTCCACGCAGAGACCGAACAGCTGCCATCCTGTATGTAGTCTTCTCCATCCCAGCGGAAAGTCATCTGACCCCACATTGCCAGCCTGGCTTTTTTGAGCTACAGTGCCTCACGTAGTGTTAGCATATTCTCTGCTGCCTCATATAGTGTTTGCCTATAAATATACAGTGGTGCCTCGCATAGCGAGGTTAATCCGTTCTGGATTAACCTTCGCTATGCTGAAGCATCATTGAACGGGGCAGGGATTTCCATTGGAATGCTTTAAACATGGTTTAATACGTTCCAAATGGCCCAAATACTCACCGTTCAGCGAAGCTTCGTAATGGCCGGCAGCCATTTTCGCGCCCTCGCCTCACTTAACGAGGGCGCGAAAACGCTGTGCGTGGCCATTTTGGGCCATTTCCGGGCTTCCGGCGGCCATTTTGGCTACCGAACAGCTGATCGGCGGGCTTCGTTTTGCGAAGATCGGTAAGCGAAACGCTTACCGGTCTTCGCAAAGCGAATTTAGCCCTATTTAAAAAACGTTAAGCGATCGCATTAGCGATCCGAAAAAACGGATCGCTATGCAATTTCGTCGTTATGCGGTGCGCTCGTTAAGCGAGGCACCACTGTATTGTGTCAGAAAAGAGAAATCTCCTTTGAAAAGACCCTGATGTTGGGAAAGTATGAGGGCAAGAGGAGAAGGGGATGACAGAGAATGAGATGGTTGGACAGTGTCATCGAAGCGACCAACATGAATTTGACCCAACTCCGGGAGGCAGTGGAAGACAGGAGGGCCTGTCGTACTCTGGTCCATGGGGTCACAAAGAGTCGGACATGACTTAATGACTGAACAACAACAAATATTGTGTCAGAAGGCTGGACTGTAGGAGAGCCCTTTTGGTCCCCCAGAGGCTCTCATTTGCCAAGGATATTACTACTCAAGTTTCTATTAAGTATGTGTATGAAGCCTTTACATATTGGATGTTGAGCTGGCTAGTTTCCTCTTAGCCTGGGCAGCAGTAACTGGGCCCAGGGACATGTGCCTGACAGTGTGTGTTTCCTGTCTCAATTGTCTGCATACAAATATGCAGGATTCTTCAAGCTGCTAAGGGTCAGTAGCCAGATTTCAGTGTTGATTTACCATAAAATTGGAACCCAGGCATGCAACCCAAGGATGCGAGCAGTACCTTCTTAATGAGCAGCAATTTGCCACCAAGACATACGCAATTACAGTCGTGCCTCGCAAGACGAATGCCTTGTGGGACAAAAAAACTGCAAGACGAATGTTTTTTGTGATTGTTATAGTGCATCGCAAGACGACTTCTTCTATGGCCGTGCTTTGCAAGACGATTTTTCCCCCTGAGACCGATGCCTCGCAAGACGAAAAAATTTCATTTGTCTTGCGAGGTTCCCATAGGAATGCATTGCAATGCATTCCTATGGGAAGCCGCTTTTCGTAAGACAATTTTTTCGCAAGACAGCGCTTCTCGCAGAACAAATTACATTCATCTTGAGAGGCACCACTGTAATCTTATGCAAGATGAATTGGCAGTAAGATTCTGGCCCATATTTCCCACAGCTTAAAAAAATACTGTATATGGAGGAATCGCTCTTCAGATCCCTTGGTGAGCAATGTTGCCCCTTCCCACCTTGTTCTGATGCCCCATAATGAAGAGAAAGAAAAGAAACCACTGACTGCTGTAAGAATGCAGGAAAGGTTTCTGAGTTAGACTGTTTTAACTGATAGGAAAAGGAATAAAAGATTTAAATGTGACTGCAAAACAGCTAAGTATCTCGGACAAGAACTGTTAACAGGACAGCAAATCATTTCTTTCAATGTTAAAATAGGTAAAAAACCAGTCATATATACCAAAACAGGGTGATATTCAAAACAGTCAGTTAGAAATCCATATTTAAAGCAACTGCAATTCTCCAAAAATACATGTAGTTCAAATCACGTCAAGTCATTAATGACTGTCCAAAACAGAGCAAGGGAAATGTGCATGGAAAGGAAACCAGAGGATACATATATATATTTATAACATCAACATTTTAATAACAGACTGAAGTAATGTTTAAATCTATGCTGACAGATACACAATAAACAGCAGAGGAAATACTGACATGCAGTATAATGAGGTGAGAGAAAACAGAAGGAAACACTGCATAAACACAACATAAAAAAGCAGGAGAAAGAAATTCCAAAGCTGTCAGTAACACATACAATTTTTTACAGACAAAGAAAAAGAACATTCAAACCATTAATACATTTTTCAAAGGGCAAGATAAAGCTGTATGGAAAAAAAGTTAATATCCATTACTAAAATAGCCCTGATAGAAATACATGAAAAGACATTTTTAAAAAGAATATTAAAAAAAAAAAATACAGATGACATGTAAGTGCGACAATAAAGAATTGAGTAAATACTAAAGAAGAGAAGAAAGGAAGACATCCAAGACGGACACATATAAATCAGAGTAGAGCAGAGGAAGTTTTATAAAAGAACAGAAGAAAAACATACTAAACAGATGAACAGAAGAAAACAATACGTTGGAGAAAATGAGTGCCTCAGGGCTTATGTTGTTCTGCATTCAACATCTGCAAACACTTTTAGGGTACCAAACACATCAGTTCTGAAACAGCAGTTTGTTAATATGTACCCATTTCCAGAGGGTTATTACCTATACAAAAAAAGGTATTTTTTAATCCTAAGCAGCAGAGAATTCCTTTTGGGGGAAGGTTTTACAGACTGTGTCTGAGTGCATTGGATGGAATGGATTTTTAGATGATGAAAATTTATGCCAGACACAATTTAAATCCTAAGTACAAGCAGTTTAACTTACAATTTTCTTTCCTTCTAACAGTTAACGTGAGTCATTTCAGTTCCCTTTTTTTGAAAGTAGAACTGAGCTACCTCAAAATAGGTTAGACATTTCTGCCTATTCAAGGCACTCCTTAAGTACACAGCAAGTAGTGACTTGGTAAAATAAAGGAAAAGGAAAAATCTACAGCACCTCCCCCCCAAAAAAAACACCTGTCGAATACCAGTGAATATACAGGTGAGCTGAACATACTCGGCGGGAAGCACATACAACCAAATGTGTAGAGAAGAGGGAATGCACAAACCCCAACTCATAGTATTGTGAGGATCTAACTACATCAGTGGATCATAACCTTGACAATCTCCAGATGTTGCTGAACTGCACCTCTCAGAAGTCCTGAGCATCACAGCTAGTGGCCAAGGCTTCTGGGAGTTTTAGTCCAAGAACATCTGGGGACCCCAGGTCGGGAACCACCGCTCTAAATACCAGCTTCCTTAAGTGCTGAAAGATATGTTTGCCCAAGCATGAGGTGGTCTTATCTCCCACATTTTGCAAATTAGCTTCCTTTATTTTATGCCTGGCTATTGAAAGGTAAACAAAGGCTTCATTAACAAGTCTGATTGCTTAAGCACACAGCTCTGAGGAAATACCACCACTGGAGATCCGATGTTCTGTTACCTTTGAATTCCAAGCTCAATGCCTCATGTAGTTTGACTCACAATTGGGGATTAGGGTTGGCAGAGGAAGCCACCTTTTGTATTTCCTACTCTCTGTATAAGCCCCACTACATAGACATAAATACTAACAATTGGGATTGTCGGCAAGTTCTAAACCTGAGCCCTCAAACACTGCAGAGGAGGAGAGAAAACAAATATACACACACACACCCACTCCCCCAATGAATAGCTTGAAGATGAACCGTGCAAAGAAGCTCCCATTCCCATCTCAGTGGAGCCCTAGTCATTAATTTTAGGAATAAGAAAAGGATATATTGCAACACTTTCTGAAAGGGCTCCATTGCAAGCCTTACATTTAGATTGATTAGATATATTAGTTCTAACATAGCCAACGTTACAGACATGAATCCCATCACCACCAATGAGAATTTTTAATTGTGATTTATTTTAACCCCACCATTTTCGATAGGCTGTACTAATGACTAACTTTACATAGCAAAGCGATACAATGTTTATCTTAGTGAATGAAAATGAAAATTGCTCACTTCTTAAAATCATGGGGATTCATCCTCTAGCTGAATGATTCAAGGGGCATGTTGCAAATAGGGAAGAAAGGCAGTATTTTTGCCTTTCAAAACACAGTGTGTGTGAATCTGGGGTACGGTTACTTCATCTCAGTTCCTCAATTGATTGCACACCCTCATATGGATAGCTTTTGCTAAATTTGTAATCTAAGGTCATATTATCTTTTTCCAAATAGCAACCTATAATGGCAGTGTAATTTAGCTTTCAAATCAAATGCACTTAATTAGCATGATCAGTATAGTTACATAGCTAGAAAGTGTGTTTGATATCATTAATTAGAAAAGGCAATTGTGGTGGGAAAAGCTGAAGACAACAGGAAAAAAGTGAGAACAAATAGGAAATGGATTGACTCAATAAAGCAAGCCATGACCTCAAAGTTGCAAGAGCTGAGCAGGGTTCTGACATGTTGAAGTTTCTCATCCATATAGGCATCATAAATCAGAAGTGATTTGACAACACATAACAACAAATATATGAGTATCAGCTGCCTCTAAAGGACTAAAAGCTTATTCTTCTTGTTGAAGGCGCTTTCATTTATTTAGTCATGGGGAGCTACCAATTTAGGAGTACTACATGTTTGAAGGTGTGCTAAACTGTTGAGAACTTGTGAAATTTCAGCAGCTAGATTTCATCCTCCTATGCCTCTTCGCTGAGATTAGTTGCGCTACAACTCCCATCATTCTGCAAGATTGACAACTTGGTATTTTCATTTCATTTGCATTCATTCTGTTTGGTTACTCTTTTAAAAGCACATCTCTAACTCTGTATTCTTCATATTCAACTTAATTTCTTTTTGTTATAATATATGCAATTCTTTTAATGAAAAAGTGCTATTGGTGCTTTAGCTTTAAAGAATGATGTAAACCAAATGTCATTTGGTGACCCCTAGTTGACATTACTGGATATTCATGGCTAAAAAAGCATCTCTGTTAAGTTGACTACGTGGTTCAAAGAGAGCAGAAAAGGGATAGGGTTATATCCACCTTATACTACGGCGAGTAAAGAAATATTCTGCAGGTGAACTGCAGATTTCACCAAGTTCATACATTCCTCATTTCCAGGAGGGTTCACTCACCTGTAATGTGAGCTCACAGCACGTCTCTGGAGATCGACAAGTAGCAAAGAAATCCTGAGCTGCTCGGGTCTCACGGAACTCTGAAAAATATAAAACAACTGAGTGAAATTAAATGACCTTCAAATATATATAGGTCATTAGCAAATGCAAGAGGACTTCCCATTTCGAAACACCTCAATTTTTAATAATAATAAAAAGGGAATGGTTCCCAACCTTGGGATGGATACTGCCCATTTCTGATATTATGGAGGAACTGGGGCAAGGAAACAGGGGGAAAAAACCTAAATCATCAACAGAGCTTTCATGAAGAAAATGACCAAACACAGGATGCCATCTGTCAATGCTTCTCTCTCTCATATAATACTAGAACACAGAGTCATCCAATGAAGCTGAAATGGTGGGAGATTTGAGACAACTAAAGACTTCTACATACAGGGCATTGAATAAAATTAAATAATGGGATTTTGCTGTCACAGGATGTTGTGATGGCTGATAGCCTGGATCAGAAACATTCCCAGAGGATAGGACTATCAGTAGTTACCAATCATCATGGTTATATCTGGCATTCCATATCAGAGGCAGGATGCCTCTGAAATACCCAATGAAGGAGAAAACAAGTGGGGCTGTACTACTCCATGCATCTGGGAAGGCCCCTCTCCACTCACTCATGGCCAAAATATATATATTTTTTATTGCAGTCTTTCTATAGTCCTCTGGTTGGCCACCGTGGAAGCAGAATGCTAAACAAAAAAGGCTTTGGTTTGATCCAGCAGAGGTCTTCTTATGTTGAAGTACTTTATAGATAGAATTCCAACTTCTTATAACTTGTTTTGAGACCAGATTCTAAGAGTGTACTGTTTGCTTTTGGAACCTTACTAAGATTCTGGTTTGAGAATATCCTATTTCCAATTTTCAGAGAAAGTCGCTCTTCTCAAGTTTTCTGGTTAATGTACATTGCTGGAACAAACCAGACCGAGTATTCCTGATTGCAAGGTCACCCAATGCCAAAAATAGCCATATTTGTGCCCAGTAACAATAGGACAAGGCTGGGAAAGCTGCAATACATCAGATTTTTGGGAATTTGAACTCCCATCAGTACCAGTCAGCTTTCCCAGTGATTCAAGAATGATGAAACCTGAAACCCCGCAACATCTAGAGGACAACCACCCATTCCTTACCATCACGAGTCCTCTGATACCTCACTCACCTGGTAGATATCTTCCTGCCTGTCTCATGCACCAAACTGGGGTGTATTCTGTCTTCTCTCCTCGTGCTGCTCGGAGGAAAGTATCATTCTTCAGTTCAGGGAACCCTGTGGGACTGACCAAGGAAAGGCAAGGGTTAACACAAATACTGTAGAGGCATCAAAGTCTCAGGCTCACAAGATATAATGGGTTGAGCACTGTTCCTCTCCAAAGATTGTATCTTTACATTACCACTCTTCCTTCACCCTAAACAACACTATTCAAAGTGAAGGGTTTTTACCATGCAACATAACTATGGAGGGAAGTTTGCTTTGGAATGAGGGTGGAGGAGAAATCAGGTTTCTACTGGCTGCCTAATTGTCTTGTACAAAATATTGTTCAGTTTAGTCAGGAAGTGACACCAGAAGTCATCGTTATTTCATGGTGAAGGAAGGGTACTCTGTACATACTCTTAGGCACTCTTCTCTCTGGTGATCTCAAACTCAGTCCTTCTCAAGTTTCCAGGCCATGGGCCCTGCATGTGACATCCACTTCCTGTCTGCTTTATCATGTACCCAAATGGTCCAGAGCTTTGCCCTAGGAGGAACTTGTGTTTTGTACATGTATACATTAAGAACCTTCCAGCTGAAAATAGATGTATTTTCTCTTTCTCTACAAATGCTAAGTTGATGACAATGGACAAAAGAAAGTAGCAACTATTCCATAATTATGTACTGCAGCTAGAAGCTACAACAACCAAGATACTTACTGCCTTTTCCTATCTGACTCCGGTTCCCTACTTCTTGAAGGATTAATTTTCAGTTTTTCAAAGACAACAGTTGGAGATTTAAGTTAACTTAAAGGAACACAATGACAAATACTGTCTCTTTTAGAATGAATAAAATCCCCTTGAAAATAAAACCCATCAACTGTTACTGATTAAAGTTATCAGTATCAAGCAAGAACAGTTGTGGGCTACACAGGGAACGTGTTCCAAGGACAAAGCAAAATCACTATGTGTTGCTGTCACAGGATAATTAAACTCTCATGGCAGGACATGCATAACATCACAACTTTTAATTCCAGATTAATACAAATAAGTGCCACTGTTTCCTGACCTACTTGAACAATACAAAACCTTCTGAACCATTGTTCAGAAGCAATGTTCACCACTGGGGGCAATATTACAGTGTTCAACTTTTGGTAGTGGGATTACAAAACAGTTGAAGTGCATTTTGCCAGGATAAATGAACCAGGAATGCTATAGTTCTTAATCAAGTTCAACCCTATCCATGTAAGAAACTACACACTGCTGGACTTATACATATGAATTCAGAAGTGTATTCCCACTAAGCTGAATGTTACTTTGAGATCCATGTGTTTATGCATGTCTACACAGTAAGAGACAGAAAACTACTGTAAGTGAAACCTCTTCTCTCTGGGTACTGTTTCCAACACAAGGCTTTCAATCCAGGACAGATGGTTTACTCTTGAGTAGCTCCTGCTTGCACAAGCAACAAGCGATCAGCCCAAGTCCTAAAACCCCAAGACTGGGATACCAGTAGACTTCCTAACCAGGTCACTACCTCTCCCCTCTACCAGGATTCTTCTTCACAATGTCCACATGTCCCTCTAACTCAGGTCAGGAAAAAAGAAAGAAAGAAAAGGGAAAAAAAAAAGACTGGGTTCCTTCAGTTCTTCCCGCAGTCCCTGAAGGAAAGGCTGCGGGGGTGGGGGTGGCGATCCGCCAGGCTTACTGGCATACTGTACGTGCATTACACGCAATTCCATAAATGCATGTTGAGTTTCCTCCTCGAACTTTGCCCCTCGCGCTCCACGAGCAGAGCGCAGCCGAGCCTGTGCTCCCTGCCCGCGAGGCTGCGGGGATTTCCCCCACGTTCCCGAACGTGGGCCGATGAACTTTGCCCTCGCCTCCCCAGCTACTTACGACGCGGGCCCGTTCGTTTCCATCCTGTCCGTCCCAATGCCGCCTCCGCCAGTCTTTCCTCCCCGCCCCCCTCCTACCATCTGTCAGGGAAGGAAGAAAACTCCTCCTTTTTGACTTCCGGAGACCTGCCCAACCTTCCCTGATTGGTGCCTGAAGAATCCACTGTGGGTGGAAGAAGCGGGACTGCACTACCGTAATGCACAGTGTAGGAGGCCTACAGGAAAAAAAAAGCACAGGGAGAAGAGATCTCGTTCGGGCAAATGGATCTGTTAAGGTCTGCTGCAAGGTCTCCGAAAGTTGACAAGGGTTTCTGACTCCCAGCGGTTTCTCAGCAAGATAGCAACAACTAAAAACGGTTTTCTTTCCCCAATTTATACTGTTACGAAGTTTAATCTCAAGGGCAAGTTTCGGCAGGCGTTGCAATGCATGGTTCCCGGAGTTCTAGGAAACGCTACAGATGTGAAATCTGCCTACATCTGCAGGTGGACGCAGACAGCTTTGACTGATTAGTGCTTCTGGAGGATAATAAATACATTTCAATACTTCTGCAAACTTTGGGATTCCACTGAGTCCACTGATACCTATCTCTTTTGCATGCATGAAGCCATTTTAGATACACAAAAACTTCGCAAATAAGAGTTCGCTACACATATTCATATGCATTCTTCTCCTGCCCCTCCATTAATCATTAGGGAGCTGTGGATTCTCTAGACTCCAACAAGTGCGTACTGTATTAGAAAGCAAGGGACAAACAAAGTTGCCTGTGGCAACACCACCTCTCTACATTTTTATCTAGAGGATTCCACCTGGTTCTACAGGCAAGTCCATTTTTATCTGCAGACAGAGAGCACAATACATGTGGAGGAGTCTAGAGTTTTATCAGTCTAAGGGAGGGTGGTGGCCTTTATCTGCAGAAGGCCATATATTTATGTGGTTACTTCAAACAGTAACAAGCCCTAAAAGCTGTACACAGTATTCTACTTCACTCAGAATGGCACCAAATTAATTTCTAGCACAACCAGCATAAATGGACAAGAAGTTTTCAAGAAGCTTGCTGGCACCTGAGCCAGCCTGAGGGGGCAGTGGAATCTCTCCACCCTCTGCCATTCATAGTGCCCAAAGCTTGTCCTACTGTTTTGGCATCAGATGGGGGAAAACTGCACCAGTCTCTCCCCCCCCCCATCCCTTAGTAAAACCAGAGTAATATTACATGAAATAACGAATAATGTGCTGTTCTTTCATGGCATCCAAAATTTGTTTGAGGGAACAGTCTTGTCGCTTGACTAAACCCACTGGTGCCCTTGGACCTTCTGTTTATTCAAAGTCTTGAAAAAGCTATCCTATTCTCTTCCCTTTGAATCAAGCAGGTCCAAGCTAATGTCAAAGAGAGTGTGGAAGATAAGCCAAGTTCCTTTCATAAGCTTATGAAAGGGGAAGGCAAAAGCCTCCACAATTTCTATATGGCTTATTTTCTCTATTCTAGGCAAAAACTAGCAGTTTCTTAACAATTTTTGTTGCCTTATTCTGCAGGGGCCTTTACTTGTGATGCATTTTTTTAAAGTTTACCGGTGCTAGGGTAGCCACTATGTGGATCTCTATGGAAATAGATTATGTGTTTAAAAAGACATCTGAAGGAACTTCTTCAGCTCATCCCATCAAGACGGACAATGGAAAAGTAGTACAGGAAGCAAGCAGAGAAGACAAAAAATAACATGGCCATATACAGCCAGCCTAGATAGAAAGGAGTTGTGATATGTGTTTCTCCATAATGGGGTGCTTCTGTCCCAGGGACAGAAGACTCCTAGCCCTACAGCTCAGAAGACTATGTGTGGCTATTCAATATTTCCCTCTTTTTATCTGTTAAGAAAAATAAATAGAAGTAGCAGAGGAAATGTATGACAGGGTTATAAGTGGAAGATGAGATTGTCTGAGTCTCCTGGTAACTTCCATGAACAAGGACGGGCAGTGTAATGAGGAAAATCTAATCTGAAAGAACTCCCAGGCCAACCCTGTAGTTGGACACAATAAGTTGACTGCTTCATGTGACAGATACTAGAGGTCAGTAAGTGGTGTTGAACTGGTGAAGGACAGAACTGTGTGTGAGCCCTGCCCTCACAATTAGTTTTAATTAGATGTCCATGGATGTAATGGAGGGCAATCACACCAGCAGCATTGAAACAAGACTCAGTTGTCAGTCTGATCAGCTTTTAGGCCTGGAAGAAAGGTGGTAGGGAACCATATTTACCTCAGGCAGCAAAGTATCTTCTCTATTTATGTTATCTGTATGGTATCTTTCTCCCCATAAGGGACCCAAGGTAGCTCACAACAACGTACAAAAAATAGTTTAAAAATAGCATATAAATGTTTTAAAAACAAATATATCAAAATTAAAAGCAAGATTAAAATCTATTTTAAACCATCCCTTGCCCTTTCTAGCTTATAAGAGCAGCCAGAGGGGAACTGACTAAATAGGTCAGAGAAGTGGTGAATGCCTTCTTGCAACAAGGCAAGGTGCCAGAAGGTCTTAAGGTGGTTCCGATTCTTTTTGGGTGACTGGATTTGGGGGGATTCCTGTCTGATGCCCTGGCCATTGGTCTGTGGTGCTCCTCAGGGCACAGTCCTGCCCCCCTCCCAACATCTACATGCTGCCACTGTCACGGATGGGCACAGTCCTGCCCCCCCCATGTTATTCAACATCTACATGCTGCCACTGTCACGGATCTGCTTTGACTTTTCCACCATTATCACTTTAGTCTCTGTCCCAAGAAGCTAGTCTGGCTGCGCTTCGTGGGAGGTGATACTCAGGAGGAATTTTATATGTTTAAAATTGTTTTTAATCCTGGTTTTCAATTTTAATACAGTATATGTTTAATTGTTTTAATATGATATTTGTGTTATATTTCTAAACTGTAATTGTTTTTTTTTAATAGTCGTTATAAACCGTGTTGGGTCACCTATGGGGAGAAAAGCCCCACAGGATGCTTCCAGGAGCACCTCTGACAACTAAGGCTGAAAAATCATCATGATAGATTTGAGCAAGTATGCGATAAATCCTCCCCACTACAGTTTCCAATCCCTGTCGTCTCCAAACAAAAGAAAAACTCCGTGTAGGGCTGCTGCGAAACGCCCGGTTGCCACCTTGGAAGGTCGGGGAGAAGCCGACAGCCAGGGCGAGAGGCGCGCCACCCATTTACCGGAGCTCTGTCGAAAACAAGCCGTGGTCGTGTATATGACACCCACCCACCTACCCTTGTCAGCCTTTTCCCTGGCAGCGAAGCCACGGAAGAACGCACGAAGCGCTTCCCTCCCGTTGCCACCTTTCGGGCGGCCTTAAACCCAGGCTTACAGGAGGAGTCGGAGCCGGCCCGCGCGCGCCGCCACCCACTTCCAAGGCCTGGTTTATGGCTCATTTTCTGGCCCGCCGATAGAGCGTTCTTTACGGTAGAGCAAGCAGCACCGAGAAGGAGGAAGGGCGCCGGGCAGGAAGCAGCGCCTCCCGGCACCTCCTTTTTTCCTCCTTGCGGCGGCCGGGCTGCGAGGCGGGGGGGGAAGCCACCGCCGTTGGCGACCGGGCGAGCCGCGAGGGGCGTCGGGAGTGCTGCTGATTTCTACTCTGACTCAACTTTGTTGTTGGAGCCCCAGTTTAAGTGGCTCTGACAGGTAGAGCCTGTGGGCACAAGAGCTCAGAAAAAGGACAATCAAAGGTGCCTAGCCCATGGACTGTTCTCACTTTAAGGACCAGGGGTGAAGGTAACTGTCCTGCCCAAACATGAGGAACCAGGATGGTGCCTTCGAGCGCCGGCGAGTCCCCGCACCAGCTGCTGGGCCGGCTGCGCTTCCTGAGCGAGGCCATCGACTGCCTGAGCCGGGCGGAACCGCTGCCGGCCGCCCTGTGCTACGTGCCCCGCGAGGTGCAGTATAAGATCTGCAAGGACCCCAGCGGGCCCGGCCTCGCCTCGGCTTCGGGCCGGACGTTGCTGTCGGTGTGGGAGAGCCCGAACACGGCCGGCGCCGGCGCCGGGGTAGGGGTAGGGTCGGGTTCCGCCGGCAGCAGGAAGGGTCCCGGCAGGGCCACCATCGAGCTGCGCAAGGGATCGTGCATTCGAGCCAGCGGCGAGGAATACTGCAACGGGCACGGGCTCTGGGTGAAGCTCACCAAGGTGAGTAAGACACCCCCGGGGCAGGGCGAGGCGGACCGGCAAACCCCCCCCCGGGGGGGGGGAAGGGAGGTGCACGCGCACGGGCCGCGCCCGTTCCCGGAATAAGAGCAGCCGGGGCTCCCTCCTGCAGTCCAAATGCATCGGCGTCGGATAACTCTCGTGCAAGAGATGGGCATGCACACTGCGCACGCTCAGAGGCGTTTGAGCCTTTGTCAATGGGTTCAGAGGTGGCAGAAAGGAAGCCCCGACTCCAGTTACGCCCTTGGGGGGAAAATGGAAAAAGGGGCCTTAATGCAAAGGGATACGGAGAAGCATGGACAACAGCCCTTTCGTTCTTCCTCACGTGGTTTGCGATTATGTTCCACATAGCGCTTGAGAAGGGTAAAGGGGTGTCTGGGGTATGAGGATAAGGAGTCTTGGAGCAACCCGAGGACTTGACAAGTTTTATCTGGCATAAGCTTTTGTGGACTAGCCCCTTTGTTCGTATATATACATCTGAAGAATTGGGCGAAGGTCCACAAAAGCCAGTGGGAGTTTACTAAGTTTTTAAGGAGCCACAACATTTGTTGCTTTCACTGCAGCAGACTACCCTGGCTAAGATACAATCCATAATTTTTGGTTAAGATGATTACAGAATTGCTTCTTTGCTCCCATGTGAATACAGTATAGTGGTGAATAAAGAGAGAAGATCAGGTGACCCTGTTGGATAGGATGGAACTGTGATGTGAGGGGGGCAGGGAGAAGAAACCCCTAAAACAGGCAGAGGCAGCTTTTGAGTATAGTCCCGTGGAAGGCAAATGCTGGATCCAACTCTCAGTATGGTGGCATAAATACATGACAGATGCCAATAGACAGGATTGGTAGCAAGTTTATAATGACTGGAATGGTTGATTGTATGCTTAAATACACACAAGATAAATACACACACAAAACTTAAATACAGTACACACATAAAAATTCGCACAAAAGTTGCGAATTTTTATGGCACTGGATGCTACATAAAGCTAATTTTTATACTAAGCTGAAATATCTAATACTGTACCGCTATCTCTATTCACAAATTTGAACTGAATTGGAACCCCATTTTACACTGAAGATGCATTTTAAAATGGGGGAAAAATCTCCTTTTGCCACTCTTGAACCATCACCTAGAAAACACTGTTTCCCTGCATTGTATTACAGCCATGGTAGTCTTATTGCTGTGAAAACAACAGACTACAGCTGTGTCAATCTGCTTACAGATCTGTACCCCTCCCCTTTCAATATGTTTATCTATTTAACTAGTTAAACAAATGAGTTGGCTTCAAATCTAGATTTAATTGGAGCTTTATAACCGGTCCTCCAGATAATCTGTGTACATTTCTTATTCAGATCTCTGTGTTTATGATAATTTGATAAATAATTGGACTACTGTACTTAGTAATATCAATACTGATGGTGCTTGTTTTGTAAAGTTCAGGCTTCCCACTGATCACTCAGCATTGTGTTCTTTCTTTATAGGAGCAGCTAGAGGAATACAAGACCAGCTGTGACCTGGAAGAAGGCTGGGTTCTCATGTGTAAGCATGCAGAAGGTGGGGACAGATTGGTACCAGTGGAATCAATGGAGAGAATCCAGAGGCAGCAGCAACTGTTTGGGATGGACTACAAGCCTGTCTTCAGGTAAAGAAACACACAGCGATGTGTGTTTGGAATAGCTAGGTTTTAAGGGGACCATCGGTAATGACTGGGGATGTGAAGGTGTATGCAAATGTTTTAAATTGCAAGCTCCTTAATAGCTTCCAAATATTTTGCTAATTGTTTGTTAGAAAAATGTATTTTGCCTTTACTCAGTTCTTCCTTGACATGGAAGTTGGGTCTCAATCTGAACTCTTGGAATCAGTGCTAGGGCTGTAACTAAATATTCAGAATAAAGTACTGGGATCAAAAAGATGTCAGGGGAGTGTTCATGAAACAAACAAACACATGTGGACAAACACACATCACACATGTTGAAAATCTAAAAGGCCATGTTAGTCTGTCTCAACGTGATGGCAGAAAGAAAGAATGAAAGAATTGTAGCATTTTAAAGACCAACAATTTTATTTCAGTGTGAACTTTCATAGATTGAAGTCTTTCTCCTCAAACCTTGGAATACATATGCATGTTTGATATGTTTATGGTGATGTGCATAGATATCATCATCATCATCATGTGTCATCAGATCACTTCTGACTTAAGGTGACCCTTTTCAGGGTTTTCCAGGTAGAGAATACTCAGAAGTGGTTTACTATAGCCTAATTCTGGGGGTGCCCCGGGACTGTGCAGCTTGCCCAAGGCCACACAGGCTGGCTCTTCCCCTAAAAGGCATTCCGGGGAATTGAACTCCCATACCTAAACCATTGAGCTATTCAGCCAGCACAGATTTATAAATATACCAGCCATATACTTTCCCTCCAGTGTCTTGAGAACACTGACCCACAAAAGCAAACAATGAAAAAAAATCATTAGTCTCTGAAGGGCTACAGTGTTTTGGTTTGTTTCCTTTTCTCTCTCTCTCTGCTCTTTTGCCAACATTTGATCATCCATTTACTTTCCGTTCTTTATGACTGCTTCTTATATTGGGCAGGAAGTCTCCCTGCTTCTGGATGATGTAGTTTCAGCCTGTTCATGATCTTATTATTAGGGTGGTAACACAGCATGCAACATAGACAATCAGCTCTGGCTGTGCAGTAAGGACATGAAACCAGATCAAAGTTAAGAGAGGAAGCATTTCCCTTACTCTGAACACCCACTGGGCAAGAAAAAAGGCAGCTGCTCTATTTCAGACACTTTCCATCCCACTCCCAGCCTCATCTCTAACATCACTGTCAAAGGGGAGGATTATCACAGATGTACATGAAAATGTTCACAGCATAACATATTTGCTCACCATGGATCAGTGAGTCATCTCATATAAAAATGGCACTCATTTCAGTTATCTAAAGTTGCTGTTGAGTAACAGCAACAACAAGAATCATGACAAGCCCTGTAAGTAAGATCCTGGATCATAAACAAATTGTTATGTAGTAGCCTTCCTACATATTGTTTCCTTGTTTTAATAGATAATTGAGCAGTTAAGAGTTTTTCCTTCCATTTCATTTTTGGCTGAACTTATTTGTCTGTGATTTTTCTTAATGCTCCCCTTCCTTTATTCCAGATGGGAGCAAGTGGTAGACATAACATATTCCCTACGTCTTGGGGCAAAGCCAAAAATCATGGAGCCAGATGTTGCTGCAGTGGAGAGACTCCGGTAACTTCTTATGTGAGAATAAGAATGGACCAATGGTTTGGGGTAGTCAGTGCACTGTATTCAGAAGTGGGGACAGGGTCTGAGGCATTGAGCAAAATGGCGTGCATCTGCATGTTTACAAAAACTGCTAATAAGTTGTTTGCCTGTGGACTTAGTTCTATTGGGAATGATACTTGCATAGAGGACCATACCCCTCATTTCTCATTCTATACATTTTAACACCAAACATTATCCCATTAGGTTTGTTCCCCCTACATGGAGCTATGAGTGTGATGAGGACCTGGTGCATTTCCTTTATGACCACATTGGCAAAGAGGATGAAAATCTTGGCAGCATAAAGCAATATGTGGATAGCATTGATGTCTCTTCCTACACGGTATTGACATGGTCTGGGCTCCTTTGGATGAGGATTCATTTCTTCTGTGGATGACTTCTTTTAGCTTAGAATCTTAGTCAGACAAATTGTGTTTCACTAATAAGCAAAAATTTACTGAGATTATCAGTTGGTGGCTGATCTTACATGTGTCTTAAAAACAAAGTATTAGATCAGGCATGGGAAGCTTTCCCCCCCTACTTTTCCTATCCCACCGTTGCCCCATTCCCTCCTCTCTCTTTTCCACTCCTCTTTTAATCTTTCTCCCACCTAACAGTCAACTAGGGGACAGACGGCTCGCCTGTTTGGGGGCCAAACTGACCAGGTGCAGGCCAAGGGCTACATGAGAAGAGGCCGAGGGCTTCAGGTTGCCTGCTCCTTTCTGAGATAGATGCTTCTCTAAGTGACCTGTGCGTAGCCTATCTTTCCTGCTGTTTGGGCTCTTGTTTTTGTTTTCACTTTCCTGCCTCCAGTATTTCAATTCCCCTTTTTTGAACCCCTGACAAGGAATGAAAGATATGGCTGTGGTTGTGTGAAAAAAGGGAATGAGAGAGAGAGAGAGAATGATAGAATGCTAGCCATGCGGCCTTTCTCAGCCTGGCCCAACGTGCTGCTCTGCTTCCTTCAGGAAGAATTCAATATTTCGTGCCTGACAGACAACCATGCAGACACTTACTGGGAGAGTGATGGGTCCCAAGGTCAGCACTGGGTCCGTCTCAACATGAAGAAAGGAACCATTATCAAGTGAGCTGCAAATGCTTCTTCTTCTTCTTTTGGTCAACAACCCTTTCCCATATATCATGAGATTCCCCCTGCCCCCCCGGGTCATCAGAGGTGGAATGGTGAAGCAGCACTGGCAGGTGCTGTCCTGATCTAATCAGACGTTTCCTGTAAGTCCTTTTACAGTTTAGTCTTGTTTCCTATGCTCTCCCTTAGCATGGGAGCCACATCAGGGAATGATGCCTAGTAGATGTGGGTCCATAATCCAAGCTGGTGTGTGTGTGTGTGCGCTCATCACACCTATGGGGGTGAATATCACCATCTGGGCTGTGCACCACCAGTGTTGGACAGTGCTGCCTTCGTCCATCCTCTTGCCAGAAAAAGCACTGAGAAGAGCTTAATAACAGAAGATATCCTAGGTAGGTACTACTCTCCTACATAATTACACTGGGGGTGTTGTATCCCTTTGCATATACATGATTATCCTTCCTCTACCCCACTGTTATCAGTCTGTCTCAGGTTGGCTCCTCTAAATTGTAGAGTAAAAAAAAATATATGCAATCACAAGTACTTTCACAGGATGTATTACTTGTGATGCCCTGTCCCACATTTAAGTTGAACGGGCTGTGTCTTTCTGAGGCTCTTATTGTCTGGTTGGCCTGCTTTATATGTGGAATTGTAAAAAGGGTCCAGACAGCAACACCTTCCAATCATTTTGTATTTTCCTGCAATGCCTTCTGTCTTTTAAGAAGGAAACAGAGATTGCTCTTCAGGAACAGTGGAGCATTGCACTGTGCAGGCACCACAACAGGGATTCCGTATGTGCCAGGGGGTATTGATTACTCCCATGTGCAAATGATGGAGAAAACAGACCTGCACATGCAGTGGCCTGTTGCACACATGGTAAAACTGAAAAGGATTTTGGCCAAGAAAGTTGCACAGTGCCTTTCACTTGGTAGTGCTGGGAGCTGTGTGTCTGGCTTTGCCACAGGCCTCAGAAAATTCCACACTAAAAGAGCTCCCCTACTACTGTCTGCTGGTTATAGTTCTCCCTCCCCTTTTCATACAGCTTTCTAAATGTGCATCTGTAGAGTTGAGGGTAGAATAATGGAAGCCAAAAGGTTTGCAGAAGTCAAGGGCTCTCCCAGTGTTATCAACCCTATGCGTGCTATGAACTTCTAGGCATACCTGAACTGTTAAGTCTGGGAAGTGCCTTTTTCAAAAACCATGTTAAGACTTGATTTGCTGTGTCTACCTATATGTGTTTTTCCCCTTTTTCCCCTTGGGCTTCCAGCCCTGACAGAATTTCTGCTTTCCCCCTAGGAAACTCTTCCTGACAGTAGATACGACAGATGAGAATTTCATGCCCAAGAGGGTGGCTGTATACGGTGGTGAGGGTGACAATCTGAAGAAGCTGAGTGACGTGGGCATAGATGAGTGAGTCCAGGTTTGGGAGGAGGGATTTGGGTGGTGGGGAAAGCCAGGTATGTAACTGAGCCCAGATTCTGCTCAGAGTGTTTCTCCTGTCTAATGCAGGCACAAAATTCATGGGTTTTCTAATGATGTGGGGAGGGAAAGGGAAGGAGACTGTCAAGTGCTTTGCCAAAAGCAATGAAGTGTCAGTCCTTTGATTTTGAGCTTATTTATCTTATCATATGTTGGGAGATTAAGGAAGAAAACAACCCATTACTTATAAACAAATCCACAAGAGGTAATAACCAAGAGAATACATTATTAGTCCACTGGGTGCTGCCAGAGGGAGGCAGAATGCTCCAGCTGCCAAGGAGGAAAAAGATTTTCTTCCTACGGTTAGCCATTCCCTTTCTCTACTTTGTTTCTTTACTCTGAATCCAGATATTTCCTGTTTTTTCTCTGTGAGCCTGCACATCTTGCAGGTGAGTGTTGTTTGTTGCCGGTAGCCTCAGACAGATGCTTCAGTCTGTGACTTCACCATTATTAACATTGAGGACAACTTCTGTCCTTGGTTAATCTTGACTCTGAAATGCCTCCTCAAGACAGAAAGATCCTGCAGTGCTTTTAAAATATTCTCATTTTAGGATTCTTGTGCAATTCCAAGGGGAGGGAGTTCTATATGTCGGAACACGTGGGGATCTTAGGGCTGTGTTTTCAGCATAGATACCACTGGGAAATGTTTGCGATATGGGTGAGTAGCATGGCAAATATTTCTAGGTATCACCTGGAGGCACTTCCTGATGGCTGTAACGTGGTTGGGATAACACAGAAATTCATTATTAGTATGCAATAATATTTTAGGAAGGAACACACAGTAGTCTAAATCCTGTGCCTTGCATGGTAGCATAAGATAGGTTTCACAAGCAAGTCTGTCTTTCAGCTTTGCCAACCATGGCACTCTCCATTCACTATTTGCATAAACAATCAAATCATATGCCTGTCTCAAGAATGCAACGAATGTCAGGCCAGATGGTAAAAACAGTTTCCCCAGTAGAATTTTTGGGCATTATAATACCTGCAAGCACACTTGTGTTTCTGCTGTTCCACCCCAATCTTCACAGGCATGAGTTTCCCAGGCTGTCTCCAAAATAAATAAGAGAGAAGCAGAAAAGTCAATTAAAATGGTTGGCTGAAATCTTGTTGCTTAGCATAAGTTCTCACAGTGGAGTACTGAATCAGTGGGGATTTGGTGAATCAGTTCCTGCATAAATTCCGTTGATTTAAGGAGACTTACTTTAGCTGTAATTTGCTATGCAAAAGCAAGTTGTAATTATAGTTGGCGGATTTGAATCAATGGAATTTAAAGAGGAACTGGCTCTCACTGAGTCAATGGTAAGTGTGATTTCCTGTTCTAAGCAGCAGAATTTTAGCCATTCAGAAGATTGGGAACACTTTCTAAAAATCCTGGTTTCTACCCCATGTAATCCTTCCTCTAGATTCTGGGCAAGTGAAATTGAAGGTTTGCCAGGTGGAAGGGGTAAGCCTTCCCTATGAAAGAGGAAACAGATGTTTTTGTGTCCCCAGGAGCTACATCGGGGATGTTTGTGTGCTGGAAGACATGACTGCTCACTTGCCTGTCATTGAAATCCGCATTGTGGAATGCAGAGGTGTGTGGGTGTCAGCATGGGGATGAGCTTCTTAATCATGGGGCGGTGGGGGTACAGTGATCCCGAAGCCCCAGTTTGGAATGTTAGTCCACATATGTGGAGATAAAAACAGAGAACCGAGGCTGCTTGCTACCTAGAGTAAAAGTAGAATTAGATCTTCTTAATGGGTCACTGCTTGGAGTCTGCTGTGGTGCTCCCTATGCTGTGGAAGTAAAACAGTTTACTTTCTTCAGAAAGAACAGCAAAGACAAAGATGCCAAAGCAAAGATTATTATACTGCGATATAGAACAAAGACAAAGCTGCCAAAGCAAAGATTATTATACTGCGATACATTTGTTAGCATCAAAGCTGCCATAGGTTTCTGTTGTTTTTATGGCAATAAATGTGTAGAGCCTTGAAACTGGCCAAAAATGAAAACGGCACAGCTTCATTTGCAGACAGGGCACCCCCTCTCTGATCTCTTCCCTCAATATTTACTTTTCACTTTACCAGTGGAAACCCATTTCTTATTCACCGGAGTTGCCTGAGCTGTGTTGTCTTTCCCTTTTATGTAGATGATGGAATTGATGTCCGACTCCGGGGTATAAAGATTAAATCTTCTCGACAGAGGGAGCTGGGGCTCAATGCAGACATGTTTCAGCCAGCCAATCTGGTGAGGTATCCTCGCCTGGAAGGGAGAGATCCTGATGTGCTCTACCGGCGTGCTGTGGTCATCCAGAGGTATGCTAGTAAGGAACTAAGGAGGTACCCCAAAGCAGTGAGATATGGCAGATCTTATGTCTCATAAGCATATGTGTCATAGTTTTAATTTTGTTGCTGGTTTTTGCTGTGTTTAAAGTTGTGATTCTGACTTTACGGTTTTTGTGTAATTGCAACCTGCACCAATTGCAAGTGTACCAACCTGGGCAGACTATAAATCTCACAGACAAAGAGTGCTCAGAAGTGTATGCATGCATGTATATTATGTCTGTGTATACATTCATCCAGCTAAGCTTACAGTATGGCACCAGGTAATTTTGCTGTGAAACCCGACTGAATTCAGATATTTTTCTCCTGCATTTTCATTCTGTGTATGTTATTTTTGGTAGGTTTATCAAGATCCTGGACAGTGTTTTGCATCATCTTGTTCCAGCATGGGACTACACGCTGGGCACCTTCAGTAAGCTCAAGGTGAGACTGGCATTTTTCCAATGTGCCAATATATTGTTTGACAACTGTATAAGCAACCAATATAATACCGGTAAGAGGCTTGTGAAGCCCAGTCCTGCCTCATATTAGTTAGGGTTGGCAGGCCTGTTTGTTTTAGAGGAAGCAAACAAACTGAATAAATATCTCTGTGTCTGTCATAGACCTGCATGGGAAATAAACTAAGCTAACATTGCTATCCTGCTTCCTGCAGGTACCTAAAAATGTTTAGTTTTGTATACCTGAAGATTTTGGTGGGTTTATTAAGATCCTGGATAATGCTCTGCATCATCTTGTTCAAGCATGGGACTGTTTTCATTTCAGGCAGCTGCTGAAATCCAGTAGTAAGGCATAGCTAGAATAGGCCCATTGAATTAGTGGGTGAACTATCTGGTGGTTCAACAGGCCTGCCCCAATAGTGACTTATTGATGTATTTCAACCATTGTGTCCAAACATATATCCTTTTTTAGTTGCTTTTTTTAAAAGCATGCATACACCAGCTAAAATTGTTTCTTTAACTGGTTTGATGGAAATCTCAAGGCCGGGATTTCAAAGATGATTTATGTGAGAGATTGTTAAAGAGAGAGTGGTTTTTTCAAAAGGTAATATAATATATATTTTTTGTTTTTGCAGTCTTCCACTGGCATGCTTTAAGTCTAAATGGGAATTCATATGGCAGCCTGTTTATACTTTTTTTTAAAAAAAACCAGGAGCTTACATTTACATCAAAATATTAGGAAGTGGAAGGAACTTTGCCAATGAAACATGCATCTTCCTGCACTGAAGAATTTCCTTGAAGGATACTGGAGTATATTAGCTATGGGGTTAGAATAGTTTGGGTGACATCAGTAGCAGAGCCTGGTTGGTTGGTATGGTGGGATCATATTGGGTATGTAGATGTTGCTGTGTCTGAGCCAAGCTCATGTTGTCTGTAACAGCACATCAAACAGTTCCTGTTGCTGTCCAAGCGGCGCACCATGCTAATCACTCTGTGCCTCAAAGACTCAGAGACTAGCAAGCCCAACTTCATGCCACGGCTTTATATCAATCGGCGGCTGGCCATGGAGCATCGTGACAATCCAACGCTGGACCCCAGCTGCAAAAACACTGTCTTCACTCAGGTAAGGCCAGCTCACACATTAATGCATGCCCTGCAAGAAGGAGGGTGCAAGTAAGTTTTCTGCCTTTGCAATATCGTACTGGATCCACTGTTATACATTAGAAGAGCTTTTCCAAGCTGCATCCTCAAGAAAGAAATGTTCACGAAAGAAATATTGTCCATGAGTACAAGCAACATGCAGCAAAAAAATGGAGTTTTGTAGGACGGTGTATGGGGAGGTACATATAAGTGTTTCAGTACAGGATGAAATTCAGAATTCTCCAGAGCAAAGTTAAATAATATATCTGAATTTAAACTCCCAGTTTGCACATCTGAGATCTAATCCTCCAGGGTTTCCCTTCCAAGTCTCACATACAGTCAAGGCCAAAAATATTGGCACCCTTGCAATTCTGTCAGAAAATGCAACCCTTCTCTCAGAAAATGGTTGCAGTTCCAAATGTTTTGGTACTCACATGTTGTTTGAATGGCCATGACTGTATGTTATTATATGTTTGCACTTGGTTCTTATTTCTGAAGCCCTACGATGACAGAAAATCCTGATTTGTTTCTGTATTTGCTGTTTGTTTGCTCCTGTCAATGAGCTCAACTCTGACATAACTGGGATTGCCCCCTATTATTTTTGAAACAATACTGTGAAAATAAGGCAAAAAGTTGTGATTTGACCAAAACCCTATAGAGAGCTGTATTGTTGTCAAAGGATTTGAACCTCAGCTTTCCACCTCTAGGCCCACTAACATAATCAACTCTGTCTTTTCAATTTATTGTGTGTTAAAAATGTCCTGGTGGTTGCTGAGAACCTTTCTAACCAGACAGTATCTGCAGAAGAATTTCTGATTTCCCTTTGGTGCTTACTGTGTGTGCTACAGCGCCATAGAGTGAATGCAACAACAGTTAACAGTGTCAGTTGCAGTTCTGATGAATACAACAGAAGCGCCAACGCCTTTTAGAGAACCCAACAGAAACAGCTCCAATCTTACTTCAACAAATTAAGGAATTTGGCGAGGTAGCTGGACTAGAAATTAATCAAGAGAAAACAAAATTCTTAACCAAAAATTTAAACCCAAAACAAAAGACCCAACTCATCTCAAACACAAACATTCAAATAACAAAAAAGGAAAGTATTTAAGAATTACTGTAACTTGACTGCCAGATGTTCTTCACTGAAAGAAAACTGTGTAAAACGCCTTGAGCAGATTAAACAAGACTTGGAAAGATGGGAGAAATTACATCTTTCATTGCTTTCATTTTTAGGAAAAATTAAAATGAATATTCTCCCAAAAGTAATCTTTTTCCAGAATTTACCAATCAAATTAGAGCAAAAGTTTTTGAAGAGTTAAACATCCTAGTTGCAAAGTTGATATGGCAGAAGAAGCCGAGAATTCAACATAAATTACTACAAGATGCAAAAGAAAAGGGAGGATTTGGTTTGCCAAATTGGAATTTATACTATCAGGCAAGCGCTTTAACTTGGATTAGGGAACGGATAAAGCTAAAAAATAAGAGAATACTATACTTAGAGGGACACAACCTGCAAGCAGGTTAAGCATGTGTTTCTATGGTATGGAAGAACTAGAACTCACAAATACTTTGAAAGAAATATAATAAGAAATTCTCTGTTAAAAGTCTGGGGGGAAATTAAATTTAAAATATATGTGAAAATACCTAGATGGAGTTCACCCATGGAAGCATTTACACACCCAGACTTGCTAAATTTTGAAAAAATAACGATGTATAATGAGCTTTTGAATGCTGAAGGACTTCTAAAGACAAAAACTCAGCTAGAGAACCAAGGATTGATCTTTTCATGGTGGCCTCAAATGCAATTACAATCAATCTGCAATCAAGATAAAAAAGCACAAGGATTCTATAAAGAATATACAATATTGGAAAAAATTACTTACCACAGAAGAACAACAAATTCAAAAATTCTATACATTTCTATTGCAGTGGGACACACAAGACAAGGAAGTTAAGGAGACAATGTTAAAATGGTCTAAAATTTTGGATATAATATAGAACTAGAAAAATGGCAACAAATGTGGACAAAAAATTACAAGCTAACATTAGCAACCTTCTACAAAAAGAAATTATATAAAATGTTATATAGATGGCACTTCCCTCCAGCCAGACTTGCAAAAATGTTTCCAAATACTTTGAATAAGTGCTGGAAATGCAAGAATCATGAAGGGACTTACTACCATGCATGGTGGACATGTGATAAAGCAAGAAAGTATTGGGTTAAAATTCATATGTGGATTAAGCTAATGCCCAAACAAGAAATAGAATTTAAACCAGAAATATTTTTATTGGGATTACTATATTGGCAAATAATATGAATAAACAAAGCTCTTACCTAATACTACATGTTTTGACTGCGGCTAGATTAGTATAGGCACAGCTCTGGAAGGAGGGGAGTCCACCAAAGGATGACATGAACATTAAGAAAATACTAGAATGTGCAGAACTGGACAGATTAACAAAGAGATTAAAAGGACAAGAAAAATCAACTTTCTACATAAGCTGGAATTTATTTTATGACTGGTGGAAAGCAAAAGTCCCGTAATAATGGAATTAAAATGAACAGTATGGTGAGGATCTTACCAGAAAAAATATATATCAATAAATAAGGTTGCTTGTAGGTTAATCTTATATTTTATGTTTTCACTTTATATATGATGTATTTATATGTTTTTAAGTTTTATGCTGGAAAATATATTACTTTTTTTTTTTAAAAAGAAGCGCCAGCGCTTTCATGGGATATATTTTTATGCTCTGTCAGGATCAGGATCCTCCTTTTAAATCCTCAGCTGCATTATTTCCTCTTCTAGGTGTATGAGGGCTTGAAACCTTCTGAGAAGTATGAGAAGCCACTGGATTATAGGTGAGTGGTTTCGTAATTGTTCCAGGAGCCATATGTTGCCCCGGCCCCTTTCATACCCCAGATGGCTTAGTATCTACAGCCTGAGCATCAAGCATTAGTGGATTTGTTGTCAATTAAAAGCTTGATCATCCAGAAGAAACACAAAGTTTTATTTTGAGAAGAACTGGCTCCCGATGTCCCCAGCATGCCAGTCGTCCAAGGAATTTAATAAGCTCAGTCTAGACCAAACAGAAATATGGCATTATTACTCTGGGTCCTGACACTTTCTCCAGTGGTATAGTGCCTCCCACAAGCTTACAGAGGTAGCTTCAAATGCTTCTCTTTCTTTTGTCTTAGGTGGCCGCTGCGTTACGATCAGTGGTGGGAGTGTAAATTCATCTCTGAGGGCATAATTGATCAAGGTAAATTCTAGATTTTGTTTTCCTTGAAATGTTTATTTTTCAGAAAAAATAAGACAAACAAGCGAGCCTCTAGCCATTAGGACTGCTGAAAAGAATAAAATTAAAATGTACCTGGCCATCTGTGAGGTTCATTAGCTCTTCCACATGACTCTTATGCTCTTCCCCTAGTCACAGCATATTTATCTTCTTCACCATCACCACCAGAATACCTGCAAATACCTGTATATCTGGGAGTTGAAAATGTGGGTTTCTGCTGAGCTGAATTTGTATATATATAGCCACGATCCTATTGTGTCAAATTGGTCATGTTATTTGGCCTTTTTCTGTGTGGACAATGAGACATCCAGGACTTCATTCCACAATTGGAAGTCTTTTCTTCTCTGTGCTGATTACATCTTAAAAAATGACAACGAGTGGCAATCCTGCTTTTTAATAGGAAAATTCATCCTGCTGTGTTCTGTAGGATCTTGACCAGTATCCTTTTTAAAACAATACTGCGGAGCCAAACACGCATTCAGCAGAAATATGAGAAGGTTTGACATATACTGTAATAGTGTCATAGATTTATCTATGAATACAGAGAAACATCATCATAATCCAGGGTTTTGTGGGAACCCTTCATTATGGTGTGCTATTGAGCATTCTAGCTTATTAGATTGATCTATTTTAGAGTAAGCAGATCCTTGAACCAAAGGTGAGGAATTTGCTTCGGCCCAGTGATGGAATTCAGCTTCAGATGAAGTCTTGGGTGCCCCACATTCCGCAGGAGGATGGAGCAAAAGGGGGGGAGCCAAATACACCAGCATATTTTAGCTTATATCTCTTCCTGCCAGTGACTAACCTTTAGGAGATGCGCTTCTGCCTTTCAAAACAGACAAGAAGTAGTAGAAAAACTGTAGAACCACATGATGGTATCATGGAGAAAGGGCATGGCTGTCTAGAGAAACCCAGAGAGCAAAATTAGGACCAGGGGGAGGGGGTTTAGATTGCGTTCCAGAGCTTAAGTTCCTCAGCTGTGCACTATTAAGCTACACATCTGGTCCATGGGTTGTTTAACACGATGGAAGAATGGGTGCTCTAGCTTGCTAGGGAAACAAGCCAGAATGCTGGCCCCTGCTGGGTTCAGACATTATCGTGAACCAAAGGTCTGAGGCTTATAAACTAATTGAAGGAGTGGTTCAATAAATCACAGTTGCTCACAAACAATAAGTGAACTAGTCTGAGTGTATTTCTAGGGTGTTCCATATCTGAAAGAAGACTGGACTGGTCTCAAAGAATAGAAATTAAAAGGCAGATGAAACGTTATTGGGAAACTCAGTTAGGTGGTAGACCTAAAGCAAGACTGGTAACCACTCGTTTCTGGTTTTCTTCTCTCTCTCTCTCTCAGGTGGTGGCTTCCGGGATAGCATTGCTGATATATCTGAAGAGTTGTGTCCTAGTTCAGCTGATACCCCTGTGCCGCTGCCATTTTTTGTCCGCACTTGCAATCAGGTGCTTGTTCCTTGTTCACCTTAAAACGTGCCTGCTGTTGAAGCAAATGGGTTTGAGAATGCTCACAAGAGGTTTAGGGCAAGGTCTGGAGACAGAAGAGTGTTTAGAAGAGTAGCAAATTATATGGATGCCAGAGCTTCATCTCTTGTGTCATCCTAGCTGCTAGTGATGCAGCTTTTCTGGAAGCCAACTTTTGCCTCGGCCGTACCATTTGTTCTTCTGTTTGGGCCTACTCACCTGTGTGAATTTATCCTGTCCCTGCTGCATGTAAAGAGCACTTCTTAGAGAGCTACTTGTGTGCGTGTTTTGTTTGTTTCTTTGTTTGTTTATAGATCAACCTTATGTTGCAGGATTTCAGGGTGGGCTACAGAGCTATATAAAACAAGTTTAACACATAGAACACTTGAAACAATTTATAATCAGCCAATCTAAAACACAAAATTAAAACAGTCAGCCCATGGCACTAAAGCATGTGCAGGCCATGTTCCTCAACCTCCAAAGGCTCTAATAAAAATGCCTTGATTTGGTGCTGAAATTATGCCAGTGTTGGCACCAAGGGGAGGGCATTCCACAGTTGAGGTGCTACAAAAGAAAAAGCCTTCCCCCCCATATTGCTACAAAATGAAGGCCTCCCCAGCAGATCTCTGTGATTAGGCAGGTTTATATAGGGAGAGGTGTTCCCTTCAAATGTCCAGGTTTCCTGACAGAATTAAAACATCTCTTGAGTTTTAAGCTGTTTTTAGATGCTGGTGCTGAAGTGGGCCTTCTGGCATAGCACGTGTGCTGAATTGTAGCTTGGGCAGGAGTTTGGAAACACAGTGTATGTCATTTCAGGGCAGTGGTACTGGAGAAGCCCGGGATATGTATGTCCCCAACCCATCTTGTAAGGAGTTTGCCAAATATGAGTGGATTGGACAAATCATGGGTGCAGCACTACGTGGCAAAGAATTCCTGGTGAGCATCATATAAAGATCTTTATCTCTCATTAGTCTTTTCTGTTCTGAATATTAAGCCACTCTGTTTTGTCACTCCATGGTTTCATTTGGATGTTCCTGTAGGTAATCAATTTTATATTTTGCCTAGACATAACATCCTGAAATATGGGTTCTCCTTCTTTCCTCTGACCAACAGAACCTTTGACAGAGTTTTGCTATCATCAAGTATAGCTGTAAGAGAGTGATATAATATAGATTCCCCACTGTACCTCCTTGACAGGAGTTGGACTTAATGATCCATAGGGTCCTTTCCAGCTCTGCATAAGTTTTCTTTAATATATTTTTATTCTTAACAACTTTGATGCTTTGAAGAAATGTTTTTCATTATACAGTGGGCCCTCGACTTACGAACTTAATCCGTTCTGGAGCGACGTTCGCACCTCGGAAAGTTTGTAAGTCGACCTACCATTTCACATTAAAATGCATGGGAACGGAATTAATCCGTTCCAGCATTTCAAAAAAACAAAAACAAAAATAAAAAGAGCAAGTCCCACGCTGGGACTGCAAAAAACAACAACACACACATACAAAAACCCACAGACACATAACCCCCCCAAGTCCAAACCCACCCTCCAAAACCCACACAGAAAAGCTTTTTAAAAAAGGACTTACCAGTCCGAAGCCATGTGGCCGAGGGGAAATCGGCTCCCTCCTTGCACCCAATGCAGAGTGCTTCACGCCGGGCTGAGCTCAGCCTGGCACGAAGGGGACTAAGCATCGGGTGAAAGGAGGGAGCCGATTTCTCCCTGGCCACCCGGCTTACTTTTCCAAACAAGAAGCAAGCCGGTTGGCCAGGGAGGAATTGGCTCCCTCCTTCCACCTGACAGTGAGTCCCCTTCGTGCCGGCTGAGCTCAGCCCAGCGCAAAGAGGACTCAGCATCAGGTGAGCCGATTCCTCCCTGGCCGCCCGACTTGCTTCCGAAGCCAAAAAGGCAGGAAGAAAGCGTGGGAAGTTCGAACTTCCCGCGCTTTCTCCCTGCCTTTTTGGCTTCAGAGGTTTCAGAAGGCTTCCTCCGATGTTGGAGGAAGCCTTTTGAAAGCTCCAAAGGCAGGGAGGAAGGGCAGGAAATTCAAATTTCCCGTCCTTTCTCCCTGCCTTTTGGGTTTGTAACCCGATCCATGTTCCCTAGTAGGGCTTACAACTTGCGATGAGATCGGGTTTGTAACCCGAAAAGTTCACATGTAGGGCCGTTTGTAAGTCGCATGTATTTTAGATATGATATTTATATAACATATATATTCTTACTTTAAGAATTGTGACATTTTTCTGTGCACCTGCAAGGCGGCTTTTAAAGCTTGTAAAGTTGTAATGCTTTTTATTTTAAAATGGTATATTTTGGAGAAATATTCTTTTCTTTTTCAATGTGCCTGTTAGGCTATGAACTACTGCATTTAAAAAATGTTTGCTCCTATGTTTTTGACTTAAGTATTTGCCTGCAGCTTAACAACCACAAAATTATAATACTAGGTTATCCATAATCACACATATTTATTAATCTTATTTTTATCAGTTTAAAAAATGTATATCTTGCTATTCCGAAACATTGAAAGATACAATTAAAAGGAATGGTTAAAGTATAATAAGACATTAAAACACCATGACTTAAACAAAGAAACAAAGCAACAGTATTCCTGCTTTGGAAGACATAGGAATCATCTTGCTTTCCTTCTTGAATGTTTCCATTAAGCATACTGGGACAAAACAAAACTGCCTCTAGCTTCAAAGTTTTGCAGCACTATGCATCTCTTTCTTCCCCTTGTCTTCAAGGTCTTGGCCCTCCCTGGCTTTGTCTGGAAGCAACTGACCGGGGAGGAAGTGAGTTGGAATAAGGACTTCCCTGCTATTGATTCTGTGTTGGTGAGTAATTGGAAGAAGTATCCATTATCATTGCTGAAATATGGGACACAGGATTTTCTCTAGCCTTTGTGTGCATGTTCTGTGCCTATGGGAGTACCTGCATGGCAGAACAGGTAATTCAGTATCATTTTCTAGCACTGCCTAGAGGAAATGGGAGTGGTAGCTTTGTTTAACAAATGGGAGTGGTCCACAGATAGTATAATTTCCAGCTCTACCAACTGTGCAGATTCCTAGATAGTATGTGTATTGCGGTATGACAGTACATTGGAATGTCTACTTATCACTGTCTTGTTACTATGTAAAACCCTACTCTTGCTCCTTTTTTGATAATATCTGGAAAAAGACTGTTTCTTCCATATTCTTAGGTGAAACTTCTGGAGATGATGGAAGGAATGGACAAAGAGACGTTTGAGTTCAAGTTTGGGAATGAACTGACCTATACTACAGTGCTGAGTGACCAGTGCATGGTGGAGCTTATCCCCGGTGGCAGTCGCACTGCGGTGCGGTATGAGGACCGCCAGGATTTCATCCGGCTGGTACAGAAGGCACGGCTAAATGAGAACAAGGAGCAGGTAATACATCATGGCATTTGGGCAACATGATCATGCTTGGCCTGTCTGTACTTCATCTGTCACAAGTCTGTATTTGGCTTCCTTTGCTGTATGTTTCTTGCTCTTTTGGATGCTAAAGCAAAGGGGTGACGCAGAGAGTTCATATTATTATGAGATGCTTTCTTCCTACATTAAGACTATAAACACTTTGTTCTTGGGACAGAAGATAGGATGTCCTGTTTCCTTCTTTTTCCTCCCCTTTTCCCTCTGTCTTACAATAATGCTCAAAATATAGGGAGACATCCCTAAACTCCTGTCAAATTCAATTAAATCATGCCCTTTTCACCTTCTAGAAAATAGCTAAGGTACTACTGCAAAAAGTAAGTGAAGAAGGGTCCACATATCCTTTTTGCAAATCAAGTACTACTTCCTTCTTTTCTGAGGTTTTCTAGCCTGTGAATTCTGCTGTACCATACTGGGACAAACAGTATCTGATACATTTATTTATTACTGCCCCTTACATTTTAGATAGTTCTTAGTAGGACTGGAGGGTTTTAAACATCTGTCTCAGAAGTCTGAGTGGCTGTTTGTTAAGAAACAGTACGAGTGGACATTAGCTTTTACTTGTTTGTCACCCACCTGCTTCCCTTAGAAAAGAGGTTATGGTAAGGAAATTTTAGACTATGAGTCCAGTTCAAGTTTCTAATAAATAAGGTCAGAGACCATTCAAGTAGGATGCAAAGTGAAGTTCAGGGAAAGTTTAGTGGACTTGCAGGACTGCATTTGAAACAAAATTTGTCTGTCCAAGTTAATTCTTCATTACTCTTAATTAGGCACTTCCATCCATCCACTTGGTGCTATGTAGTCTCCTCTCTCTCTCTCTCTCTCTTTTAAGATTGCAGCCATGCAAGCTGGACTTCTCAAGGTAGTGCCTCAAGCTGTTTTGGACTTGCTCACGTGGCAGGAGCTAGAGAAGAAGGTCTGTGGTGACCCCGAAGTTACAGTTGAAGCCTTGAAGAAGCTCAGTAAGTGGAAGATCAGGCACCCTCCTGTGGCAACATACAAAGCCTTTTTGGACTCTCTCTTCCAGAATTCTCCAGTCACTGTGACTACTGGCCTTGCTGACAGGCAAACTCTTTGGATCCAAAAACATAACTTTTGCAAGATTTGCAAAGAAAGTTAATGTCATCCTGAGGCTTGTACAGTTTTGGACTGTATATGTGGTTATAAACTCCACATGTAACTGTGGCAGTGAACAAAGATTGTCAGCACGAGTGTTATATTGCTGAAATGTGCTGTGAATCTAGGCCAGTGTTCCTAACCTTGGGTGACCCAGATGTTCTTGGACTGCAACTCCTAGCTGGTCCTGAAGGCTTCTGGGAATTGCAGTCCAAGAACACCTGGGTACTCAAGGATGGGAACCATTGGCCTAGGCTAATACATTGACATCTCACATCCATGTGCCTGGTAAACAGAAGAACTGGATCTGTTGTGTCAATTCTATGCAGTATCACAAAATTGAGAAATACTGCTATGAGTTTTTCCTGCTTGCCGTGGTAATGTGAAGATTTTACTGATGTTTGAGTTAAAATACCAGACACGACAAAAGCATTGGTCACCACAGCATAATTTGTTGCTCCCATTCCCAAAACAGTATAAAAAAACATTAAAATCTCATATCTCAGATAAAATTTAAACGATTCAAACAGAGCAAATCAGTTGTTATAACCAATAGTGTAGTGGAACCAAGATCCAGGGAAAGCCGCTAGAGTTTCATAGAGTCTATGAAATCAACTATCTACCACCCAGCTTCCTTGTTTCCTCTGAGCTTAGATGCTATCCTCACCAAAGTTGGTAGAGAAATAGATTTTTTCAAGAACAGTATGTTTTTATGTATGCATTTATTCAGCATATTAATATCCAATCCTCTTATTGTAAAAGCATTACTTAGGAGTGGTTGAGGAGATGTGGATAATAACCAAAAAGACATTTAAGTGTACATTCAGTGCCCTTTAGTTACACAAAAAACATAATAGTGACCATTTCCAAAATGAATTGATCACTGGCAATAAACAAAGCTATAATGAATCTATGAAAAAGGCCCACATTGGTTTTAGTAGTAAAAATATGTGGGAAATAGTAGAGCAGTAGTGGGACAGATAATACGTAAATCTCTGTGTTCTAAGGAATAAGAGTGATTTAGTGTTCCTTTTTTCCTGAGGCTGTTTACTCAAATACAGGCATGTCAGCTGAGTCTTCCTATATTATGAGTGTGTGCCAGCATAATTTATTTCTAATCTGGTCTTCATTGTTAATGGTGTTTTTCCTTCTCACAGCTCGCTTTGAGGATTTTGAACCATCAGACACCAGGATTCAGTATTTCTGGGAGGCCTTGAACAACTTTACTAATGGTAATTCAAGTCATGTGATGCAAGGGGATGTAAGAGAAGTCTTCATTGGATGGCGGATTTGGTGCATCCTCTGGGGCTCTTTGCACTGAGTCGAGATCAAGGCAATGCCGTGCAAGATCCCTTTTTGAAGAAGAGAAAATTGGGGGTGGGGTGGGGGTGGATTTTGATTCAGTTGTTGCTCTGCTCAAGATTGGAAGGGAACAGCCACAGGAGAGAAAGCAGGGAAAGATCCTTGAAACAGGCCATTATAGTTCATACTAATATAATGGCCTGAATGCTTTACCCTCCTTAAGAGGATTCATTTTTATGTCTTCCTCAATTATTGACTAGCAATTCTTTTCCCACATGTTTTGGACGGGAGCTTGATTGGGGTTGATTTCCAGCAGCTGAACGATGAGTAATATCTCCCTCCAGTACTTCAGTCTTGGCAATAAATTCAGACCTTATCTCTAGCTATTTATTATACAAGATTACTGGAGAGAGAGATTTATGGTGAGATATCCTCAGGAGTTTCTGATTTCTCTCTGCTCTTCCTCTTAGAGGATCGCAGTCGTTTCCTTAGGTTTGTTACTGGCAGAAGCCGGCTTCCTGCTCGCATTTGTATCTATCCTGACAAATTAGGGTAAGTATTGCTTTCCTTTGGGAATGGGGCTCAATTGACAGCCATTTTGTGTTTCTGCTATGAGTATCTGGTAAAAATTTTCCCCATATGTCACATTTTTGCTCCTTCCGCCTCCACCCCCAGGTCTGAGGCAACTGATGCACTTCCTGAATCATCCACCTGTTCCAGTACACTTTTTTTGCCCAAATATGCATCGTAAGTCTTGTTCTAAAAACCTGTTATACATGATATTTGCGCCAATGACTTGGGGGAAAAGAGCCGAAAGGGTTGGGACAGTCAAATGAAATGGGAGAGAATGGCTGCATAGGTCAAGATGGCCAGTATTATGACTTGTAGGTTGTGGGGCAGTGAAAGAGAGTCATTATAGTGGAGTTGATACAGAAAGAGGCTCAGACACCAATATACAGGGAGGTGCTACTGCCACAGAGCCCAGTACATGCAGAGATATGCCTGAGAGGAAAGTAAGCCTCTCATATGTGAGGAGTCGGGGATTGTGCTTACTAGAATGTATTTGAGGATATTAACATAAATTTTCTCTTTAATTTGTAGTGCCAAGGTGTGTGAAGAAAAATTGCGATACGCAGCTTATAACTGTGTGGCCATCGATACAGATATGAGCCCATGGGAGGAGTGACATTACCTAGGGCTCTAGTGAAACAGGCCTTCTGCCTCTTGTGGTTGCTATATGCAGTAATCTCTTTTGATCTGATCATCATGTCTCAAACTCCAGAAAGCGTGTATGTGTGTGTAGATATATATATGTATAATAATAATAAATTACCAAATATAAAAGCTGTATTTTATTGATAAGGGGGTAATAATAACAGTTCTATTGCCATTATGTGTTGTAAAGTCACTTCTATCTTGTAGAGACTCTGAGAGGGTTTTCAAAGGCCTTCGAAGTGCTCAAGGAATGGTTTTAACCACTGTCAGCCCCTCAGTGAGTTTCCATAACTCAGGGGGACTTGGAACTCAGGTCTCCTGGGTCCTATTCTGACAATTTATCTGCTACACCATGGTGACTCTCAACAACAGCTTGATGCCCTGCATTTTAGAAAGAGAAGGAGAGACACACAAAATAAAAATACTGAAAAACGCTTTGTTTCTGACCCACAGTGACAGATAGGTTGAGTAGCTGGAATCATGATTCTGGAATCCAGTGATACTAGTTAGATAGTTAGCTGCTGTTTTGTTAGTAGTTCTGTTTTGACAGACATGGCATAACCTAGAGGTTTCAGTTTAAATCTGTTCATCTTTTTACTGCTGTCCTGTTACTCATGCTGAAATCCTGAATACACTTATGTGAGAGTAAGTCCTGTGGAGCTCTCTAGAGATTATGTCCCGCAGGTATCTTGCTAAATAAATAGCCGCCTAGAGTGGTCTTTTAGACCAGATGGGCAGGATATAAATCAATCAATCAATCAATCAATCAATCAATCAAATAAATAAATAAATAAATAAAATAAAATAAAATAAATAAACACAAAGAGTCAAGATTACTCTATCTTTCCCCCTCATTGTCTATATATCAGCATTATTCATACTTTCATTTTGGGGTTACAGTTAAGGAGTCTCCTTCCCAGCAGTGAAGGCACTATTTCCCTGTTAATTCCCATTCTGTGTAAAATAGCAAAAGCAGAGTTTCAAGTGCTCTTAAACACTTCTGCCAAGTATTCCTGTCCCTTTTGTCTTTACTAGTTGCACTGATCAACACTGGCCACCAGTGGGCATTATGGAATCATAATTACAAGGAGTAATGCATTAAATCCTCTTTTAAGATCAAGTCTTGCTGGTATTGACAGGATGGCAGTACTGAGAGCAATGGAGAATGAGACTCCCAACTGTTTCATGGAAGCTGGGAACAAGATTCTTTGGTGGTACTGTGATTCAGGGAGCCCAAACCAGACATTTTTCTCTGCTTTGGTGACCATAAACAGCTCCATTCTTGTAACTCTCTATTTTCTGTCTGAGGTGAAGTGTTTCTTTGGACATCACTTCCATTAAAGCCTTTCTTAAGCAAATGTGCCTTTTGGGTCATGGGCATATATTAAACAGTCTTGCTAATATACTTCGTTCTTACATTTGAAAAGTATAAAATTTGAGAATTACATTTGTATGGCAGTGGGGGAAGAAATGCAGATTTGCTAATGTGTTTTGCCATCCCTTGTAAAGCACATATTTTGATGCTGGGCTTGCCCAAAATTAATAACAAGGTCTACATTAAATGGAAGCAACACAGCAGGCACTTCAGAGCCAGAAGGCTTGACTTCAATTTATCCAAACAGTAGCAACAAGACTGATATTTATTTCCCAGTAACAGCAAAAAGGACTGCTTTAACAGAATGGGACAGAGCCCCTGGCAAAATGGCTCTATTCATGAGTCAAGAATGTGCTGTCTGTATCTTGGCTGCTTGGGTGGGCCTAGGAGCAGAGGGCTGTTGTAGACACATAATGGACTTGATTGGTAATTGGGGTGGTGAATTTGGTGTGGGGGATGGGACGGTGTCATCTCTGCAGCTGGGCTTTTGTCATGCAAAGCAGAGCAGGAAGGGAAGCTTAAATCCTCCGACTTCACAGCACCTCAGAGTTTCTTTTCGGAGCTTCGCTACCACCCCCCCTTTTTTTAAAAAATCTCAGACTCCGTTTTTAAAATCCCTCCCCAGTTTTTGTAAGCTCCCCTCCATCCATCCCTCAGCAATTCTCGGCCTTTCCGAGGCTTTCTAACAAGGCCCAAAGCACCCTCCCTTAAGCAGAGGTGGGGTCGCATTCGCTCCGGGGCAACGAACGAGCAGTGCCAATTTTGCAAAAAAAGGATAAAAAGTGCAGGGCGGACAGGCGCGCGCCCGCGGGGGGGTGGCGAGCGGGAGGGGAGGCGTGAAAGAAGAAACCCTCGCATGGTCACCGGGCCGCCTTCGTAGTTTTCCCTTCCGTCCGTTTCCCCACAGACACTTACGACTCTGACAGGAAGGAGGAGGAGGGGGAAGGGTGTTTAAGAGCTAGAGGGGCTATTGGAGGTGCTGGCGGGCCCCCCTGAGGCGAGTAACAAGAACTGGGGATTAGCCGGGGATGCCGGGGCTCCCCTGCTGGGTGAGGACGTGTAACTCCTCTACCGCCTGTGGTGGGGGATTAATTACAAGACCACACAGCAGGCAAGTGAGCGGCACCGGGAATAGCTCGGCTCGAAGGCGGTGCCCCGGGTCCGAGAGCCGGAGGAGGGCGCTCGTCTTTCGACCGTATATGCCCTTCCTCCCGGTCCCTCCACCCGAGTGGCGTTGGGAGGAGGCGCCGCGTCCCCGCAGCTGCCCGCAGCTCTGTCCTGCGGATCGAGGCGCTTCTCTCAAAGTCTGGATCCGGCAGCGAGGGGCTGGGGAGCGGGAGAGTGGGGAGGCCGGAGTCGCGCCCTGCGAGCAAGAAGCAGAAGAAGGCGCCCTTCTGTGGCTCTTTCAGCCAGCCCCTAACTTGGGTGCCTATTAGACAGAACCAGCCCAGGCTCCTCATTTTGCCGCCTGAGATAAAACGGGAAACGGCGCTCCTTCTCCCACCAGATGCGCTCAGCACCAACTGAGTAACAAGGCGGCAGAATGTCGTACAAAACATCTCGTGCCCTCCCTTTTGCTCAGTGAACCAAAACCAGGGTAAAGAATGAATCCACAGTGCCTTGTCCTTTCAGCTTGACCGCCAAAATCAAACTGCTGGGGCAACTACCTCACTCTGGCGGGCTATGTTTGTGTACATGTGTGCCTACGGTTTCGGGAAGAAGCGGGGGACGAAGGTAAGAGGAGGAAGAAGCATTCACGTGCAAGGGCCTTTATCAGAAGCTGAAGAGCGAAAACCACGCGTGGCCATCACGTTCGACAAATTAGTGGGCAAGACCTGCGTGGTTCTTTGGAGCAGCGGCGGGACGAGTCTCGGCGGAGGACGCGCAAACGGCGTCAGCTTGCAGGGAACGGACACCACTCCCAGCAGGGGGCGTTATAGTGTCGCCGATCTGTCAAGATAACCTCGCGCGACAGGGCTTTGGGCGAAACCCTCGGGCTAAAGACAGGAAACAACCCTGAAGTTTCGCTTCCCAGGGTATGCAAATATACACGGATGTCTTCTAGCTTCATGGCCAAATAGATTTTGCACGTTTGAAAAAAGATACTTTGTACAGCAGCGCCCACCGTTTTTTCCCCCCAACCACCTGTTGCGGAGAAGAGACTTCTTTGTCTCAAGTCCGAGGGTGCCGTAAACTTTATCGTATTTGCCTGCTTGTCCTACCAAATTAGTGCTGACGGCAGAGGTAGGTCGATTCCTACACATTCAGGGCTAGATAGACCTGGAAGAAAGCATTAAGCTACTTTGGTTGCCCTATTTATTATTTGCTTCCTCTCTGAATACAAGAGATTTGCAAGATTTTCAAGCTCAAATGCAGTTTCAGATTTGTCTTACGAGTAGTATGAGGTAGGAATTTGTCCTGCAGTTTGGTCCAGGATGGGAACCACCTGTTGCTTTCTCCTGTGACTTCACAAAGTGCATGCCATTGCCAACCAGAATACCCCTGATCAGTATCTACCAGCACCTTGTTGGTCTCTATCAGGAACTACTTCTTTTCTTCAGTGTTTTGGTCAATTCCAGTGTATAATTGCTGGAATCTGACAGAAGTGGCTAACTGGCTGTTCCTTTGCTGAAGCCACTTAATGATCTTGAGAAATGGGAAGTTTCCCTTCCACTCTACTTGGAGGGGAATGGAGAGGAAGCTTTTCATTTCATTGTAATGGTTGCTAATTAACACAGTGCATTAGTGATGCTTTATCAGGTCCCTTTTTAAATCTTTCAAAACATTGCTGATATGTTAGTTATAAATAAAGAGAAATGGAAAACTTCCTCTCTCCTACCCTCCAAAGGCAAGCAAAATGGAAGCTCTCCATTTCTCAGATTCTTTTAGGGGCTTAACTAGAGGGCCAGCCAAGCCAGCTACCTAACAATCTCGATAATTTTTTTCAAAGAGAAAGATGACCTTGATTGTGTTGAACAGTGTCACATGAGGTACAGTGTGGCTGATCCTTGCTTGTGGTTGATCCAAGCTAGGATTATATAGGATTATCTGGCCGTCTAGTTGCATCTCTGTAAAAGAGAGACAAACAGGACCAAACAAGACGACTTCCTTTCCAGTTTCCTACGCAAATGGCAATTGGAGTGGTAGTTAGCAGGCTAGCTTGAGGAATCAGGGCAAGCCACAAGTGCACAGCTTGCTCCACCTTTCTTCCTGAAAGCCTCTTTCTTCCTGAAAGTTGTTGGGACGTCCCAGCAAGGTGTTTGAGGAAAGGAGGGTGTATAATGCTGTTGCACCCCATAGGTTCAGGAAGGCACTGAATTTATGGTAGTCACTTCTTAAACAACTTAAAAGCCATAGTCCGTTCCTTATAACTAACATGTATATTGTACTGTAGTGAATTAGCTAATTTCCAGCAGTGTTTTTCTATATGTAGAATTAGTGGCCATAACACAGAGAAGAACATGACAAAGAGAAACTTTATATGGTTCATTTTGTAGGAGAAAATACCACTAGTGAATAGGGAAAAAAGTAAGGTAAGAAGGTAAGAAAAAGGCAGGTAATAGAAGAAAGGCTTTTTGATGGCCACATATTAACTCTGTACTGTATTCTTACAGCTTGATAAGTGAGCCATACTTTCGTAATGTCATAGCATGAAAAGCAGCTTATCTCCAGATCAGTTCCCATCATCTTTCACCACTGTCAATGATTAGCTAGAACTGATAGGAGTTGCCGTTCAATAGAATCTGGAAAGATGCATTCCCAAACCCTGCTTTAGACTGGCCACTGTATCCTGAATTTAAGTCATATTTTTGTGCAGCCAAGCATCTGCCTTTCAGTTAATCCTATACACCAGGTGCTTCTCAACTTTGGGTCCCCAGATGTTCTCAGACTACAACTTCCAAAATTCCTAGCCAGCACAGCTAGTGGGGAAGGCTTCTGGGAGTTTTAGTCCCAGAACATCTGGGGACCCAAAATTGGGAACCACTGCTGTAGGTAATTTCCCTGAATAAAGCAATTGTACGGATGAATTCTTTTTAGAAGTCACATTATCTTTTTGTTTGGAGAGTGCCCCTTACCGACCCTTCAATGCTGTGCGTGAGAGCTCTGGTCTCCATTTGTTTTTCCTAATTCTGTTTGTTGCTCCACTTATGGAATCAGCCCAGCTGTGGTCCCTGCGGTTGCTGACAAGACACACACACTGTTGCTGGGCTGTGCCCCACTCTGTGCTGGCTTCCTGCGCACACTATGGAAAAATAAACACTGCCAGGCAGCTGCAATGCAGTCAGTGCCAAGATGGAAATGAAGAGTAGAAAGTGGGATAATGCCAAGGAGGGCAACCACAGGGATGGGGCCTTTTGTACCTGGGCCAAACTCCTCTCCGTACTTCTCAATCTAAGGTCATCCACAGGGTTCCTAGCATTATATAGTACACAGCCAATACAGAACATGTGCCCAGTCCCACTGAATATCTTTGGGTTCCAGAGCAGTAAGATTATGCTCATCCCACTGCACAGTTACCTTTGGTTTACACATTCATGCATAATTAATAACATATGTACAATTCAGAGTTTAAAAGAATGGAATTTAGGGTGAAATCCTACAGAATTGCCTGTAAGTATGGTCCATTGACTACAATGGGATTTCTGAGTGAATATATTGAGAATTGCATTTACACTGGTTTAATTTGAATAAAATCCAGATGAGTAAGGGTAAAACCGTGAACCCAGTTTAAAAATCCATCTCAGATTATATGCAGAGCATTTCTTAAAATGAGAGAACACACATTTGGCATGATGCTGTTGCCATCATCCAGTGTAATTTTCCCAAAATATTTAGAAAGGGATGTTTTATAGCTCAAAGGCAACACAGGCTTCACATTTGGAAGTTTGAAGTTTCAATTGCCAGCATTTTGAGGTCACTGCTTCAGTCACTGCAGGCAGTAAAGTACAGTACTGACCTAAATAAACCAGTGGTTTGATTCTGAATAGTACAGATCCCTGTGCTTCACAGAAGAATGAAAAAAGAAAAAAAGGTTTTGTGGGAAAGATTGCTGGGCAGCATGTGATTATTATCCAGCATATTCACATCTACAAAATATGCATGCATTTTTATTTGTGCTATACTCTTTTTTATATTTTAATACTTTCCAAATAATTCTATTGAACAGAAACCAGGTTTGATATTCCTTTCTTGGAGAATGTTGTTTCCTCCTGACACTGCAGAAACAATCCTATCCTTGATTATCCATTTTTGCCCATGTCAGCATTAATGCCGGTCAGTTTGGTTTCAGAGTGTGTTTTATAAATAATTAGGGTATTTCTTATGTCTGTAAATTGCTTGAAATGCTACATTGAGTTCAAATTTACCTTTGATTTTTAATAGCTTATCTTAGCCTCCACTATTTCGCCTCAATATTATGGACACTTAACAAATTGGAGTAAAACATTATGTAGTATCATTTGTAAAAAACTTTAACTTTTATGGAACAAATAGCTCACAGAGGACTGAAAAACCAAACTCAATTTCAGTGTTTCTTCAGTCTGTCTGCCAGCTTCTTCCTTGGAGTTTAACAACTTATTTGAGAAAATATTCTAATAATGTGCAGACCCAAACGAAATGATCATAATGAAGTGTGAACATTATATTGAAGAATGTTTCATATATATAATTAATACATAACATTTTTACAGGTTTTCCAGGAATTCTTACTTTTTGGGAGTTTATATGTGCAAATATTTTACATTCCCACATACATGCAAACTTCTTCTGCTCACCAAAGCAAAACGTCCCTAAAATATAAGCCTAGGACTTATATGGAAAAGATGGCACAATGTACCATAGGTTTTCTTGTCTCTTTTATCTTTTAGTATATAACACCCAAGGAAGGTATTTGGACCAGGATCATGATCCTGGTGGAACAGGATTAATGCTTCAGTTTAGCTTCGTTTTTCACATGAAAATTCCACTCACCCCCATCTGTTAGAAAAAAAATGTGCATCAGCTTCTAAAATCTCTTAGGTGTAATCCTGCCTACACATTTCAAAGACTACTGGACTACAGCAAGCACAAAAAAAGCACACAAACAACATGAGAATATAGATTTATATATAATATATATTTACTTTTAAAAATAAAACTTCCATTGCAAGGCTAGAGGTCTGTACAAACTACAAAAATAAATCTTTTTTTCTTTATCATATAAATAATTTATATGGCATGAAAACATTTCAGGTTAAAAGATCTCCAGCACACCCGCTACATGCTCACATGCACACGCGCACACAAATACACCCATGCACACACAATGTGCCCCCTTTCCACTATTTCCCCATGCTTTGCTGATTCCAGACTTGGCAAGGGGAGCACCATTTCTATTGTGAGTTTCCTAGAAGCACTTAGCTGTTTTTAGGCAGTTGGTGGGTAAGAAGAGAGAGGTAAAGAAACATGATAGATGTGCCAACTGTCCCTAGATTCCAGCCTTGACAGTAGTTTCAGGGCTATATTTAGTAGTTTCGTGGTGGGAAAACAGGGCAAATCCAGGTCAGTCCTTGTCATGTGGCAAGTTTCTACAAGAAAATTTATCTGTACTGTAGTTCAGAAATCTGACAGCATTAAGCTGATGAAGTCATTTTAACCGGAAGCACAGCAATAGTGAAGGATTCACATTATAATCAAAATGTGAACATCTCTATAGAAATTTCCATCCGAAATCTGCCATAACAACAGTTCTTGGGTAAAGATGGGGGAGGGGATTTAAAGTGCCAGGGATTTAGAAAAAAAAAGAATGTCACTGGGGAAATGAATTCCAGAATGAATCAGCGTTCTCTCTCAAAGAAATAATCTGGTTATCTGTGTCCCATTAGCCATTGTGTCCAAGGGGACACACCATTTCATTTTCAGGCAGGTCACAATTTAACTAAAAACATCCAGCTAGCAAAGAACAGCTAGAAGACAACTGCACTGCTTGTATTATCTAATGCTAAAAAGAAAGCTATAAAATGTTAACTCACTGGAAACATCAGTAGCACTCTTTAACAGTACAGACTACTTGTATCTAATTGTTGGGCAAAATTATGCTGAACAACTGCACTTGGAAAGGGGGTATCCTGAAGCCTCAACTGTAATTGTGACTAGCTAAAAATGTTTTGCAGCTTCGGGTGAAAAACTTGCTAGCAACCAATCCTTGCATCTTTTCATAAGAGGGATGTTAGATGGGGGACCATAAAGAATTCAAAGTGATAACAATGACCATATTCTCCCCCACATGGAAGCTTTTTATTTCCAGTTGTAGCCCTGTTGCTTGTGCTTGCACAAGTCATGGATTCAACTTCATGAAGAAACAAAGACTATAATCATGAAAATTGGGAAGAAAGAGTGGAATGCAACTGTTTCCATCTCAGATCACTGTCCCAAGAGTGTGGGAGTAAGAAATTGTGGCTTCCCTTAGGAGATTTATCAATAATCTAAGGGTCTCTTGAATGCTGCTGCTGCTCCACACAATTTATAGTGCTGTTTGTTTGTTTGTGACAACCCTGCTTAAATTTTTAAAAATAATTTTAAGCCTCCTTTCTATCACCTTACAGTAATCACACAGAAAATGGCACCAGGACACCAAAATCATCAGGTGAAAGAATGTCACATTTATAAAAAATGGCACATTATGTGAACATATAATTTTGTTGCTAACTTTAAAACAAAATAGGGTAGTTTAACATAGGAATTTGACAGCATCTTAGAAACAATCCTGGCCAAAAGAGAACTGTGTTTCCACTGTCATCCAATTTCTTTAGATGAGACTGAAGGAAGGATTAAAATGCTTTTTTAAATTTAAGAAATTCATACATGGTATGGGCCATTCTCTTGTGGATGGAGCTGTCTAAAATCAGCACTTTAAATTTAGATTTCTATCTCAGACTTGAAAGAAAAAATGGAAATACTTCATAAAGCAGTTTACTTAGTTCTGTGGAACACAAGCATATCAGATCAAAATGGAGATTGTTCTTTAGGTCCAAGCCTGTTGCTAAGTGACTGCTCATTTCTAGATTTTCAGCCAAAGAAGCTGAACTATGAAGAGATTACAGAAATAGCAACTAAAGCATTCATACTTCTTCATAGAAAATGAAAAGTTTTGCCCAATTCTAATTTCTCCTTTTGAACACATTCTGCTCTGACAACTAGATGGGAATTTTTATTTAAGTGGTTCCTGATTTAAGAGATTTCTGTCACATCAAAATTCCTGTCAGATCAAATAAGGGATAATTTTATACATTAAGTATTTCCTACACAGGAGTAACCTCCATGGGGAGGACAGACTTGGGATACCATTGCTTGTGTATTGTGACAAGAGTAGTTTTCAGTACAAGAATGCAAGTCATAAATCATCTCAGTATAGGAAAAACACTGCATAGTAAGAGGCCCCAAGTGATATGTATGCAGTCAATCCCAGTGCGAATATGCTGTGGCCTATTATACATTCCCCAAAGGAGGGCAGTAAATGGCTGAATTTACCACAGGGTTGCCTGTCTTTCTTATTCAAGCATTATTCCCTCCAGACACTTTAAATTTCAATTTAAAACATCCCCTTTGTATTCAATACAGTACACATGCATTTCACACTTAGGCAGCTAAGTTGGAACACAAAATATTTTGTAAGAAGCACTTCTTAAAAGATGGAATTGGAGAGACAGATAAGCCCATGCCTCCATGAATTGCTCTTCCATTAATTACAGCTCTGTTTTCTACCTGTGTTGGGTAAGTGCCCTATCTGGAGGCATTCCAGAGCAAAGAAACTGAATGGACAAATCATCTGCTCTGAACAATCCCAGTGCAGTCACAATTCATCCTCTATTAGATGTGAATTATGCCCATTGATCATATTAATTGGGAAATAATGATAGTGGAAGTTGAAACACCAGGAGGCATTTTACTTTTGGTCAGGGGACACTTGAATGATGGACTGTCTTGGGGTGATGAAGAGCAGGGCACAGAAGAAAGTTTGAGAAGTGTAAGATAGGGTAGAGAGGTTTTAAGAGAATTTAGAACAGCCACATGGCAGATGCTGACACGTGCTGGTGGGAGTGGAAGCAGAGTGCATGCAGCCTGTCCCACTCAGCTTGCATAGAACATTAAGACACATTGCGGCCTCTCCATTGCATGCTCCCTCCACTCCACACTCCCAGGGGGTGCTCTCCCCATTACAACATCACCCTGGTGCTTCCCTTTAAAGGGATACCGCCACTTTTCTTTAATGAGGGAGCTACGACAATAACAACAAATAATTATTATAATTATAGGGAAAAGGGTTTGTGACTCTTTTTATACAGCTTAAAATAATATTAATATTAATATTAATAAAATAAAAATAAAAGAATAGCAGCACAATGTGGGATAGTTTCTCCCACACATAAATTGAGTCCTATTCTCTCCATGGGAGGGTAGGTGTTTGGGCAATTCTGACACCCTGTTCTGGTGATCACCTTGAGATGGTTCACACAGCATACTGAAAATGGTCACTTTAAATTTCCAGATCTGATGGGACTGGAATTTTCCCTGTTTGTTGGTGAGTGGGGACGATGTTATATGTGCCACCAGTCCAACATAAGGACACAAACTAGGGTTGTTTTGAAGCCAGAAGCCTTTTCAACCAAGAAACCAGGCATGGGAGAGAGGAGTATCAGGTGCTGAGAGATTCTCCCATCATCTTTTTCACTGAATAGTTATTGTAGACTCATCTGCCCTCCTTTGCTCCAGTTCTCAAAGGCACTGTCTATATGTACGGTTGGTCAGTCACAGTGCAAGAACTTCTGTGGATCCAGCAAACTTCACAGTCTGTGGTGAGTGTGAACAATCTGGGCCACTGCCCCCAGCTGGGATGCTGGGCACATCCTGTCCCTGAGGCAGGAGTTTTAGAGTCAGGATCTTAGCCTGGCCACGTGAAGAGCTTAGTGTCTCTGGTCTAGGTTCTGCAGTTCCAAGCTGTCATACGAGTCTATAACAGGTTCTTCAGGGCTATCAGATTCAAAGCCCTCATGTGTGTAGCCCCGGCAGGAGCCAGGCAGGGGTGGATGCAAGGCCAGCATCACTGAAGTAGTAGCTGTAACTGTGGTGAAAGTGCCACCAGGTCCCAGAGTTGGCACTTTGGTGCTATGAGCAGGGGGGTCGGTCCGAGGGGGAACGGGGGCAGTCCGAGACAGCCAAGGCCCTAGTCTGTGACTGGGCTGCTCTTGCTGCTGTGAAGCATCCTTGATCTCTGTGGCAGTTGTCAGCAAGTGGCCTCCGGGGATTGTGGTTTGGGTCCAGTCTGCAGTGTGTGAGAGGGGTGGTTCCGAGCTTCCTTTGTAGCTTTTCACAACCTGTCAGGGAAGGAGGAGACTGATGTCAATATGTTGGACCTAGGAGGGAAGAGGCTACAAAAATATACTATCAGAACGGAGTGCTTCTTACGATGTTATCTTTCAGATCTTTAAAAAGGTGAGCATTAATTCTACAGTAAAGCTGAGACTGTATGAAAAACTATGTTCTCCTGAGATTTGATGCAATGAGCTTAAGATTTCAGCAATTGTCTCTTGGCATTATCTGTTCCAATTCCTAAACAACTTTTGACAGAACTTTGATTCTTATTTCATCCATATAAATCACAAAACTATACTATAAATAGATATGGGGGGAAACGTCAAACATCATAGTTTCTAGTGCCATTGTTTTAACTTATTTGGGTAGGGTTTTTCCTACAGATTCTGTGAATTGTCTCTTGGGGCTCACCCACCGCAGACTACTAAATGCCAATTCTCACACCAAACAAAAGGGACAGAAACCAAAATCACTGCTCCTATTCTTTCTTCCCCTCTCAGTTCTGGAGAAACTATTATTCTAGCTCCCTTGACTTCTTGTGAGCACTTACAGTGATTTTGGGAAAGCTGGGGCTTTTGCTGGCCTTGACCAAAATGTGTGATTGGGTTGGGGGGATAATGTAGGTGCTCCGATCATCTTCACCAACGTCTGATGCACCAGTACTCTCTGAGTAATACTCTGAGTCTGAGGAGTCACTAAAAGCTTGTCCATGCTGACAAACATAGAAGCTGTGGTGGCTGATGGGTGGTGGGACAGGTGATGGTGTTGGCAGGCGGCTGCCATTATCTGCTGGTGTGACCTATAGGGAAAAAAAGCAAAAAAGTACATTAAGAGAAGATGGTGACAAAGGGTCTCCTGCCTTTGTGCTTTTGTGTGATATCTTCTGTCTGTGCACACACATAATTACACAGCCATTCCATTCAATAAAGCAGATTCTGAATTTTGCCACAGATAGGTAAAAATGCAGATCCATGTCCACTCATTGATAAAGGCTTTGCACAGAGGCTGGGTGGTGTTCAGACACGTTCCTCCACTCTAATTGGGCAATAACAGTTGACACTAGGATACAAAACGCTTTCTTCCTTTCCCTATTATTTCCCCCATGGATTCTGGAACAAGCTGGTGATAAAGAAGAGTTCTTTACCTCAGCAGGTGGCCCAATGATAGACAGCAAGACAGGCAGCAGCACTAGACCATTGAGCAGGCCCAGAATTGTCAGGATGGTGAGCACAGCAAAGAAATACCTTGAATGGGGAGAAGGAAGTTAGCAATTACCATGTGTGTAGCTCATCTGCACATAGTAGAATATTTAATGTAAGAATTCATAATTTTCCTGTTTTCTTTCTCCATATCAGTACCAGAGATCTAGAGTAACTCTGTGGCTTCTTTGAGAAGTGTATTTATTTATTCTGATGGTGACAGATATTGGGGCCTGTTTTCAGATGATACAGAGTGTAGGTATGGAAGTTCTTGGCAGTATACCACACCAATCTCTCTTTCTTCCCCTTGCCCCACAACATTCATGCTCTGACTGAACAGATCAACAAATACTGACAGAACACATATGCATTCCTCACTCCTGTATCCACTCTGTCTAGATTCACATTTGGGAGATTTTGTGGGAGAGATTATCTTACTTGTATTTTCCATACTACAAAGGCCAGACATGAGGTATGGGGCTCCAATTGCGGAACTTGGAACTTGTTGGGATATACAATATATTGCACAATGAACTGAAGTGACATATATACCAGCAACTGGTTGCAGTTTTCATCTCTCCACCTAGGGCTGGCTGACCCTGGGCTAGATTCCTGTGCAGTGGCCAAATCAGACAGATCTGTCAGATGCCCATGTAGTTGTCAGGCCAGATCTAGATTCAGTATTCACTAGTTTTAAGTCAGTGTTGCTTCAACTGGAATAATACCTTTTATCTGAGCCAATATAGTGCCTACAGCAGTAAGTGCTGCACCTCCTCTGCTCTAGGAGAAGGTGATAGAAAAGGAATTAATGTGAGATACAAAGCCCTTATCTGAACCTTGAATGTTGATGTCCAAATTAGAGAGCTTTCTTCCTCAAACTTGACACAATCCTGCCCTAGAACTGTCATGCATCTTATTAGTTCTTGTCTTTATTTTCATTCTTGATTAGTATCCTCAGACAAACTGCCATGTGTGACACTATCACAAGAATGACCAGACCAGAAGAAAGACAGTTTCCCATTCCCTTCAGGATTGGCCCCATGGGACATTAAAATTTCACTTGCAGGTAGCCTAATACAGCGGTTCTTAACCTTTGTTACTCGGATGCTTTTGAACTGCAACTCCCAGAAACCCCAGCCAGCACAGTTGGTGGTGAAGGCTTCTGGGAGTTGCAGTCCAAAACTCCTGAGTAACCCAAGGTTAAGAACCAGTGGCCTAATAGATCAATGGAACATGCTTGGAAGCAAAGAAGAAAGCCACTGGAGGGTACCTCAGAATAAAGTCGAATTCCGAACCAGCTAACATAAGTACACCAAGCAGAGTGGAAACAGCACCATCCATCACAGGAGCAAACATGTGCTCTAGGGCCACAGTGGAGCGCAGGTTTCGGTTGCCAATGGCTGTCAGAAAACCCTGAGAAAAGACAGTCAGTCAGAAAAGAACCAAAAAGAGAATGAATTGTCCTGACAGACCTTCATAAAAGGGTTAGCAACCCCAGTGCCTGTTAATGGATCCACTTGGCAGCAAAGAAGAAGAGTCAAAGGCCCAGATTGTGTTACTAGTGCTACTGTTAGGGCAAGTTCCTATTTGTCTCAGGATAAGTAACAAGGATATTAAACTGCGAGAAATGACAGCAATGACTCCAGTTTCTTTGAAAACAGAGTTTCAACTCTACTTTTCAGCTCACATACAATTATAGCTTTATATTTACACATATTAATGCATAAGGAGTTGCAAACCATCAGCACCCCAATTTTGTGCTCATAATTGAAGTTAATTGAGCTCCACTCTGACCTAATAGGATGACCGCTAGGATGATGGTTGTTAAGGAACAACAAATCTACTTTAACGTAAGCAGGATCAGACAAAACATGGTCAATCCAAATAGTCTTACTGGGTGAGGGCCATCAGGGTCATTTGAATGTTTTAGGTTGTAATGTTACATACAGAGCCATCTGGTAGGAAAAAAGAGTGCTTAGTTTCTACAGGGCTCTTCAGGAAACCCTATTCCTTTAAGTATGGGTCCACAAAAATTCAGAGAGCCTTGAATCCCATGTTATTGATATGATTCTAACTGCCTTGAAGATGCATGGTGATCTAGCACAATGAGCCGTCCTTATGTAACTAATTGTTTTTATTTTGTCATTTTTAAAAACTGAAATATCTTTGGGAATTTTTACGTTATATGACAATGAGATTTGATTTTCCAACACTTCTTCTCTGCACCCTTCACTGATCATGTGTTAATTTTTGTGTCTTACATATTACATTCTTTACAGTTAGCTCCACCATATCTACTGATTTGCCTACTGAAGCAGTAAAAATAAATGGATGAGAGAAAATAAATGGGCTGTTAAAAGAAAAAATAGCTTTTAAAAATAAGAACAAAATTTGATGGCACAGAAGGGTGAGCCCTGAAAATGGGAGGAACGTGTGCTCCATTTCTCAGTTTACCTAATGCTCTACAAATTATGCTAGAAGCTTTGGAATTTGTCTGCCTCCCATATTTTTTATGTAAGCTATTTGTTTGTAAGTACTAGCTCCAAGAGATCTTTTACTTACCAGGGCCACATGTACAGTAAATTCCACGCCAATGCCCACAGAAGCAATGAGGATGACTACAGGGATGGCACTCAGTTTGATCCCCATCAGGCCCATAATACCAAAAAGCTCCACCGTTATCATTGCCAGAACAAATACCTGGGTCAGAAAAAAAATGGTAGGTTAATCTCTCACCCAGAAGCCATGGCAAAGAAAGAAAGCCTGGTGTGATAACAGGAAGCCAGGAACAAAAATCTGTATGCTAATTAACAAGTTGTGCTACTGGCTCAATTAATGGCTGCTGAGGATGTTGTCCACAAGGTTAGAAATCAGAGGATGTTCTATAAAAACCTCTGTATTCAGTGGTCAATACATAAGGACTTGGCACAAGTCCTTATGTAATATATACATTGCCTTTTTCTTCTCTCTGCTGCTTTTTTTACTGTCAAACAAATAAAGGTGGGATCTGATAAAGTAGGCTATAGTTCACAATAAGTCATGAGGTAATAATTTCTCAATCGTATTTAATGTGCCACAGGGATCTGAGATTTTTGCTTCAATAGGCTAACACAGGTACCCTTAAACACACAGACACACACACACAAACACCTGCTGCACAACAGAATATAGAAATGAGTCATTAAATACATGCAAGCATGTTCCATTTCTTCTTTTCTTTTTAGCACAAAATCCAGATTTTTTCGCTGCCTATATTGGTATTTCTTAGTGTAACAGTACAGCCCTCATGGCTACAAATGCTAACAGCTAAGAATATGAATATCATGATAATACTATAGAGATCATAAATTAAAAATAAATTTAATAAGTAGTCATAGTGATTAATGATTAATTCCAGTGCCACAAAGAGATGAGTTTAATATCTGAATCAGGACTTATTCTAATGGAATGGCAGTGGATGTTCTATATGCAGGTTAATACTAGTGGGCAAAGGGTATAGGGCTCTGGATGGACTGCCATCCGAAAGGGTGGTTAAGGACATAAACACTGTAGAGAACATGCCTATTAATGTACAAGTGAGTCACATAGAGTTTAACCCCTTGAGCACTATGGAGAAAAGCTTGAGGGGAGAAAAGAATGTTTGTGTGCTTCTAGAAAGATACTGATCTGCTTTGTTATCTGATAGTGGAAATGCCATTCCAGTTGTAAGAATACTATGTAGGAATCTGAACCCAATCCTAGCTTCTTGGTGCATTCATGTGCACAATATGTACATTAATAAACATGAGAAAACGTGAATTCTAGAGGCCTTCACTAAAAAAAATAAAGTTCAGGTGATCTAACATGCCTTCTGTCATCAACTTAATTCTGAAAACTACAGATCAGCTTGTTTTCTTAATGTATTCCAGCTGCAAGATTGAAATCAATTGTCTTAATGATAGAAGGAAAAATTATCTGGCTTAAATCCAACTTTTAGCCACAACTAGAACATACTCACTAAATAAATGAGAACCTGACAAGCCAAGGAGTATGTAATTTCTGTTGATCCAATTGGTCTCCTCTAGATGAGACTAGTAGTGGATCTAGGCCTTAAAGCATAAGATAAGGTACAAAGTACAAGTACTGAATATTGATAATTAGAAAAGATTCACACTTCAGAATGGGGACATTTAAGTCTACCATCCTAATCTTGAAGCTAAAAACTGTGTAAGTTGATTTTAGAAAGACAGCCATTCTTTTTGCCCAGTCCCAAAATGCAATTGCATGTAGCACAAGTTATAGGAAGTTGACAACACAGAAATCTCTGTCACTGTTAGGTATTTCGTGCTTATGTAAGTTGATTTTAGAAACACAGCCATTCTTTTTGCCCAGTGCCAAAATGCAACTGCATGTAGCACAAGTTATGGGAAGTTGACAACAGAGATCTCTGTCACTGTTAGGTATTTCGTGCTTATGAAGTCAAATACTCACAATGATAGTAGCAGTCCAAGGGTTGAGTAGCAACAGAGTACACACCAGAAAAGTGCAGACCAATACAATGCTGATGGCCTGCAAAAGCCAGTGGCGCAGGCCAATATATTGCTCCCAGAAGAGGAAAGGATAGCCACTGGGGTAGCTGAGTACACCATGTGTCTGGGCCACCTCATCACAGATGGCACGCACACTTTCAATGGCTGCCACAAAGTCCGATGTCTGCCGCAATCCATTGAGGTAGAAAGGGAACTGAGCAAACTCCAAGGGCTGAGCAGCTGGGACTGTCAGAAAGAGAGGTAGCCATTAGTGATATTGATATCCTGTTTCCACTCCTGTCTTTTGGCAAATGTGTACTGGAAAGGATAAATGGAAGAGAGGTTTCAGACTACACTCACTTCGAAGATTTTCTCCAGTGGCATCATACTTGTCATGGATCCACTCTGGTGGTGATGGATAGAAGTTGGCTTGGGAGGCAGCAAAGCCAAGGGGATCATTGCTCACCCAGACTGTCAAGCAGATATAGAAGATGTTGGGAGGAATGATCCCCTTCTCATCCACCAGGCGAAGAGTTGTGAGCTGTGAAGCAGAAAGAAAGGTGAGTGAAGTCTTTGCACAGGTGCTATCATTTGGAAGGGGAAAGGGGCTGAACCTCCTGCTTCTGCACCAGCTCATCCTTTCCAATCTGTGCAGATCTCCTGCATCTCTCCAAATCACCATTTTCAAACCTAAACATTCTTGTGGAAAACTCAGCCTTCTCCCTCCTTGCTTAGTGCTGAAGTAGCTATTCTCCCACCCACTAGGGCACAATCAAGGATTCATGATTAAATCTTAGTTATCTTTGTGACTACCTTTTTCCTGTCCATTCCCCTCTCCCAACTCAACTTTCGGGATTTCACACTTACTTGATTTAGATTGAAGGGTTCCTTCTTATTGCCTGTTTGGATAAGGAGCTTGTATGCCAGGGCACCATCCTCTGACCCATTGCGGTAATTCTCCCTGGTGATATGCCCAGCTTCCCAGTCCCGGTCAAAAGCTGCCTGTAAACCTGGGACAGAGGGAATGTACAGTTCTCAGTGTTATTAACAGGATCCCACAATCCAGAAGCAAGAGCTATCACTTATCAGCAGCTATGCCTATCTCCTTTTCTCTTCATGGCTTTCACCCCTATGCTTTAGCAAGTGATCTCAGCTCCCACAGAAATCAGCTGCATCACTGTCAAAGCATATGGATGTTTCTGCCCCACCTTTTAAGGACACCAGAAGAGACCTATCTGATTTGAAAAGCAAAAGGAAATCTTTATGTGTATGTGTAGAGCTAAGAATCAGCATATTTCATGCATGTAGATGGTGAGCCAAATTTTCTTGCCTAGTTGTGCTGGAATAACACAAACAGCATAAGTTTTGGAGTTGAATTGCCTCAAGTTAAGAAATCATTGTAGATACTCTCAGTTGCATACTGAGTTGTATGACTCAGCATGCAGTTGATAGAGTCTACACTGATCTCTTTACCTGAAGCACTTTGTTTCCATAACTATGCAAGAGGATTTTGGCAGTGAGTGCATGTATGTGCAAGATATAAACATTGTCAACATGAGATCAAAAGGTTCTTGAAAGTTCCCAGAGAATACAGAACACAGCTATACTGAATATCTTTATGAAGCAGAGATATAAGGCTTTCCTTGCTTTGAAGCAGCTGGCCAGGTATCTGGCACAGTGTCCCATGTGTCCTCCCACCACCAGCAAGCGCACACCAAGAGCATCTAGCCTTGAAACACAAGAGGACATCTCATCCATTGTCTTCAAGAAGCAACAGTGCTGGCTAGAAAGTTGATAAAGACTGCATTGCTCACCTTGCAACCAATCCTGGAAATAGTGCAGCCACATTTTAGGCAACTGACGGTTCTCATCACGCACTACATACTGGATAGTGGAGAAGGCCTCATGCAGGCCATAGAGAGCCTCCTGTGAGTTGGGGTAGTCAAAGCCACCCTTGGTCACCACAAACATATTATAAAAGGAGAAGTACTTGAATTGAGCTGAAATGAAAGCATGCTCCTTTGTGCCTCGTGGTACAATATCTGTCAGGTACAGCCCATCATGAACCTTAGTTGTCCCATAAAGGCTCAGACCAAGCAAGGCCAGGAAGAGGGCTACCACAATTCCCTGAAAATACAAGAAGGAAAAGAGTCAAGTTGGATGCAGCCTGAATCTGCCCCCACACAATCCATTTTTCTCCATTACTTTTGAGACTTGGCTTCCTCGTAATAAAGCAAAGAACTACCTGGGCTTTGGAACTCTGACCACCAAGCTCCACTCCCTAAATGTGATTCTGATTTGCCCAAACAGAATGAACATGCAAATATGCCATGTTTTGAAAGGACAACATATATTTGCAAAGCAAGTGTATTACAAGCAGCAGGTAGGAAGTCAAATATGCTGGGAACCATATCAGAGTTTCCTCTGATTTAAGCTTAAGAAATACCATTATTTTAACATATTCTTGATCAGTTATTTCTGGCTGCACAGAGAAAAAAAGATAATCTGGTCGGTCGAAGACAAACAGAACCATGTCATTCGGAATTATCTAAGGAATTTTCAGAGCCACAACATCTGATTAGAAAAGCATAAAGTAGCTAAAAAAAATCTCAGGCCTTGTCTTTGAAATATATTTAACTCCTCAGGGTAAACAGGGCACAATCAGCAATACATTGTGGAATGAGGTTAAAATAAAACAAAGCAAAAACTTCAGGAAAAAATCAGAAAGCCTTCACTTTCCACTGGCTGCAAGTGCTGGCATGCCAAAGTTGCTGCCCACAATGTTGAGCACTGTGCAGAGAGCATAGTGCCATACAAAACTTTTGAGAGTGACTTTTTGTTGCATACCTTAGTTTGGCTCTGCAGCAGGATGGGTGCATATTTGTCACGAGCAAAGCTGGAAAGGTTCCATCGGCAGAAAGGCAATGGCACACACTCCTGGGCACCTTTGCCCTCATCTAGCTGTGCCAGAAGATCACGGGTAGAACTGGCAGGAGTGAAGATCTGTGAGCCCAGCGGATTGGCTGGTAGGAGAGTGGAAGGGGTAGTGAAGACATGCTGTGTGGGTGGTAGGATGGTGACTACATGCCTCCCAGAGGAGTCACACTGAGTGAAGGCCTGCACCATAGTGGTGATATGTGTGCTGGTGGTCAATGCTGGATGACCATGGGGATATGCAGGCGTGGTGTGGTTGTCATTCGCATCAGCATATTCTTGTGGCTGGATCTGGATGACACGGGAGGAGCAGAGGCTGTAGGCAGAAGAGGACACTGAGAAACTGTAGGGGTCATACAATACCAGCTATCAATGCATATTATAAAACAAGGGTGGGCAAGCTCCTGGAGCTCAGGAGCAATGTTTCTGTACTTAGACCCTACTAATGAAATGGAAAGTATCCAAAACATCATTTTCATCTTAAAAATACCACTTCTATACCACCCCATAGTGCTTTTATACCACCCCATAGTGCTTAAATTACTGGGCAGCTTACTCATTTTACCAACCTCGGAAGGCTGGAAGTCTGAGTCAACCTTGAACCGGGTTACCTGAATCTGCTAGGATCAAACCAGGTCATGAGCAGAGTTTTCACTGCAGTACAGCAGTTTAAACACTGCACCACAAGGCTCTTTATATAAAACGTCTGCTGATTAATGATTTTAAAACAAACACACACCAAAGCAGGGGTGGGGAACACTTTAGTTTTGAGGGCAATTGTGTGTGTGTGTGTTTAGTCGTTTAAGGAACACTTTAGTTTTGAGGGCAATTGTACCCCCTTGAAATACATTTTTAGGGCAGAAATTAGATATATGAAATATATGCATTTCAGAGAACATTGATTTGGTTTTAGACGCAGACTTTTCCTATGTCAAAGAAACGCTTCCAAAACTGATCAGGTGGACTAGAGTGTCCCCTGTCTTTCTGATAATTTAGGCATTTTTCATTCACTCTGTTGTGTGCCTAACAACTTTCTCAAACATTGTAACATTACTCTGTTCTCCCAACACATTTGATGAATTGCACTACCTTACCCTGAAGAATGCAGGAGTGCCACCCAACAAGATAATGTAAGGATTCCCTCTCTTCATCCCACTCTTAAGACTCGTACCTGTAGAAGCAGCACAAAATGTCAAGCCTCTTTTTTTCACGTCGGTGAAGGTCTAGACTCAGGATGGCAGGAAAAATGAACATCACCATGGCAAAATTAAAAACAACCACAACAGCGGCCTACAGCAGACAGACAAAAAAAGTTGTTAAGGACACCAAAATTCTTGAACTATTTTTCTTCATGCAAACATACCAAAACTGGAAACTAAGTCACTACATTTGAGATTTAAGAATGTGGGTACACTTTAATGCAAAAATGTTGTTTCACAAAAAGCCAGTGGCCAGAGAGAAGCTGAATTGGGAACATGGCTGGGCTAGTAGTGACTTCACCTCTTTGTCCCACCCTCCCCAACCCCGTATTTCCAGTCAAGTTTCTCACCTGATATTTAGATGGGAGAATGAACACACACAGAGAAAGGTAAGGCTTGTGCACTAACATTCCTGGAAATGCAGGCATTCCAACATGAAAAATCACCTGCCAATGGGCTCACCTGCAGAGAGAAGGCACGTAGTGCTGGGATGGGCACAAGGGCAGCCATGAAGAATGCTATCATGTTGTTGACAGAGGTGAGTGCCACACTTGTCCCACTACGCCGTAAACATTCACCAGTTCGTTCCTGTATTGGAAATGTATACATGAGAAAAAAAATGAGTACAGAGTGAAAGGCTAGAGTCATGCATGCACTGGCATTATCCAAGAACCCAAAGACATGGATAAGAAGAGGTTAATGATCTTACCTTGACAGGCACATGTTGGCTGGTCTCTGTGAAGGCATGAGCCAGCAAGAACATATCATCCACGCCAATACCCAGTGCAAGAAAGGGCAGAACCTGTAGAGATAACAGACATAAACACAATTAGAGGGAAATTATCACAAGCTGTCCAATTTCCATTAACCAATATACAGCTCTCAGGAGTACAGGAAAGAATAGATAAGACAAAGATGGAGATCTCCACGTTATGCCAGCTGGGCTGATGATGGCTATGGTCCCAGAATAATAACCCTACCTCTCTTTTAAATGAAGATGGAGGTCACCACAAATTTTTCTGCTTGTATGTTCAGGTTCTAAATGACCCCCATATTCTTCTAAAACCAGATTAGCCGATAGCTCTGAAGGATTGTTGCTTTCTTCTAATGCATACAGTACATCTCATGCACTTGAGCAACATTACTTGGTTATATTAGGATCCTTCCTCTCACTGCAGGCACTTTGGCTCCTTATATACATCACTATATCAGTGTAAAAGGACAGTGGTTCTTTTTAACTCAGCCTCAGAACTGGAATGCAAAGAAGGCTTGAGAATAGGTGGAAAGTATGGTCATGCGGGAGCCTCAGACCAATAATCAACCCAAGGGGATGATGCTCTCTATAATACAATATTCTCTAATCCAATGATTCCAAGCCTTGGATCCCCAGATGTGTTTGGAATAAAGCTCCTAGAAGCCTTCATCACTAGCTGTGCTGGCCAGGATTTCTGGAAGTTGTAGTCCAAGAACATTTGGAGAGCCACGGTTGGGAAGAACTGCTCTAATCATTAGAGTATAATGCCATTCCAAGATAATGAGGTCAACCATAACCTCAGCATTGTTTCCTGAAGAAATTGGAATGGTCAGGCCATTCTGACATTTACAATGAAGAGGCAGAGGAACTAACAAGAGACTGAAATATGGCAGGAGTAGACATGAGGGAAGATGACCTCTCGAGGATGGAACATACCTGGGTTGTAGCTGCATTGAATGAGATTCCTAAGAGGGAACAGAGTCCAAGTCCTGCTGCCACTGAAAGGGCAACCAAGAGAACCCCAGCCAGGCCCACAGCGCCCTGAGATTTGGAGCAGTCCCAATGCAGCATGGTGACACAGGCATATGCCAGCTGCAAAACACGAAAATAACCATCAATGATGAGCAAAGTGTGCATGGGAAAACTACTGACTGATCCACGACTGTATCAGAAGAAAAACTGTATGTGGAAAGAAGCTGCTACGCACCATCAGCAAGTATCCACCAGCTACACGAATGGCACTCACATCTGAGAAGGATTTCATGATGTCATTGAGTGTGGTAGTGGAGAAGGCATGAATGGCCTGGGATGAATTTGCAGGAAGGGATTCTTGGGCCAGCTGGAAAGGAACAAGAATGGTGAACTACTGGGAGAGAGATGCAGTCTTTTCAACATCTCTGCTCACACTGGGATCCTTCGCACACAGTGCCAAGCACAGGATCCATTCACATGCCTATCACACTTGTGATTTGGGAAACTGCACACCCTGCTGATGCATCTGTTCCTATGCAGCCTGTTGCTCAATAAAGGAATCTTCCTACAATGAACATTATTCTTATTCTTATTCACACATATAAGATCCCAAATACCTCCAGGAAATTGTCTCTTCTCAACCACGCTCAAAATGATATCGCACTCAGACTGTCACTACTCATACAGGACCTACTCAATTCCCTCAGACATATTTTCTTCTAACTTACAGGTTTGCATTCTATATATAGCCCCAATAACTAATTTGTCACCACCACACCAGAAGAGTAAAGCTGTCTTATGGGCATCAACAAGCCTATATGTTGCTCTATGCACAGTAATAAAGCATTCTTTAACTCAATAAATGTCTGATTTGCATACCATTTTATATTTTTGCAAGCTTTTGCACATGTGCAGATACATAATATTTTATATTTACAATGCATGCCTATGTCTGTGTCGATTTTCAGTCCTACATGAAACCCCTCCTTCCCTCATAATGGACCCATATATATTTCTGCAACTTTCAGGCCTCCTTTGCTTTAGCCTTTTGTGGATCACCTATGCACACAGACATACGCTTACGTTAAGCAGCCCCAAAGACTCTGCAGCAGTGCCACAACCTCTTCCCATCTCACCTCAACAAACTCCCTCTGCCAAGCCTCCAGTACAGCAGCTGCCTTCTCTTCAGACCAGCTGATGTCATGTATCTCATAGTCATCCCGGTAGTGCTCAAAGAGCTGCCGTGGACTCATTAGCAGGAACATGCTCTGCAGGGCTTCAGCTCTGCAGAAAGAGATGTTGGTTCAGGCAAAAACGAAAGAGTCCTTCAAACCTTGGATCTAAAATGGGAACATGTGGCTCTCTTGATGTTGCTGAACCTGTGCTGCTGTCATCTCTTTCCATTAGATATGCTAGTTAGGGCTATCAGAAACTGCAGTCCAATAACTTGAGGAACACAAATTGTCCACCCCTTCCAGTTCGGCTGACCTGACCTCTGTCTTTAAATTCTAAGACAGAAGCTAGAACTACTGATCTCCAAGGTTCTTCAAGCTGATTTACAAGTCTGTGCTTCATTGAACCCATTTACCTGTCCACCACACCCCCATCTGAAGGTATACATAGCAAACTATCATGCTAGGTCCATCAGCTTCCATGTGAAACAAATCACTGGCTAATGTGCCAGAAGCAGGATAAAAACCAACAGAGTATTTCAATAGACCCATGATTTCCAATACCCTTGTGCTTTGTGCTTGTGTCAGGAACACCTCTGATTCACCACACAATGTATGTAGGCAGTCTGAATAAGAAAGGCCCACATACCCTGAAGAAGACACTCCTATTCATTTCTATTCTAGAAACACATGGATGGACTGGAATAACTGAAGATATATCTCTTTATAATATCAGAAGTCTCAGGTTTATGTCATACCTGCATATGAGTATGCGAGCATTAAGAATGAATCATATTTTCTCTCTGCCTTCCTTGTATGTTTTAAAAAATGAGAATAAAGACATATCAGTAGGCCTTAAGCAGTCTTTGTTCCCAGTTCTACCTTGTTACCAGGTATACATCGTGCCTCAAACACCTTATCTAATATCCTCCGATCATCAGCTCTTTCTTTGCAGCCCTTTGGCTTGCCTATTGTAAAGGCTGCAAGGATACTTCCACGCATAAAAAGTATCTCCTGCCTAGAACCCCATACTGTGAGACATTATGTAGTGCAGAATGTGCCCGACTACATCAAAATAACCATTATCTGCAATTCCAAAGGCTATAGATCTAACATGGGACACAGTACAGAGTGCAAAGCCTGGATGTGGATACAACTTCCCAGCGTGTACTAGACTTGGCACATTTGACCCCTCCAGAAGATATGGGCTGTAGATTGCCAAAAGCAGGTGTCTGTGCTGTAAGAATGATTCCATGTCATCTGGAAGGGGCGACAGCTTCAGGGATCATCATAAATCCCATAGCTCAGAAATGCTGCTAGGGTCAAGTCATAGACATCTACCCAGCACTCCCATGGATATGAATCTCAGTGGCATCAAGTTACAAACTGGTGCACGAGAGGGGGCAGTTTACCACCATTTGTGAGAGGGACAAGGTTGAGAGTCCTATGAGTTCCCAACAACCATGCCTTCCTCTCTCCATTCAAACACAAAGTTTATGACTTTGACCATCATTTTTAATTGGAACAATAATCTGTTCTGCAGAATTAATTCCTTAACTACTGGATTTCCTGGTCAGAGCCTCCTCTTGACCTGGGCACGCATGCACACACACAAACACACACGCACGCACATGCACACACACATGTACCTCTTCAGTTTACCCTGGGAATCCTTTATTGTGCCTCCCAGGATCAGCTCCTCTTGCCAATGCATGTATTTTTGGGAGAAGCCATGGCAGCCACCTGTGAGCTCAGAGGGGATGTCGAGTTCCTGGTGAGCACAGCAAAAACAGATTGTAAGAATGCAAAATTATCTTAAGCATAGGGATGTTTAGCTCACACAAATATGCTATAGCTCAATCAACTGATTTCCGCAAAGCAAGAAGCACCCTGCCTCCTTGGTCTTGCAGCATGTACATTTAGTGCAACCATTGAAATAGAAGTCTTTTGCTTCAGAATATGTGATTATTTGCTACAGACCCAGATAAGCTTGCTCTTGTCTATCCAGCTGCTACAGAAAACAAGGGTAAATGTTGCTGCTTGACAAATGCCACATGTATTTTAAAAAGGTCCAGGAAGAATAAGACACAGCATGCTCTAGTGAACAGAATATCAGGCTTGAGAGACTTGGGCAGATTTTAAGCCCTTGCATAATCATGAATTCACTGAGCTCTTAGAAAGTCAGTGCTTCTCAGCTTCAATTTCCCATTCAGTAAATGAAAATAAAATAGTAAGAAAATAAGTCACAGGGACTATAAAACACTTTGGTCATTCAATTTTCATCCCTCTTCCTATAAACAAGCCACATTCCAGTTTCCCATTGTTGTGTCACAACTAGGCATGATCATGAAATGGAATCTCAAACTACAAGCAAGCTTGCTCTTCAATGACTCCCAGTGCTGTCCTGAATGTACCTTTTTGCTTTCTCCCATACATAAATAACTACCAGTTATTTTCCCAAGGAAAGGTAAAGTTAGATGCTTAGGAACACTAGTGGCATAATGATTAAACCAGCCCCAAACCTGGGCTAGCCGTATTTCTGCTAACAGGAGCTCTGCAGATAGAGAAATATAAGAAGGCAGATGCTCACATGTGCATGCATCTATAGACACTACATAAGTTCATCTTTTACAAATACCACAATTATTATGTTGCTACTATGTTAGATAATTTAAAAATATCTGGAGAAAGCCTGAGATACTTTTCCACAAACAGCTATGTAACCTCAGATCTGGAAAGAGTTATCCTCATTGCAATGAAATAACACTGACACTGAAATAATTGCACAAGTTTTGAAACAAGTGTCAAAATACTATACATCTTAAAACAGCCTCATGTCTCCTCATTGCCCAGGTTGGAAGAGGACTTTTTGCAGGCTATGTGGCATCGCCTCATCTTTACAAAGCAAGCACTTTTGAAGCACAGAATTTCTGTGCAGAGAGAGCAGGCAGACTGAAGGCGATCTGGAGCTTCCAGCTTTCATGCAACAGTGCTTCATAATGATTTTTTCCTGGTATTCTTACAGAATAAAGGCCATGATCCATATGGCTCCCTCACTTTTCATCCACCAGTGAGTAAAGGAATAATGCAAACCATGTTTAGAAGGCTGCAGCCTCCCCACACACACACATATTGCAAATCTCAAGGAACAGGAAAAGTAGCCAACTTCTAGATTCAAACATATATAATACATTTATTACTTGGATTTTATTTCTATCCCGCTTTCCTCCAAGGAGTTTAAAGTAGCTTAAAGTGATATATATTATTCAATTTTCTCCTCATAACAGCCCTGTGAAGTAGATTGCATGAAGTGAAAGTGACTGGTTCAGGATCACCCCGTGAGCTTCATGGCTGAGAGGAATTATATGTGCCTATCTTACCAAAAAGTACCTTTCAAATCGTAACTGATCACACCTTTTATCTATGCTACAGATTTACACTGTACATCTCTCAGATGGATTTTGCCTATATTAAGCCACCAATAATAACAAAATAATATCAGACTGAATAAAATAATGTCTATCTGGGCAATACTATAAGAATTAATTCAAGTCAGTCAGTGCCTGATAAAACCTATGAAACTACATAGAGAAACAGGAAGAATCACTAGCTATTACATCAGAAAACTTATAGAGAACTGCCCTGGAAGCTTTGGAAAAGATAACGAAATTCAGTGCGTGAACTTCAGGGAGTTGTATTTTAGATTCCATTCAAAGACATTGTGTATGTGTAGATGTACATGCTTGCATGTCCACACATTGGATATTCCCTTCACTTCTAAAAGTACCTTCTTCCTGTTCTAGTAGTGGCAACAAAAAGCCATAATGATAACAGTCTGGATTTCAAGCCAGAAATGTGGAATTATAGCTGCAACTCCATCCTCTTGCTCCCTCTGCTTGTCTTTGGTCATTAGGTATTCTCCCTCTCCCTCTGTCTCTGTCTCTGTCTGCCTTCCACATTAAACTCTACTTTCCAAAAACTCCTCAGCTGCCATCTGTTGTGGGACACATTCCAGCTATGACCACCTGCTGGCCAGCATTTGCACTGCGTCTGCCTGGATCAGCATCATCAGTCTTGCCTATGTTTCCCTGGCCCAGAGCCATGCATTCCTTGTCTCCTCCCACCCCTGGATACAGAGGGGCAAAGTTAATGAAAGATAGGGAGATCTCACGGTTTGTTGAAGCCTTTGGGGCACATAATTCTTGCAAAGTCCTAAGCCCCATCCAGCCTCATCACAGTCCTAAGAGCTCTGTGGGATCACCCTGGCTACTCTCCCCTTCTCCCAGTGTCCATGGAGGAAAACCATCACTGCTTTTTATAACCAGAATAATATGGCCACAGAAAATGAACCAATCTTGTGTCATGGTACTTAATGTGTACTCTAGTTACTGACAGAGATTGTGAACAAAAGAAAACTGCCTTTGGATAGCTTCACCACCCCTCAGTTTTCATTTAACAATTGCATTTGTAAATCTTTAATTTCTTGCCCTTTACAATTCATCATCTAATTATTTTTTTGCACAGATGGCACATTTTGCATCCATTCTGCAAATTGCTCCAATTCCCTAATAAGCATAACATTGCAATATTACAGTTCTCTCCCTTTCCCCCCTTAATTTCTTTCTCCCTGTCACAATCATCATACAGTCCAGGCAGACTGTTATGCAGCTTTGCTCAACCTAACGTAACTGTATCTCTTAATCTCATACCTGGCATTCTATGGAAGATGCTAAGTATTTTATAGGACTTCTATCTTTCTAGTGAGAAAACAGCAGGTTTTTTTAATGGTGGTGTATTTTAGACTAGGAAAAAAAGCTTTCCTCATCTGATTGACGCCACATCAGCTGCAGCAGATACTCATTAGCTTCCAATTCTACCTAGTTTCGTTTGGATTAAGATCTCTACAATGAATTTCTCTTCCCTTCAAAAACTTTCTTATACACTGAACAGAAGAAGTAAGGGTGGTTTCTGCATGGCGAGCCATTTTAAATCTGGAATCTTTTATTACTGGAGAGCATACTATCAGTCAAGCCATCAGCTGTAGTCTGAAATTCAATAAAATTATAGTTTACTGTTTCATATCTTCTTTGGAGGAATTCATTCTGCCACACAGATAGAACCAAAGAGCATTTTAAGGAAACATCTTTAGCTAAAATGTACCTTCTGGCTTTTGCTGTTGGGGGCACTGGTAGGACACTCAGGGTCAAAGGGATCAAGACAAGGGCGCTCCATATAGGCCTGGCCAACCTCTGCCTTATCCAGCATCTCCTTGAATCCTTCTAATGAAGCAAACTGACCCAACTCCTCCATCAATTGAATGGGGTCTAAGTTGGTCCACTGGATATCCCTTCGGCCTCTGTAGACAGATAGAACAATGTGGGTTAACAAACGAAGGAATGTACTCAAATAGCAAGGTAACAATTTGACATTAATTTTCTCGAGGCTGGAACACTAATGTAATAGATGGGACAGGGTGACTTGGAGCTGATTTCCTTTTCTTTACATTCATAATTTCAAATAAAGTTTGTTCAGCTGAAGCTTAAAAAAATAAAATCCAAAACAAAAACAAACAAAAAACAGCCAGGTACATTCCCTAAGACTACACTGCCTGATTGCCAGTGATAATTACAAATTGTCACTATGACTGACTCAGAGTCTTAGGGTGATGCAGAGCTCTTGCAGTTTTTAATTTTTAAAATTGCTCCTAGATGACAACCAACATTTTAAAAGAGGCATCCCCATACATACATAAGGAAAGGCCTCTTTTGCTGCTACTGTTACTAATGCTACTGTTACACAGAGTGGGGGAACTCACCCTAACGATTTCTATGGAAAAGCCATGCACTCTACTTTAAAACTATCACTACTGCTGGTCAAAGATTAAAGCATGCTTTTGCACTGCAGGATCCTGGAGGCATGGAACAGAACATCATGCTCCTGACCTCCTCTCTTTCCCGCAGCTACCTGATGCAGATGTGATGAGGGAAACCCATCCCATGACCAGCCAAAGTAACTTCGGTACTCCTGAGTATTCATCAATGACACTATTGACCTATTCGCTCTTGATTGATATCCTGTATTCTTACAAGCTCCATCACAGATGGGAAGAGAATATGATTCTAGCAGTGAGCTGGTGCCATTAAGGAATATCACACCTGTCAAGCTGCTGTCTTTCAAGCTGCTGTCCAAGGTACAGAAATTTCATTTGTCCCTTTATCCATGTTTGTATTTTCTGACTGTGGGATTCCCCCACCCACCCCCAGCTGGGCAAACACTGGATACGGTAGCTGTTTCAGTGGTATAGCAACAGCAATGTATCTCCTGTCCTGGCCTAGCATAATGTGAACATAGGACTGCTCTGGGAGCTCTCAAGAAAAACAAGATCGAGTTCCTCTGACATAAAAAGAAAGGTTACTTACCTGTAACAGGACTGCTCTGTGAGCTCTCAAGAAAAACAAGATCTAGTAAACTCTGGCTCAGATTAAAAGGTGACATGTGTAGAAAGAAGATACATATGTTCTCCAACAAAGTCCACTGCAGTATTAAATGCCATAAAACTCCAGTCTGGGCAGCAGGGGAAAAGATGTTTGTTTTTACTTTGATGAATAAGACTCTGGGAAGGGGAACCAGTATGAAAGGCCTCCAACACATTTGTGGTCAAGATTTTTCTGTGAGTTCCTCTGACGTAAAATGGGGTTTTATTTTAAAAATAATTTTAATAGATACATTTCAGGAGACAAGTTACTATATTCTTGTTCACTTGATTTTGGATGATAGGAACTTTTATGAACTTATTTGCAAGGCTGAACCTAACCACATGTCTCTCTGCAACAGCGAGCTTATGCGTACAGTGGGCACTTGGCCTGATCTTACTGTCATTTTGAGAAATAAAGAAGTTAGAACTTGGACCTTGTCCCAAAAGGAAAAAACGAACAGATCTCTGAATATACGCAGTAAGTATCAGGTGTGCCTACTATTTACAGTGTTTATATGATATTATTCCAAGTCCCTTTCCCTTGTTCATCTCTTTACTCAAGTGAGACAAGAAAGGCATGTGATGTACTGCTTTCCCCCTTCATACAACGTCCTGCTTATCCCAGCACTGGCTCTATCAAGATGTTAGCACGCTGGCATTAATTGTCCTGACTGGCTGCACAAGACTCATTTAGGGATGGGAGGAGTTTGTGCAGTGTCGCAATTGGGCTTCATTCCCATTGTTCTCATGCATAACAGGATCAGCCATGCTGCTTTCATCTGGCATCTGGTTAGGATTGCCTGCTATAGACGGAATGAACAGGGAATGTATCCTCTATCACGACCCAGAGCTATTTGTAAAGATAAAGATAAGGTCATTTGCAGGCAGGGGCTTCGTGATGTAGTCTAAAAGCAAAAGGAAAGCCTTCAACAAACATGGGAGAAGAAAAAGTATTTCCTATACAGGGCACTTTGTTCAATGCATGTTCAGATTGATATGCATTCACAGGGAAGAAGTGTGTGTGCATGTGTGTGCGTGTGCATGCGCATGTGTGCACACTAGAGGAGTAAGTCCATGTCCTTCAAAAATACAGTACTAGACTTGTAGTTTTGCACCTTAAACAGAAGCACCTTATTAGTCTTTTTAAATTACTCCAAATTCTGCCCATCTACACTCTGAGGCAGAAAATGCCGTGAACAATTAGCTTCATGAAAACTAGAGTGTTGCTTGACTTCATATTGTGAGAAAAAGTCAGTAAATCACCAGAGCAGGTGTCTGGTATAAGGCAAACGGAACTACTGAAAGACAAAATATTGGGAGAACTGACAAGTGTAAAAATAGTTGAACTGACAAAAGAGTATCTTTTTGGCAGTTAAAAGATATCTGATCAGAAATTCCTCTCCAGACAGACAAACCTTTCAAGGGCATATATTTTTCTTGGTCTGAACAGGATAGATTATTAAATCAATTCACCCAGTGTCAATCAGGTTTTGAAATGCAACAGATTAATAACCTCCTGAAAATAATAAACATATGATATACTGTGCCTGGTCCAAGCTTTTGTATTTCATTTCTTTTCTCTGAAACACGGATGGCAAAGCCTGGCATCTTATTTTAGATCCGATTATATTTATCAACTCCTCTGCGGAGGCCTTTTCTACAGACTCTATCCAAGATGGCTGAAGTCTCTTTATAACAGAAGACTCTAAATACTTTCAGATACTGATGATGTTCTCCTTCCCATACTACATTTCATTGGTGCTCTCACCATCCATTCTTGTTCCGGTTTGATACTGTATTTTACTAATAACCATGGGGAGGTGGAAATGCAACCACACAGCAACTTTTCTCATATGATTTGTTACGGTTCTCCTGACAATCTTACTTCCCCAGAAAACAAAAAAAAAAGTTAGCTTGTTAATTTGTTTGCTTCCTTGCTTTCGTGTATGTTTACAAGTGGATGGGTGCAAAGCAAAAGCAGGCTGTGAGCAGCCAACACCAGAATTTCTGCACCTGTATTAGCAGTGCAACAAGGAAGTTGGACAAGCATGTTTTTCAGCCACTTCCACATTATAATGGGAGAATTTGCACAGCAGGAAGTTGTTACAAGTCAAAGAAGCTCATTCTGTGCCATATCACTTGGCAACCTCCTTGCAGGTTGGCACCCAGCATTTCCAGGATTACTAAATGTTTACCCAGTGGTGCAGAAAAGAAGGGTCATTTTGCTTGCTGCCAAACCATTCAGAATCAGAGCCCAAGATCCTAAATAATCAAAGCCCATCAAATTCTTGAAAGCCTTGATGGGCAAAGTTTGCCTCCTAGATTCTGCTGGGTGTTCTTTTTCCAACACTAGTAAGTCAATATGGGTTTTCTTTCTTTACTCATTTATTATGTAACTAAACCATCTAACTTAAGTTCAAGGATTTAAAAAAAGGAACAAATGAAATTAAGACATGAGCTGTTACATTTTCTCTTTCCATAGAAATCATGGAGAAAAGTTTAGGGCCTGGCTTGCTGTTTTCTTTGTCTTTTTTAAAGTAGAATGGAAAAATCCCAGATGTGGAAAAGAAGAAATCACAGGCAGGGAAAGTCTTGTCATGCTCAAGGCAGAATCAACTCTCCAATCATTCATGAAACCCCAGGTCCCAAGAACGTTCATTCTCACCGATTCCCACATTCCAAACAGCCCAGCTCCTGCTCCCAAAGAGAGCTTCTTTTATCTGCTGTTTCTTGCTTCACTGAGCCAAGTCGGGGCCCTTTTGTTTTTCCACAGATTGCTGCCCTTTGTTCTCCCAAGTTTTCGCTCCCTTTGCGTTAAAAGGGGGGGAGGGGGAGAGACCCTCAGCTGAACTGAAGCGGAAGCTGGACCTGGGGGAAAACTCCCCCATTCCAGCCCATTCACTAGCCAGATTCTGGGATGTGTATGTGAAATGTTTGAAAGGTGAGGAAGGGGTATGAGAGATATTATACATAAACAGAGAGCCCAAGAGACTAGGTGCAAAAAGGAAGGGAGCGTGAATATGACCTTTCAGTATTTTTCATGGAAGGCTTTGGGGGGAAAAAAAAACCCTTAAGAAAACCCTGACTTTCTTGTCAGCTGCCCCGGCAGTGCAAGAAACTGAGTAGTTATGCAAAGTGGGTTCCTAAAGTCCCATACCTCACAAGCTGTTACATTTTAAAAGGAAACTAGAGAACGCAATCCTCTCTCTCGCTGGCCACAGTTTTTCAGAAAATTAATAGTTACTGACTTTAAGTCTCTCATTTTGAGGATTTAAGACCAGCTCTCCTTTTTTGTTCATTGAGTCACCACACACACAACAGCCAGCAGTCACATGATACAACTGAAGGAGATGAAAGGAGAGCAGGCCCTTCACCTTGCATCTGGACAGTGCTGAGTTTTTGGGGAGACACTGCACATTACTACACTACTCCTTTTATTTTGTTTTGTTTTATTTTTTGGTCAGTTTGATAGTAAACTCTCTCCCTTTTAATTTTTTATGGTATCCATTTTCTCTCCCTCTCTAACTGTCCCCTTTCTCTTTAGTGGCAGACTGAATACAGCTACTATTCCATTTGTTGGGCAACTTGGAGCTTTCAGAGTATCATTAGCATGAGAATACATGGTGTTGCCGTTTGCTGACAAAGCATAAGTCTCCAGGGCCCCTTATGGACAAACACACTTGTAAACAGAAAGAATGCTGGCTATTGTTCCTAGTCCTCCCTCCCCCAGTGCTTCCAGAGGAGTTCTCCCCCATCTTTACTCTCTCTTTTTCCCTTGCCCACCCCAACACCTTAATAGAAACATAATTACAAAGCAGCAAGGGAATAACAAAACAAAGCACTTGGTCCTGAAGTAGATACTTTGAGAAGGGATGGTGAACAGGAGAAAATCTTTTTCTTCTGGTCTGGAAGTGGAGCAGAGAGCAAAATCTGGGGTTTTGCATCTATTTGCAAACTCTGCTAGGGGAGGCTGGTAGATGGGATGCCATATATCACCACCCACAGCTTGCTGGCACACACACAAACACCCTAATGTCATGTTCTAAAACAAGAGGCGATGACAAGCAATGCCCCCTTGACTATATTTGGATGGGATATAAAAAGAAGGAAAGCTGTAGCATTATGATGGTATTGACATATTCTGCTGGTGTTTGTGGAGCATTATTACAGGGCTTTTCTGCCTGTGCCATGTCATCCTCTTTCATATAAATGCTGCTGAAAAGTTTCAGTTCTATACGTGCCCAGAGTCCTTGTCTAGAATCTCTAATGAATGAACTGAGATCTGTATGTTTGTTTCCCATACAAGCAGTAATACAGAACATACACTGTAAGTCAGACAAATATAGCGTGAGCAACAAGATGGAAAATAATTCTGCGCAAAATTGCCAAAGAACACATCCAGATATCAGATAAAAATCTATGGCTATCTGCATAAGAAATCGATGACTCTGTAAGATACTTTTCAAAAGAAACCCATCTGTCATCAGAGACTAGAGGCTTACCTCCAATCGTCATCCTCAGTGCTTTTGTATCTGCCCAGGAAAGGCTACCTCCAAAGGCACACAGTTTGATTCAGTTCTGACTTTGTGGTCAAACATATAAAAGTATCACTATGTTTTGGGGTAATCCTGTGTATGTGCCTTACTGAGACATCTGTCTGAAACATTCCCCAGACTGCT